CATACCTAGAGCGTAGAGCGAGCCTGATGCGTGGATCCCTCGCACTTCTCAATCACCATGTTCCTTGCTGCATGATGCCCGCCCGACGTCTTGTGGCACTCGAGAGCCATCATCAGTCACAGCTTGCTCTGTGACGACCGAAAAGGCGGGGTGGCTGTGCCATGCCCCCGTGTCTCTCAGTCGGCCGACGTGACGGTTGACCACCAACCATGATCAAGCAACAATCACAACAACTTTGGGACATGTCCGTCTGCGGTCATGACATTGTTGGCTTTTAAAGCGAAGGTGGTCGGAGGCTGCTCCGGCTATTCAATCTGTGCAATCATAGGTAGACGGCCAGGTGAATGGTTGATTCGCAAGTAAACGATACCATCAACACCACTGCCACAGCCACTGCCATCACTATGGTGTCCATCACGGCTAGGTAGGCATGATTCAAACTATCGTGACGTTTGACGATAATCTCAAGAACTATCTACATGCTCAACATTACTACACACTGAACTCTATATATCTCACACATGCACCCATTTCCTCGGGAAGGCGGAATAAGCAAGCAGCAAGCCATTGCCCCTGACCCTGACTGATTGCCCGTGAATCAGATCGGTTACCACAGCATTGGTACACTGCACTACTCCAAAACATGGCATTTACATATCACATCAGCGGATCAGATCGAATAGAACAAAGTGGACAGGAAGCAAGCACCAAGACCCAACCCACCGGGACGAGGCCGGACGTTTTTTGGGGTCGGAATGGGGTCAGAACCCTATCTTTCCGCTGCTCTTCGTAGGGCTGACAGAACGACTCTCCCTCCCCTCCGTCCCCCCCATTTTCGACCTCTAGTGCTGACAGGCGCACCACCTATCCGCCTCCGAAAAAGCCTGACGATGAATGACTAGCAAGCAATAGGTTATTGTGGATTTTGATATGTTGTTGTTCAAGGATGATCCAAGATTATTAGTTCCGAACTGTTGATCTCCATGTTGGGAGTCGAGACGATACATACATAGGTAGGTAGGTATGTTTTCACACCAAGTCGAACTGACCAAGTGTGTGGTGGCCGTTAACGGCCATTTGAACGATAACCACTCCTCACTGACCAAGTCGAGGGTCTAGCGTTTCAACTCTTCTCCTCTCCTTCGTGTTGGTTTCCCCATCGCCGACGGAGACTTTTGTCCTCTGGAGTCCTCCTTCTCTCCTTCCCACCTTTCACATCCCTCCCATTTCTCTCCACAAATCATCAGCCCCCGTAGCAGCTTCAACTTGACAATTCGCCAGGTAGAAATAGCTAGGACACACACACACACATATATCTACCAAACACCCAAAATCCCAAAACGATGCACACACATGCACTCCTCGTCACACCACTAAGCTTGCAGGCGCCCCAGTCTTGCATTCCTTCTCTCTCTCTCTCTCTCTTCTTCCCTCAGGATTCGTCCATCCCATCCCATCCATATACAAGCGGGAAGTGCTACCTAGGTAGGTAGCTTTCGGCGTCGGCGTCGGCATCGGCGGTATCAACCCTGCCGAATCTAGCAAGTAGACTAGGTAGGCTGCCCTCTCCCTCTCTATCTATTAAGCGAACATGACGACGATATGGACGGACTCGGGATTCGGAAGAACAGAATGTACGGCTGAGTGTTCCTATCATGCCATGTTTTTATTTTTGTGGAATGGGGAAAGTCCATGTGACACAACAACCCATGCAATGTGCGGGATTAGGTGGAAAGATGGAGGAAGTGGTAGCTGGGTAGTGTGTGTGTGCTATGTGTGGAGGAGGGGGGGCTTCTGGGCTTTGGCGTGGCTGGGAGATGGGAAGAAGAAACACGTTTTTTTTATATATATCTCTATTTTTATTTTTCTCTCCACACACACACACACACACACACACATACACACTTCATGTATCTCTGCACGGTAGCTCTAGGTACGGGAGCTTGGTCCTGTTGCTCCTATACCCTCTCTGCATTTCTTCCGAGAAAGTAGGTTACTTGTGCGATCTGCGGCGGCGTGGGCGTGGGTTTGGGCGTGATTACCTCGGTGACGTGACTTATGTGTCTTGACTGTACTGCCGCTACGGCTACAGCTATAGCTAGGTACAGCAGCGGCCATTGCTACTGACCGGTTGGAGTCGGGGTAGAGGAGGCGTTCGTTGGCTGTGGTTTCTTGCTGTGTTGCTGGGTAGTGTGATAGGTTCCGGGATTCCGTCCGACATGGCGTGGATTGGTTCAGGATTCGGAGAGATACTAAGGTCGGCTTTCCCTTAACGGTCCCTTCCTTCCCCGTTCCCTTTTCCGGTGCTAACTCCCGAGTATGGCTATTAAAAGCCTTCCGTTATCAAGATTTCTGCAACACGGCAAAGTCCCTGCAGCCGAGGCTATGTTGACTTTTGTGTCCCCTTTCAGTGACTCGCCTGGCACCCGCGCACAACAACCACTGTTTACTTTGCGACGGATTAATGAAAAGGGAAAATTAACAGGAGAGGCCTCTTTCACCCCCTTCCATGCCCACGCTGTCCACCCCTATTGTGGTAAGAGGACTAAGATGCAGGAAGCGCAATTTACTCCCAAGTGTACAACACCCGGTAGTATTGACAAGAGAAATTATAAAACAAGGAAGTTTATTTCAAATTAACCAAAATATATATATTAGGAGAAAAACGGGAAGACGGATGTGGATCATGAACGTATCGAAGTGCCCATAGCTCGTAAAGCACAGTTGTTTGCGTGATGAAATGATGAAACCAGACAGGGAAACCATTACAGAAATCCCCCATCAGTTCGATTCCTTCGTCTGCATCTTTATCATGTAGTCAACGAGTTTGACTGGCTCCCCTCGCTATGAACGGTCTTCGAAGATCATCATCATGACCTCGACTCGGTGTCAGCGTGAATCATGACTTTACCTTCCCTTTAAACCCGATGTGACATTGGATAGTTATCCCTTGGAGGATTTCAAGAGACTATGATTGTCCCAATCTACAGCTTTCAGCAGCTTGGACATTGATAATCTAGTCAGGGGAGACTGGTTATGTGTTTATTTTCCGTAGGTAGACATAGTTATCAACTGTCAGCGATTCTCTCCAGGGTGTACTATAGTTGAAGGGAAATCAGAAGTGGATAGTTTTTGGCCACAATACAAGGAACAACACGACTGGTGTCGGTACTATCCTTATCATCCCACGGTCGGTCGCCTAGGCTAAGTTCAGAGGAGTAAGTCATCCCTTAAGCCTCATCTGGCCAGTAGGTACACTAGTGAACAATCAGTTGGGAGCAAGTGGTACGCATGTCATGGCATAATGGCTGTAGATTTGTCCATCCCATACAAGTCACTATGGCGTCGGTGTCATACCCTGCTTACGTAGAGGTAGGTATTGGTCATAACTTCACCTTAGGCCCGCAAATTGACTCCATTCCCAACATTGGAAAAGGGCCGTCAGGCATGCAGTGACATACGCCCGGCATGGAAACCAACAAGCTCACTGGCTAATCTTTCACTTGCTCGCTTCAGACGTTCACTGACTTGTTCTTTTTGAAGATCGGATGGAGATCCATACACTTAGGTATTACATGCTAGCAGGTCTGATGACTTGAACCTGCGAGATTCACGATAAGAGTAAAGAAACATAGTGATGTTCCCAACGGAAGGGAAAATGGAAGCAAAGAATGAAGAGAAAAAGTATAGGTATATGAAAGGAGAGGAGGTTAAGCCCGCTATTCTAAGCACTCACAGATTTTAGCCCGAATGCAAGAAGTCATCGAGTGTTCCTTTCTCTTGCATCCAGAGCGGACTTAAGTTATATGCCGCCTCGGGAGCAACTTCCATTCTGTGTGAACTCAAAACTTCACGCTGGGCTCTTCGATACTTCCTCCCAGTGGATCTATGAACATGAAGTTGTGGATAGGGACACTCCTGCCATCATTCCCATCACGGTACTGATACCCAGTCACTAGCATCGCTCCTTTTTCTTTCAAACTCCGTTTGTCAATAGTTATCATCAACATCTCCTATTTATATAGTCATCTTTTACTTGTCACCAAACACTCCTTTCAGTTTAATCATAAGTTATATTTGAATTTACGAGTTTCACCTTCCTCGAAAACAATGATCGTAGAAAGGCAAGGCCACAGAGGAGGAACAAAACAAGATGTATCTGAAAAAGGGGAAGAAAAAAAAAGGGAAAAAATTTGAGGACTGAACGCGATTTGAACGCGTGACCGTTCGGACTGCAGCCGAACGCTCTACCCCTGAGCTACCGGTCCTTAATTTACTAGTTGCTCAAATCCCTGCTACATAAAACAATGGTAATTGCTTCCATCCCCTTGAGGCAGGTCTTGCCTACTTTCGTGATCCGAGTTATCCATCCATTATTCGATTCTGATTCTATTCTCCTCGACATAAATTATGACTGTATACCCACCAAACACCATAACATCCCTCAATTTCCTGGCCATTCTACCTAATACAGCAGTCAGTTGAACTTTCACACCTAACTGCGCTTTCCACATCCTATCTGAAGTCAAGTGCTCAGAACTACTAGTACCTAGGCAGTTGGGTAAATGGAGAGTTTCCTTTATGGGCTTGTAAGACAGTTCACTTGGACTTGGTGTTTTGTCGTAGCCTTCGGTCTTGCAAAATACTCACTGCGCGAAGCTGGGGATCTCATCACCGACTCTGTTGACCATGTCGGGTTCACGCCACTCCTTGGTTACATGACTCAACGCACATGAAAAAGCGGGCGAACAATTGAGTATCTAAAAGTAACCGACTGCCTTTTGCCGCTGCCGCGTAACAGCTATCATGTCATGGATAATTATGATAATCCCCAATTTACGTAGATCTGGCGCATCTTTTGCAAGCTCACAAGCATACCGCACAACATGGACATAGTCCCCTAAACCTAAGGGCTCTTGAGACGTCTCACGCTCCCATGGTTACAGAGTGCGTAGAGAGAAAGCTTGGCCAGCAGTAGACACTTGGAATCTAAACAGACATTATCATCATCATGCAACATGCATGTACTGTCTGATGTATTAAGAGTATAGGGGTCAACAACTGAGTGTCTGACAGGTATATCTAGCAGTTTGATTTGATCATTCTTTTATTAAAACACTGTAACCCGCAACGAAGAACTCCTCCGCTTCAAGTCAAGAATGCGCATATGTGCGTAAAATCGACAAGCCCGGCGGTATTCCACCGAGCAGGGTATTGCCTTTGGCACTTTACGTGCGCAGAGGAGCCTGAATGTTGAGTGGAATGGTTTACTCCTCGCCCTCAAGGGGGGCCTCCTCCTCGTACTCCTCCTCCTCCTCGTCAACACCAGCATCCTGGTACTGCTGGTACTCGGAGACGAGATCGTTCATGTTGGACTCAGCCTCAGTGAACTCCATCTCGTCCATACCCTCACCAGTGTACCAATGCAAGAAAGCCTTGCGCCTGAACATGGCAGTGAACTGCTCGCCGATACGCTTGAAGAGCTCCTGGATGGCGGTGGAGTTACCGACGAAGGTGGAGGACATCTTGAGACCGCGTGGAGGGATGGAGCAGAGGGCAGTCTGGACGTTGTTGGGGATCCACTCGACGAAGTAGGAAGAGTTCTTGTTCTGAACGTTGCGCATCTGGTCCTCAACCTCCTTCATGGAGACCTTGCCACGGCTGTTTGATTCGTTAGTATTAGTGGTCAAAAGCAGCATTCCATGATCAGCAACTTACAAGATGGCAGAGCAGGTGAGGTAACGACCGTTGCGGAAGTCAGAAGCAGCCATCATGTTCTTGGGATCGAACATCTGCTGGGTCAACTCGGGCACGGAGACGGCACGGAAGTGGTGGGCGCCGCGGCTGGTAAGGGGAGCGAAGCCGACCATGAAGAAGTGGAGACGGGGGAAGGGAACCATGTTGACGGCGAGCTTGCGGAGATCGGAGTTGAGCTGGCCGGGGAAACGGAGGGAGACGGTGACACCGGACATGACGGCGGAGACGAGGTGGTTAAGATCGCCGTAAGAGGGGTTGGAGAGCTTAAGGGTCCTCATGCAAATGTCGTAAAGAGCCTCGTTGTCAATGCAGAAGGTCTCGTCGGAGTTCTCAACGAGCTGATGGACGGAGAGGGTGGCGTTGTAGGGCTCGACAACGGTATCGGAGACCTTGGGGGAGGGCACGACGGAGAAGGTAGCCATCATGCGGTCGGGGAACTCCTCACGAATCTTGGAGATAAGGAGGGTACCCATACCGGCACCGGTACCACCACCGAGGGAGTGGGTGATCTGGAAACCCTGGAGGCAGTCGCAGCCCTCAGCCTCGCGACGGACGACATCGAGAACCTGGTCAACAAGCTCAGCACCCTCAGTGTAGTGACCCTTGGCCCAGTTGTTGCCAGCACCGGACTGGCCGAAGACGAAGTTGTCGGGGCGGAAGAGCTGGCCGAAGGGACCGGCGCGGACGGCGTCCATGGTACCGGGCTCGAGATCGACGAGGACGGCACGAGGGACATACTTGTTACCGGAAGCCTTTCAAGCGCGAAGCTAGTTAACGAGCGAATTCTCTATGAGGGGGAGATCGTCGAGACTGGTTGTTGCTCACCTCGTTGAAGTAGACGTTCATGCGCTCGAGCTGGAGCTCAGAGGTGCCATTGTACCTGTAGTGGGCGGTGAGCTTTCGAGGCCATCACCAGATATGGTTATTGGGCTCGAGGTTACGTACACACCGGAGGCGTCGAGGCCGTGCTCGCCGGAGATAGTCTGCCTGTTTGTTCTGTCAGCGTCGGGTTCCGTCGCTCAAAAGTGCAGTTGTTCGCGATGATGACGACGTACCAGAAAGCAGCACCGATTTGGTTACCCTGATCGTGGCTGTTGTGTTAGTCCTGCTGTTGTCGTGGGATCGCGATGGGGGTGGAAGCCATCATCGACTTACGCATTGGCCGGTCTGGAGATGAACCTATAGCACGTGAAGAAATCGTGTCAGCGTCGATATCCATAATATTCGCGAGAGATGGCAGTCCGCGATGGCGAGAAAGCGAGCAGGATCATGATGAATCGGGCAGCAGTAGGCAGAGGCACAGAAGGAGACGAGGCAGTTTGGTGGGGTAGAGCAATCAGGGGTCTTGGGAGGGAAAGAGAGAAAAAAAGGATTGCTCTGCGTGCCGCGGCGCAGTAGTCACCAAAGGGAGACTTACAATTTCACGCATCTTGACGGTTTGGTGATGACGAACACGGGTCTATGTGGAGGTTGAAGGCAGAAAGATGGAAGAGCAAAAAGATGGGAGTGGTGATAAAGCCGACGCGGATAGACGAAGACGACGGAGGTCGGTGAAAGTGGAGAGGATTGATGTCTGGCCTAGGGGAGACTGGGAGTCTTGGGAGTGGAAAGGGAGATTTGTTGATTTTTGGTGCAAGAAATGAGCGGGCCACAGCCGGCCAGCACCAGCTTCTCGTTCACCGCCGCCGCCGCTCGCCGGGCTGCTGCTGGGTTGCCGCTTGCAAAGTGGGGACATCAGGCACTGTCGAACTTTTGGAAGGGTGGAAGGCCTGTCGACTCGGTTTGGGTGGTCCCTGCACTCTTGATTCCTCACGCGTTGACCTTCGCCAAACACAACCCCCCGGGCCCCCCCAGCTGTCTCTCGGGGCCAGCGCGACGCGCTAGTCTGCTTCTGGTTGGCTGGCAGAGTTGGCAGGCAAAACCAGCCGGGCGGCGGGTCCCACATGCTCCTGCCAATGTGGGGTAAGTCGCCAGCTCGAGACCGCTGTCGAACTGTCACAACCTCCAATTGGATTTGGCTGTTGGTTTTGGGCACGACTCACTGGCCCGGCCAGACTTGGGAGATCAGGGACGGCATCGCGACTCGTACCATAGGGGGCTACATTCACGTCCATTGTTGAAGCCGACCTGCACACTACCAAGCTGGATATCAGGGAGAAATAGACACATAGATGGAAACTCCTCAATTCGACGCGGCATTATACACTAGTATCGCTGATGCCATCCATAACATACAAACCAAGGGAAGCAAGCTACCCCTCCATCTCCACGCTTCCAGCTTCGCAGCTCATGGTAGTGTACGGGGTATTGTATGGGCCTGCTGATTGGCAATTTGGGGTAGTAGTGTACCTTGATTGCCAACTGCCCGCAGAAGGGAAGGATGAGCCCGCTCTCCTGAACCTTGTCGCATATCATTTATCGAACAAAACACCGGAAGTTGGGATTGGGGAAAAAAAGGAGATCTCATTCACCCAAATAACGAAAGGATCGCTCGTTACTTGTACCTTACATTGAGCAGTACACTAGAAGTATGTAGGTCCACTGCATTGCAGCAGCCATGCAACATCTCGCTGTCGCCTATGATGGCAGGGATGATGACCTTCATTTCCCCATCTTCTTGTCAGTCAGGTGTACATGTAAACAAAGTTGAGGGGACAGAGACAACAGAAGGATGGAGCTGGACAAGCACGGAATGCTCCCCAACATATACGGAATCAGTAAGTGAAAGTTGTAGATAGACATTGACATATTAATTTAACTAGAAGAATGATCAACCCGTTCATGAGGCTATTTCATGACTTGATCATTGTTGTTGATGGCTTTTCTTTGCCATGCTGTGCGTAGGGTATGCTTCCGCTTGCTCAACCCCCGTGCGTTCGGTTTTGTGTGTTTTCCCTCCCTCCATTCCCCATTCCACAACCTAACCCAGAAGCAATGCAAATGGTATAAGGAAGTGCTGCTGATGCTCAAGGAAGATCCCGCCATGCAAGAAAACAAGAACGATGAATATGCCGCACGCCCTGCTATGCCATGACCATTATGTCCCCATACATTTTCCTGCTTTTCCCTCTCTCCTCCATTACAGTAGAGCAGTGCGACCCGCCTTGCTGTCGCATCCCCTCATGTCTCGCTTTAATCGGTCGAAACCCCTCCTCCAGTATATCTTCGTATCCGATGGCCTCAGTCTAATATAGCAGGAAGACCCTAACCACTCATATTCTCGATCCAGCCCACTTCAAGAGCCGGTTCAAACATAAGAGGATGATGTTCCGTCATAGTCGAGGGGTTCGTGGCGAAATATATTATTTATACATATACAGTGAGTTTTCAATCCCGTTGGGCGTCGGGCGTGCCGTCGTTTTCGTATCCTCCACTAGCTAACGGTCATCATATGCAACCGTGGAGAATCAACTGATGATTTCCTCCTTAGGACCGAATTCGTACTATGGCTCTTGGGTAACCGCCGCTGCGGACTCTGTGGGCTTGCAGAGGGGTCCGTGAAGACTCGAGTGAACGCCGGGCTGCCGTCAAGGTTATGACGAGGTTTCGGTGGCTCAACCCGGGGAGTACTGATGGGAGTTTGCGTAAGCAATTCTGCCCGCCGAACAGTTTCCGCGAGGGAATCCCGAAGCTGGCCCGCTCGCTTAACCAACTCGTGAAGGCTGTTTGTGTCGAAAAACAGCTTCGAACTTGAAGGCTTAACTGGGGCCACGTGCTTAACAGCGTCCGCCGTTGAACGTTGCTGTTGCATGGCTTCAATAACTGTCGCGATCATTGCCGATTTTTCGGTGGGACTTGTCGATCGCTCGGGGGTATGCGGTCGCGTCGCCTTTGGGCTTCCCTCCGTAAGCGGCCAACCTCCACCAAAGATGTCATCGTCGGGAGAGAAGACTGATCGTCGCCGTGCCGTTTGTCGCTCACGTATCACCGTGGTTTTTCCCATGGGAGGCGGTATGGCCTCAAACGGATCGATTTGTTGGTCAAGGATCGAGCCGTCAAAGCCTTCTTCCAGGTAACGCTCATCGATGCTTGAGATGTTTGATTCCGTCGACTGTGAGCTGGCGTCGGCGTCGGCGTCGTCTTCGTCCTCCTCATCTGGCGAAGCAAGCTCAATGACGTTCTCAGCTTCCTCCCACTTCGATGCTGCTGGGCCATTCATAATATCAAGCTCCTTTCCATGACGGCAAAGCCGCTTGAGGTCATTGACCAACAAAGAAAGTTCGCGAATTTGTCCCGAATGTGCTTTAACAGAAGGCTGGCTCGCTTGGATGGAAGCAGGGACAACCATCGAGAAGCTCGTGGCCGAGTCCTTGCAGCCGGTTGCACTCACAGGCACCTCGTCAAAATCAAAGTCGTCGTCCCAGTCCTCGCTGACGGTTTTGGAACTCAGCCCCCACGTGCCGAACTTGGGAGTAGGCTTTGAGCCTTCAGCAAGATCAGGAACGACGGGGACACTTTGGCTCCGTATGTGGACTGCGCTGGGTCCTTTCCGAATCACAGAGCGGCCTCCCCTCAAGTCCAGCTCGTGCTTTCCGTGCACCGTCTTGGGACGCAATGATAGGCCATCGTGGTCGAATTTGTCAACCGATGGTTGTTCACACCAGTCGAAGATGTTACTCCGCGATCGGTCGTCGAGTGCATCGTGGCCAAGGTCTGCATCGTTTTGCTCGCACAGGCCTGCTAGCGCTTGTCGTATCGCGGGACTGACGTGACTTGAATTTGTCGTAGACGGCGGTGAAAGATGGTTACTAAAGGTCTCATCATCGTCTCGCGCCCAGTCGTCGTCATCATCATCATCGAGCGACAAGCGACCAAAGTCATGTTCGCCCAAAGTGAGGGTTGGTGTAGGATCAAGCTCATAGCTATTTTGGTCGCTTCCATTGTGAGCGATCTTGGCTGTGTCCGACATAAACGCGGCGCGCAAGGTTGGCGGAAGACTTTCGTCCTCTTCCATGATCCTGGTAGCACCATCCCACGACTGCCCGAGAATTTCTTGGATAGACAACCTCTTGTCTTTGCTGTTACCAGCGGTGCCCGGTGGCGACTCGTCAAACATGGACTCTAGTGGCGTTTCAACCGTCCTCAGCCGACTGGAGGAGGCACCGGTGCGGAACGAATCATACAAGCCGTCGCTTCGAAGGTCTGTGTCATCGTCATCGCCCGACAAACCATCCCGACCGTCGATCGATTCTGGGCCAGCTAATGTGGACGCTTGTTCGCCAGAGCCGCCCGATCGACTGTTTGGTTGCACCGCAAGGCCCTGTGTGGCCGACATGTCGTTGATTGGGTCTTGACATGGACTTGGAGAAGCTAATGAGGGGATAGAGCCGGGTTGATCCACTCGTGTAACGTCGACGTCGAGGCTTGGAATGCGGGACATGGGAACAAGCGGGGCTGAAGTGTTTCTTTTGTGAGAAATAACTAGACGAAGGCCCGGCCTCAAGCCTGTTTCAAGATGTTTTGGTGTTGTTTGAGTTGGTGGAGAAATTCCATCCCAAGTCGGTCTGGCCTTGGGCTGATCTGCACGATTGGGTGCAGGAAGCAGAAAATCGTCCAACGGTTCCGGTCCTGCAGCATGTCTACCGCAGCCCTCGGCATCGCTTGTAGTGCCTCGTCTTGGACGTCGGGCGTTTGTACTCTTCAGGACCCTTGTCTCGGGTGAATCGAGAGTTCGAAACGACAGCGACCTTCTCAACTGCCTAGTTGGAGAAGCAAGTGGTGCACTGTCGAGGCCTTCCAAACGTCCTCCTCGGGTTTCCGGTCGAGATTGCCGTGGTTTCATTTCAGGAGTTGGGCAAGCCGCTATGTAATCTGGCTTGGTTAGGTAGGGCCTGGGTGCATTGTCTGTGTGTACTTGCACACGCTTGGAAGGCAGCAAAAGGTTATCAAGGCTACTTTCGCTCAACCGCGCACCACTTCTCCGGCCGGATGACCTGAGTATCCGAGCATGGAAGAACGATGTCCATCGCCCGCGACCCTTGGCAACGCCCGCATCCGCCTGTGGGTTCGTCGTACGATGAGGAAGCTCCGGCTCTTCTTCTAGCGAGAACTTGGGATCCACCGGTGTTGGACAGAAGGTGCCCTGAAGCTGCTGGAGTGTCATGGACCGTTGGTGGCTGGTGGCTGGTCGTCGCAACGTTGGTAATTGTGGCCTCGATCCTCGTTTTTGCTTTGTCTCCGAGTTTCCTCCTTGCCCAGTTGTTATCCTCTTGACCAGCTTGTTTGGTGCCGCTTGTGGCCCCGACGCAGTGGTGTTGTTGGACCTCAACATGGGCGCTTCGGAGCCGTTGTTGGAGAAATTGATCGAAAGCGAGTCTGGACCCATGCTTGACCTTGGACTACTTTCATGCTGAGATAGAGGACGTATGGACAAGCGCTTCAACCACGACTCCCTCGACGAACTCGAATCCCGCACACTATTGCTCGTGGACCGCTCGCTATGGCTCCGTATGAATGACTGCCTTCGGTTCCCTCTCGAAGGTGGTGGGGGTAAACTGCCGGGGCGCTGGCCGGTCGAATTTGTGGGATGTGACGTAAGGGGTCCCGGAACTACATCAAGTGGTGGTTCGAAGGAGCTGTACGGGAAGTATTCTGATTGTGGAGAGGTGAGAAGGATACCGCTAGTGCCGGGTCGAGGAGATGCCATGGGCATTCGAAATAGATCGTAGTCCCGGGCCATCTTTCTTTTGGGTATGGGCTGAGGGTAGTCGAGGTCGGGAGGCTGGCCAAATACTAGACCAGTAGTGGCGGCCGCAACAACGGTGCCGGTTCCCACAAGCTGCACGCAAGCATTGAAGTTAGCATCGGGGATCCTGCAACGAAAACCGGCTACGTGCAGGCGGGAAATGGCAGAGGGAAAGGACGCCGCGATAAGTCCAGAAGGGGGATCGTGTGTGTTCCAGTGGGTTTTGTTTGCGCAGTGGGGATGCCGAGATGTGCAGAAAAAGTAGGTAGTATCTATCGGTGGTGTTGATGGTGGGTGAAGGTGATGATTATGATGACGATGATGATGTTGTTGTCGTTGGTGGTGCTGGAGTATGTCGACCTTGAATTTCTTTTTGTCCACTTACACTCGGCACGGCCTGCATCTTGGCCGGACGGGGGGGACAGCTATGTCAACGACTGACCGCCGGGAAACGAAGAGGGAGCAAGGGAAAAGTCGTGGTTCGCAAAAGATGGCGGTTTGCATCGTCAGGACATTACTGCTTTGGGCGGGTGTTGTTGGTGTGTGGTGCGGTAAGGAGACAACAGGCGGCGGAGGAATGTGGACAATACAGGCGCGTTCTTGCGGTCGAAGCCCCTTTCCCCTTTGGTCCCTTCACCGAGTTTGCACCTTTGGTCGATGGATCGCAGTCGCCCCGGGCAACCGTAGTCACAGTCGGAATCGCAAGCGCAAGCGCAACAGGTTGTAAATCGCAATGGTCGTCGTTGTGTATTATCGAGTGTAGTCGCCCGTTGTGGTCGCAAATGGGATGGCAGGTGGCCGTGGGTTGACAGCCGCCTAACTGCTGCAGGGCGGCAGGGTACCTCCAGGACGCTGCAAAAATGGTGGGCACCAAAGTCCACCGCGGTAAGGGATCGATAGGGTCCTTCAAACAGGCCCGAACACGCAAGGCACGAACCGGTTCGGCTTGCAATTGCAATTGCAGTTGCAGTCGGCAAGCGACAGTGATGAGATGATTGACGACAGAATTGGGCAGTTTGGAATTTTCATCCAGTCCGTGGAAAGGTCTGCTCGCTCCCTGCTGAACGGAATGAATTCGCTGCTGGGTCTCCGGACTCGTGCTGGGCCGGCGGTAGGTGGCCTGTCCTGGGGCCCCTTTGGGGGACTTGGCCGCTTTTGGGTGGTGGAGGTGAACGAGACAGCTTGAACCTGAACCTGCAAGCCGGAGCTGGGGACCGCTGACGAGTGAGTGACCAGAACCTGGGGCCACTCTATGCACAACCGAATCCGTACCTGCGAGGGACGAAGGGATCCGACTCTCCCTTTGCTGTATGTAGTGTGTACAGACTCCAGACTGCCGACACGGCTGTGGCGGACACTGGGGTGGAAACAGAGACACCGCTGTTGTTGTTGTTCGGTTCGATAGGCGAGGGGATCGCTGCCAAACAGATTCGAGCAAGTGTCGCTGGCGTGGGTAGCTTGCTCAACCCTCAATGGCGACCTCGTTCGATTCAAAGATGATCTATCTGAATAATGAATGGACGTCAAGGCCTGAACAGAGGCCCGCGGTAACCTAGGTTGAAGGGTCCAAGTGAGAGAAAGTCTGGCGTGTACAGCACGCTGTCGCAAGTAGGTAGGCTCGAGGGTCCAGGTAGGTGTAGTTACCTCTGGTGTCTACCACCACACTGAAAAAACGAGGGGAAAGAGACAAACAATGTGTTAGACAAGACAATGGTGGAGGAGCCTCTCAAAAGCCACCACCACACCACCACATTCAACACAGAGACAGACTGACCACAGCGTCACCAATGAGTGAATGGAAGGGTTAGACCTCTGGAACGGGAGTACGGCAGGCGCCTTGTGTGGTGGAAAGGAAGGTAAGGGAGAGGTTGTTGTGTGGTGGGTGTGTGGTTGAACTGAATCAATGGAATCAAGCTCGAGACATGCAAAATCAACAAGGTCAATGCAGGTCACCTCACGCAGGTCCTCCTCTGCTCTTCCGTCCCCCCCAAAAGGCGAGAAAAGGTCGCGCACCTCCCGTCCGTCCTGAGGTTGTCGCCCGTGTCGCCCGTCTCGGCTTGCAGCCGTGCGATGGCTGCGACTGGACGTCCTTCCAACTACTACCACCTTTCAAGGGGCCCTGGACCGTGACGGCCGGCCGCCCACTGGGACCTGCCTCGGTGCTGAAATCCATGGCACCCGACCTCTGCGAGGGGTGGGTCCACTGGCAAGGGAATCGACTGGGTCAGGTCCTTGCTGGACGAAGCTCGACAGAAGAGGGACTCAAGTGGAAGTTTGGTGCCGGGTCAGGGAAGCCGTTCGGATTGGCGCGATTTGCTCTCATGCCTGTCTGTACCCCGGCTGTCAGCTACTCGCTTGCTTCCACCTGTGGACACGGCGGGCTACGGGGAGCGCGCGGTGCGTGCCTGCGCTCGTGCCAGCGGTACCTAGAGGTACGTATCCCGGCATGGATGTAGCACACGGCGGGTGCGCGCGAACACTGGAGAGAAGGAACTGAAGGAAGAATGAAAATGGAGCAACGAAAGGAAGACATGGCCACGCTTTCCAAAGTGGAGCATTTTGACTTGGCCATGCCTCTTCTTCTTGTTCTTCTTCTCCAATCTCACCGGCCGTTGACGTTGTTTTTGCTTGTTTTTGAAACCAGACTTTGAGATGCAGTGCACGCCGGCTGCATCCCCAATCCCATATCCACTCGCCAATTTTACCAATCGACCCAAGCCCTCCACAAACGCGAAACAAGAGCATGCAGAATTGCAGATGCCAATTCATCCCTAGCTTCTTGTGAGAAGATGATGCACGTCATGGATTCCACCGAGTACGAGCTTTGTGCCGTGTATCGTGGTATCCTCGTGCCATCATCTGCTCCTGCCATATTGTGATGGGTATCCGCTCTGAGCCATCTCTCGATGCTTCTTTTTTTCTTCCCCTGGTACCTATGTACCGACCCAGAGCGAGACAATGTTTGAGAGACTATCTTTACAATTGGTGCCCGCTGATTCCGGTCTTCTTCTGTCTCCAACGGTACAGTAGGTTGACTGCGTCGTTTGGGGTTTTGCTTTTGCGATCCATCTACCTACACACAATTATCTGACCGTGGATCCGATGAAACAATGTTGTACCCCTTGCCTCTTGACTCTGAACGTCCAACATCTTTCGGTTCATTCTTTGATACCATCAACAACGATGACAACACAGATGGCGTCCAAAAATGATGCATTGAAACCCGCATGCGATGTGTGCCTCGGAAGCTACAGCTCACACCACGCAACATCCTCGACCCCTGGTTTCTGGGAGGAGCTCTTGATGCACACCAAAACTGAAGCCTGCCTGCCTTTCCGTGAAACAAGGATCTTCCTCTCTCTCTCTCATTGAATTTCATTGCGGAGTTGAACCTTGCAGCAGGCCACGCCGGCCAGCAGGCCACGACCACGTCCAACATGACTACTCGCTCGACACATCCACTCGATAACAGCCCGCCCTCTATCCTCAGTGCTTCGCTCAAAGCACTCATCCACGGTATTCAATGTTATATCCAAAGAGTAGCCAGTTCACAAGTCATCCGATTCCCTATGCCAGGACCATCTTATTAACTACAAACTTCTTCCCTCTGTCCATCAACTTGCTGTCTGGCCATCACCAGACACCACTGGTCACCACCTGGTTCGCCTTTATGTAGAAACGTTTCTTGTGTGATTTTATCTCTTCTCCTTCACGAATTACCTATTTCATGATTTAGTTCACCACATACGCCGGAAGAGGTTAGCTACTTCGATACAGAGAGAGAAACCGGGAATATTGACATGTCGAGTCCTGGAGTCTCTATGCCACAGCCCTTGCCCCAGAGATGCGTGGGGGAGGAAAGGATCTGGTACGGGGTATATCTGGCCCCGAAGCTCACAACTGATAACTGGCTTACCAAGGCATGTAGGCGATCCCTATACCGCAACGGATTATTTGTTGCAAGCCGTGTCAGAGCTGTTAGCCGGCCAGCTAGCAAGCTAGCAACCCCCTCAGAATACACCTCAGTAATCGACTACACAACACTGTGTTCATCTATGCCTGCCTATAACAAGAAAACTATCAATACTCGATCAGGATCGGGAGACTTCCAGTTGCGGGTGGCCGGGTTTGGTTGCGTCCAACTCTGATACTAGCTCATTTCTCGCTACCCAATTATATTTTATGCCGTCGTCGTCATCGTTGTTGCCATTGTTATTGTCATTGTCCCAAAGCGCATCAAATACCGGGGGCCCAATGTCGTGAACAGATCTGGCGAAACGTGGCTTTCCCACGCAAGCTGAGCGATGGATGAGACTGTGGCGGTTATCAATCCCTTGGAAGACAGTTGTCCACGTCGAACATCCTTTTCATTTTCAATCAAATCGATAGAACTTGGCAGCAACAAGGCTGAAAAAGCATGGCTGCCATGCTATAAAAAGAATGTGGGTGACAAGGGTTGCGAATGGAATAGATAGTGAGTGGTGGATGGTGACTAGTGAGTGGGTGGTATTAACGCGGGACGTCTGCTTGGTGATGTTTGGTTGTTCATGGTTCGGAATCCTTCACCTCTTTGGAGGTTGAAGTTCAAACTCCCCCACAAATCTTCAATAATCATCTCTTTCTCTTTGCGCGCGAAGCCGATGAGGGAAATGTGATTGATCACTACCAATGAGCGAGCTTTCTATTATAAACGAAAAGCCGCTCAGTTTCCCTTTCCCGCGGCAGCGTTACAGATGGATGGTTCTTAGACGCCCATTGAAGGCGCAAGTATCCGTACAAACACGTACATATCAATTGCTGGAAATGTTTTGGTCACTACGATAATTCCCGTCCGTCCAATTACTCATTTCCCTCTCATTCACACAAAGAACCCATCAAACACACGTCGGTCCCTTGAGGCTCTAGCAGATATATGACTTTGCAAATAGACCTACCTGGGTGAGCCAGAACATGCATACATACACCCAGAGTATCCCGGTGAAGCGGCGACCTACACTGTCCACACATCGCACAACATATCCGCGGGCTTCAATACCCTAACACGAGCGCCCTCTTAAAAACTATCGCTGAGATCGTTTCAACTGCTTCTGTTCTCTGAACCCACATGTTTGATGGGATACACAAAAGAACATCATCATTCGATGTATCTTGCGGCGGGCGATAGCGCGTAGGCAGTGTATGCAGATCATCAAGGACACAAGCAATTGCTGTGTTTCCACGACACAGCATTGTTGTGCAGGCTAGTATGTAGATGGGTTGATCGCCACTAGAGGATATAGAAGTTTGATATTATGAAGCATCCATCGTTCACCTTGTCGCCTTTCTACAGGAGGTACGAAACGAAGATCAATACCCCCATTTACTACTGGTATGAACCTCGGCCACTGCATTATCTTTCCCTTCTCTGCTCGACTTCACATCCCGCCAGCCATTTGTGTCAGCCACAGTCTCGTAACGATCTAGCGAGACACTGGGGAGAAACAGGCGGCGAACGATCCCTTGAGTATTTCTCTCCACAAGACTCAGTTGCGCCGCCTCTGCCCTAATCGTGGGCCGTTCCGTTGTCCGAGACACACGAAAGTTGGAATAGACAGCTGTTGGCAACATGCATCTACCTGATTCTGATTCTGACTCTGCTCCGAAACATACATACATACGGCGGCGCCCGTGGCGGGCAGAGAGATAGGTAGGAGATAGGCAGGTCCAAGGGCGAAAATGAAATCTTGTTCATTGAAACTGCGCAAAGGTTTGTGAAGTTAAACCACAGCACAGACATCCAATAACGATTTAACCTTGGTAAGACCCGAAAAAAAAAAAAAAAAAAAAAAAAAAAAAAGAGCACCGCTCGATGGTGCTATCGCCAGGGTAGGTAGTGTAGTAGTGGGGATTGGGAATGTCCGCTGGTGACTATCACACACATTGTAACCGCATTTTACGCGCGGTTTGTTTTATATTTTGGTTGTCGGCAAGGGGTGGTAATCGCTTGCTTATTACCTACTCGCTTCGCCAACAAATTATCACCGTAACGGGACAGGGCAGGTTGGGGTAGGGTAGAGCTTACCTAGAGGTAGGGATTAGCTCGGCGGTAGCTGGTACACACAGCTGGCAGGCTGAATCAGACGATGAGTGATGCTGGTCGCCGTCGGTAATTTGTCTTGGAAAATTCGCCCGAGTTGATTTGAATATTGTCTGGAGTTCTACTATTAGGTGAGGGAGACAGACAAAGAAAACTGAACGAATAGAGAATAAAAAGAGATGTCCACCCGCGCGCGGGCAAACACACACACACACACCATCGAACCTCCGTCGGTTGCGACATGTTGATTTGTTGGGTTGAATCAATTCCAATTTACACGCCCAGTAAAATCCCCTGCTTTTGATGGGCGGCGAAGGACATCAATAGGCGACACCAAGGCGGCTTCGGGCATGTGTGTGCTTTTGCATGTTTGTCCTCCGGGCACTGTAAGATTCGTACTGGTCAGTACTATTTGCTCCAATTGCTCCTTCGCGCTTCTTCTTTCTGTGATAGTGACGCTCCACTCAGTAAGCAAGCAGCGGTTGATTGCTGAAGTGGCTTCTTGGATTTCCCCTGTGTTCAAGATGGTGTAATGGTCAAAGGCAGATGTCTTTTCAATTCAGTCGACATGTTTGCAAAGAACTTGGTAAGGTTTGTGCGTCTTCGACTCAGGTCAAGTTGGTTGCTAGTGGGCATTGATTGAATGTACCCTTCCCTTTTGGAGGGTCTACACTGCTCTATTGCGTACTGCCCGTGCACGATGCGTGTTCTAGAAGGCGGAAAGAATATCCCATGCAAGAAAGCTGGTGCCTGCCCGTGCTGATGATGTTAAAAAGGGAAAGGATTCGATGCCCGCCACTGGTGGTGAAGTTTCTCGTGATGATGTTGCTCCTTTTGCGGGCGTTAGCGCTGCTGCACTAACAGTAACAGCTAGCTTCCTCGAGTGCAAACAAACCAATCATAGCTTCTCCATGAACCCCACCGTCGAGCGGTCAGTTGGCGGCAAATTCCGCCCCGCGCCCAGAAGACGAGGGCGCCCGGGAGGCGGACCGGCGCCGTGAAAGTATCAAAAGTTGAACTCCACTTTGATATCGCACTCCGACAGCTACGTTTCAAGATCAAAGGAAACGTGAGAAAACTGACAGTGTTTGTTTAAACCCTAATTTGATCGGCCGCCTGTCAGACCATCATAGCCAAAATGGAAGCCGAAATCAGGACCGTTCTCCCCAACATCGACCCGATCATCTCCGAGTATTCAGCCGGCTATCTCACCCATGCCTCAACGGCCTGGTCCGGCGATGAGGATGCTACCGGCCCGTCTCCACTCGTCGAGGCCGCCTCCGCCATCACCGACCTGCTGATCTCGGCCTCCGGTGGTACTAATGCCGCCCTGCAGGACAAGATCCGTCAGCTGGTCGACAAGTGGGTGGACAGGTATTCTGCTGCCAACGACAGCCAGGAGAAGAGGGGTCCGGCTGTGAAGCGTCTTGACCAGACTATCCAAGTGAGCGCTCAGAGGAACATCTCGTCGACTCTGGCCGTGGCCACGGGCGGTGTTGATCTTGAGTCGGCCAACGCCAGGAAGGTCGAGTCCAAGGTCGACAAGAAGAAGCTGGAGAAGGCCGAAAGGAAGATTGCGGCCAAGCAGAACAAGAAGACCTTCAAGACGGTCGAGTATGAGGCCTCACGTCTGCTCAACCAGGTCGATCCTGCTCAGTCGTACGAGGAGTTCTACATGGCCGTCAACCCTCTGCAGATGAACGGCTCTTCCGGCAAGACCAAGGACATCAAGATCGACAACATCGACGTTACCATCGGTGGTCTCAGAATCCTGACCGACACCACTCTCACTCTCGCCTACGGTCATCGCTATGGTCTCGTCGGTCACAACGGTGTCGGTAAATCTACGCTTCTCAGAGCCCTCTCTCGCAGAGAGGTTCCCATTCCCACGCACATTTCCATTCTTCACGTCGAACAGGAACTCACGGGTGACGACACGCCTGCCATCCAGGCCGTCTTGGACGCCGACGTTTGGCGTAAGGTTCTTCTCAAGGAGCAGGCCGAGATCATCAAGAAGTTGGCCGACATTGAGGCTCAGCGCGTCGGGTTGGCCGACACCTCAGCCGATGCCGCTAAGCTTGATAGGGAGCGTGAGGTTCAGGACAACAAGCTCGGCGAGATCCAGGGCAAGCTTGCCGAAATGGAGTCGGATAAAGCCGAGTCGAGAGCGGCCAGCATTCTTGCCGGTCTGGGTTTCTCGCCAGAACGCCAACAGTTTGCGACCAAGACGTTCTCCGGTGGTTGGCGTATGCGTCTCGCCCTCGCCCGAGCCCTCTTCTGCGAGCCCGATCTCCTGCTGCTCGACGAACCGTCCAACATGTTGGACGTCCCCTCCATCACGTTCTTATCCAACTATCTCCAAACCTACCCCAGCACCGTGCTCGTCGTCTCTCACGACAGAGCTTTCCTCAACGAGGTTGCCACCGACATCATCCACCAGCATTCCATGCGGCTCGACTACTACCGCGGCGCCAACTTCGACTCCTTTTACGCCACGCGCGAGGAGCGCAAGAAGGTGGCCAAGCGCGAGTACGAGAACCAGATGGCGCAGCGTGCCCACTTGCAAGCCTTCATCGACAAGTTCCGGTACAACGCGGCCAAGTCCTCAGAAGCCCAATCGCGCATCAAGAAGCTCGAGAAGATGCCCGTCCTGGAACCGCCCGAGACCGAGTACAGCGTGCACTTCCAGTTCCCCGAGGTGGAGAAGCTCTCGCCGCCCATTGTGCAAATGTCCGAGGTTACCTTCGGCTACAGCCCCGACAAGATCCTGCTGCGCAACGTCGACCTGGACGTCCAACTCGATTCCCGTATCGGTATCGTGGGCCCCAACGGCGCCGGTAAAACCACCATCCTCAAGCTGCTCGTCGGCAAGCTTTCCCCCACTTCGGGCCTCATCACCATGCACCCGCGTCTCCGTATCGGCTTCTTCGCCCAGCACCACGTCGACGCCCTCGACCTCAACGCCTCGGCCGTCTCCTTCATGGCCAAGACGTACCCAGGAAAGACGGACGAGGAATACCGTCGCCAGCTGGGCGCCTTTGGCATCACCGGTACCACAGGTCTGCAGAAGATGGCCTTGTTGTCCGGTGGTCAAAAGTCCCGTGTGGCCTTTGCCTGCTTGGCGCTCACGCAGCCGCACATTTTGGTTCTCGACGAACCGTCGAACCATTTGGATATCGAGGCCATGGATGCGCTCTCGGAAGCGCTGCAGAAGTTTGAGGGCGGTGTGTTGATGGTTTCTCACGATGTTACCATGTTACAGACGGTGTGCAAGAGCTTGTGGGTGTGCGAGAATGGAACAGTGGAGAAGTTCCCTGGTGATGTACAGGCGTACAAGAAGAGGATTGCGGCGCAGGCGGATGCGGCGGGAGTTGTTAAGAAGCATTAAGATGGGATGATGGAAAAGTGGTGGTGGTGGTGGTTGGGTGGGAGGTGTGAAAAAATTGATGTAGATTGTACAAAGCGAAAATCTCAAGGGTGATAAAGCGGTCATAAAGTGTTATAGATTGTTGTGCTCTGTTTCCATGCTTTGTGTGACTATGGTAGAAATGGTTCTTCACTTATTCTTCTACTTCGTGCTTTTCCTGCTGTGAAGTAGCCCAAGGTAGTAAGGGATCATACGGCCGTCCTCTGGAACTCTGACTGAGCATCCATATATGTAATGCTCGGGTTATTTATAGAAAAGTTTGTTTCCCTTGATGAGGTTGGCCCTCCCTAACTGCGAAAGATCATGATCATGCCAAACCGTTTTTTGATGTTCAACATAGTAAAATTTCCTACTTTAGTCGGCAATGTGCACGAGCGAAATACCTGTAGGTAGAAGAGGACCTAATCATGTATTTTCTGTATCCTTGTGATGGGCATTAGATATCTGATCTCACGTCCGCATCTATCTCAACATAGAGTTTAGTGGTGGTGTCGTTGATCACTTAAGCCACGGAATGTCAACAACCCGCCTGCGAGCGATATTTCCGCGTTGGACTGAATGGTATTACACTTCGCGACAACCCTTGAAAACATTGATTCAATAATATTTAAGAACAAAACAAAATGGGTGGCGATATGGTCGGGAGGTACTGACTATGACTGATGGAAGACAGCAGTCATCAAGGGATAGATCGCAAGTGGCAAGCGACGGGAACGCCTACCAATCATGTCCTTCATCTCTCACATGACGAGGGCAAATAGGAGAGCGTGTTTAACAATGCAATCAACAGGTGTTTGTAGTCGAGGCCAAGGGTATAACCAGTTGTATTCCTACATTACAGCAAAATAGACGGTGTGGTGAAAGCTTGTACCAGCTTTAAGTCTTGAACACGGGTGAACAAAGTCCTTGAACATTCCATCACCAGGGTGCGTTCGTATTGACATAGGGGCCAAGGGACATCACGACGAAGACATTGGAAATCACAAACTCGGAGCGGTCACACAAGGCACTTTGTGATAACATGGTTTAAAAACACTGAAAACTTTTGATTTGGTTTCCGCTGGATGTAACAGCTAGGAAAGGTATCTGACAACTCCGAAACCAGAAATATCCCAAGGCGCGATCTATAGATCAAGCGACACTCAATAATCAATGATAACCAGAAAAAGAAGAAGAGAGATAAGAATTTCACAAAAAAACAATGAAACCCCTCCTCGATGCCCGTCATCGAGGGATATTTTTTTTTGTTCAAGGAGCCGAAAGGTTCGGTTTACTCCGTAGACGCACCGTGGGCCAGAGCCAAGTTCTTCCAACGGTCGCGCTCTGCGATCAGTTCCTCGATCTTAGCTTCCAACTCCTCCAAGCGCTGAGCCTTGCGCTCACGAGACTTGCGAGCAGCCAAAGTGTTGCGGGCGCGCTTCATGGCAACGACATCGGAAGGATCCTCAACAATAATGGGGGGCAAAGGCTTGTCGCGACGGCGAGAGCCAACACCAGCGACCGACGAGTGACGACCGCTGGGAGGGCTGACAGACGACTTCCTCCTCTGATGACCAGAGCCCGGAGACAGAACCTCCAGATCCTCAGATGGGGTAGCAGGTGAAGCTTCAACAGAGTGAACTGTTTGCTCAACGGTCGGCTGAACGGTCGGCTGCACAGGTTGAATCAACTCAGGCAGCGGTTGTGTTTGCTGCTCAGTCTGAGTCTGGGTCTGAGGCTGGGTCTGAACCTGAGCCTGAGGTAGCGGGTTGGCATCAGGGAACAGTGAGAACCACGTGTCTGGGTTTTCCAGGTCACTATGTCCAAAACTAGGAGAGATGTCGAAGGTATCGAAATCCGGCGAACCGTCGAAGAGCGAAGGCGAAGTCAAAGCCGTAAGAGCAGTGGAGCTAGGTGCAGATAGATACGGCTCATGGAGCAGAAGCTCTTGAGGCGAGACAGTGCCCATGTTGGAGACGGAGCTAGGGACGCTGCTCGAAAGATCGTATGTCTGGTTGGCAGGCGAAGCGAACGCCGCCTCGGTGGTAGCTCCACCGTCAAAGGTGGCGAAATCCAGCAGGTCCAGTTCTGTGCGAGATTGTAAGCGCATGTTGAGAGGCGGCATGCGATAAGAGGTGTAATTACCTGAGAACATCTTGTTGCCCTGCTTTCCGTACGAAATACTACCGGTACTTTTGGGAAACAAGGGAACAGGAGGGCGCTGCTGTGCGCGGTTCTGGGTGTTCAGGATTGAAGCTGAAGAAGGTGCTGAGGAAGCGTAGAACTGTTGCGGATGCGAGTTCTGAGAAGAGCTGTACCGATTGGTGAAAGCCGAAGAATTGATTTGGTGCCCTGTAGCCTGGATGATGTTTGCAACTCGCTGGTTTTGCAAAGACGGAGACAAATGCTGGCTACGATGTTGCTGATTCAGGTTGATACCTCGGGTTGGAGGCTGGAGAGCGTTGCGATTATGTTGACGGTGTGGTCTGATCGGCTGATCGAACAAGACAAAGTCCTGAAGCGGTGGCTGTTGTTGTGCTGGTGATTGCGCGGAGAGTGCCGGCAGGCTCGGTGAACTGGAGGGAAGCCATGTTGACTGTTGGGAATCCGTGGTGAAGACTGGAAAGTCTTGGCCGTGAATGGTGGCGGTGGGGGTAAGAGAACTTGAGCGCGAGCTACGAAGCTGGGTGCTGAAGTTCAGATCTACCTGTGAAGGAAGAGCTGAAGGGGTTGACGGAGAGGGGGAAACGTAAAATTGTTTAATGTTGACGATTACCGAACTGGAGTTCGAAAGAACGGGGAAATGGGAGCGATTTAACGCATCTTGATGGATGCTTCTCGTGATACTGGTTTGGTTTGATAGGGTGGATTTGGTTGCAGAGAAGAGAAAGGAAGGTCAAAGAGGGAAAACTGGGCGGAGGGAAGGATTTTGTATCAGGCAGCAAACTGCAGTGCAGTGGCCCTGGCAGTGCCGGGCGAGGCACCCACGCACGGCCGCGCAACCGGTTGGTCCTTGCCCACCACGAAACCCTTCTGAAAGGTCAGATGGAAGTGTGCGACAGTGCGCGTCCCCAAGCCAATGCAGGCGCCATGGATCCACTCCCCACCTGCAAGATTGCATTGTGCGTTCTTATTGGTTGCCGCACAGCCAGCCAAAGGGGGAAGTATGAGTCACAGCACCGATACAAGAAAATTGCAGAACTAACATATGGATGGTAGCGCTATTCTGTACAGCTCTGGGCAAAGCACCAATCCCGCGGGTCGGTACACACACTAGCACTGCCCCACCTGAGGCAGTCAGCCCCGCTGACCGAATTGCCAAGAGCCAATAGAGACAGAAAGCCAACGCTGATGGAGCACCATCTGAATGGACCTCGCTCGCTTGCCTGGAAGGGACAAGGGACACAGGAGACAGGGCCTCCAACCAAGGGCGCGGGAAAGACGATCTCCAAAGTCGCAACGGCCCAGAAAGAACGCATCACATTCGGATGGGATGGCTTGAAGCCAGCTTGCAGCAACCTCAAAGCTTCCGTCGAGCTGTACGCGTATCCGCACCTCAGGCATCCATCATTTCAGTTCATCCCGCCAGTCCACCACCAGCCCAGAGAGGCAGGGACAGTTGGGAACTTTCCAGGTTGCGATGACCGAACCGAACCGATGCCATCATCGGTTTGCCGGTCCGCATGAGAAGACATAAAAAACAATGCAGCCGATTTGATACCGATCAGATCCCGATTCCTGTTTGGAACTTTTAAGCCGACTCCGTTCTTCTCCACCTCTCAAGAATTGCGCAACAGTCTCCTGCATGGCTCCTCCCTGCTTTCACGGCGCTGTGAAGACGGTCGCTGGGAATGATTGAGCGGAAAATACCATACCCACCAGTTGGGTATACTTCACGTGTAGGTACCAGCACGTATGTACACTACACTACACAACTCTCTTTTGCGTTTTGCTTCTTGTGCGGATTTTTCCTCGGCTAGCCTTATTGAGCTGTGCGGTCCATGTGCCAACCATGAAAGAAGCTCACCGACGCCAGACCTGGTTGAGTTCCTTGTCCTACCGATATCGGACAGTTGAGTTCGTACGGACAAGGCTGGCGGCATCTGGATTTGGTTTCTTCTTCTGGGAAATAATTAAGATCAACAAAGCTTTGTCGTCGAATCACAAAAGTCAATTGCAGTTTTTCTCCTCAACAGACGTTCTCCGCGGGGAAGCCAAGATACACTACTTTTCACAACTTTTGTGTGGGAGAGCTTGGCGGTCAGGGCGACCTGAGCGGGGTACAAAGAAGGGTTTCCACGTTTCATTTTGACTCACAGGACTCATCGCATACTACTACATAGACCAGCTACGATGCGCTAAAACAGCGTTTCGTTCTTTTAGCGAACGCTGGAAACAAGATCTGTTGTGTTGGACACGCTTTACGATGCAGCAGCGAACGGTCTCGACGTGAATAGCGTTAAACAAGATTTTAAACGAAAGCGCGATATAGTGGTAGCAGCGGAGCAGAGTGGGAATTGTGACAGGTTGATTCGCGCAGAATCCCTTCGTCTTTTTTCTTCTGAGGCATTTGGAGATTACAGTTCCGTACAATCATACAGTACGTACACCGACAACCGGAAACAATGGCACAAGTGCGTTAAAAGGATCTACCGGTTGTCGGCCGGCTGAAAGATAGGTATTTTTCACCTTTTGTAAACCTGTGATACCGGCAGCCGAGCAAGCCGTAACCGACGGAAACTATCGATCTGCATCCGAATACCCTCATCACGATGTTACGGTATCATGAGAGCAAAGGTTGTTGAAGATGTCATTATGTACAAGTACGCAGCACGTCGAGGAGTGGCCACAGCTGACGACACCATTTGGCAGTTCTTGAGGCATGAGGGTTCTTTGGCAAAGAGGATGGATGCTTCCATCTGGACCAGGCATGTATTGCCGTATGTATCTAGGAGCCAAAAAAACAACACAGTATTCCCAACCGTCAGGGCAGGTACAGTGGTGAGGGCAGAAAGTTTTGAAGAAGAACTTTTTTTTCCAAACAACATGCGCACCCGAAGCTGCAACCATCACGATGTCAAAATGCCGCCCGCTCATGCATCGATGCATTGCCCTGACATCTCGATATGTGTCCCCGGTGGAACCGCATGCCGCACACTTGGGTGATAACGACTCGGGTCCCCCTCCTGGAGCCCTGACCACGTTTCGCGGATCAACTACGGGTCTACCACGGGGCAACTATGGATATTTTCGAGAGCCCGGAATCGTGAACACTACTTCCACGGCCGGCCTGGTTCACCGATGCCTATCCGGACTACTCTCCGGAGACCCCACAGAAATGTCGCCATCGCTTGCCAGTCTCGCCAGCCCACCGTACCAAGCGCCGAGCCTTGAAAAAGTTTTACGGCCACCGGACTGCGGACCGTGCGGACCTTGTTGAAGTGGGGGTCCGTAGAGGGCCTGGCAGGCTTCGTGGGGGGCGAGACTCCCAGAGACCGTGTACGCTAGACGCCATGTTGATCGTCTTGGAGATCGTGGAGCATCAAACCTTCTCAAGCAGTCAAGTTAGCTCGAGTCGATGGCAAGCTAATATCATCGCAAGCAAAGAGCGGTGATAGTTCCGCGGTGATCGAAACGTTCATGGACAAGAGGACACCCACACGATCGAACACGGGGATACGGGACAGACACGACACGAGTCTGGAGCAGAGCTTCAAGGTTCGTTACTTCCCGGTATTATCACATGTTGATAAAGAGCGTCTTGGCCTTTCACCTGAAAAGTGGTTGGGTGGCTTTGCTCAAAAGCAAGTACAGGCCTCACCAGTTCAACACGGCAACCTTCTTTGTTCGAGTGTACTTTGGTGTTTCATATTCATGTTGGCACATGTCAACCTATTCTCTCATCCATACTCGTCCATGCATTTACACCTTGTTCTTTTCCCAACACCTTGTCTTTAGGTGTCGGTTTCTTGTCACCGTCTAGTCAGTCATGTAGAACCAAACACTTTGCTATTCGAAGCGGCCAGTTGGTCATGACCAGGTATATCATATCCAAACCAAGCATAAGAAAAACGAAAACATCATGCAAGAACCTCAAGCGGAGTCAACTCAAACCATGAAGCACATCACAGAGTCCCCCCGGGATGCTGATAAGGCGACGGCTGCACTTGATCCAACGGTGCCTTCTGCGCCGCTGGATCATTCGGCCAGTGTCCACTCTGATGCTGCTTCACGGGGTTTGACGGTTCCCTAGAAACGTACGCATCCGGATTCTCTCTCATGATCTCATCCTTCCTGCCCACCGCATCCCAATTATAGTTCCCCTCCTTCGCCGCCTTGAGGGCCTCCTCGAGCCACTTCTTCCACTGGAGCGTGCCAGGCAGGGCTCCAGACCTATCCACCCACGCATCCTTCTTGGTCTCGCGAATCGCATACCAGAGCGTCCTTGTGAAATTGGGCGGCTCGTCGTTCGGATCGTGGCTCATGACGTCTGCGGGCGTGATGTCCGTGAACGTGTATCGGGAAAGGTCCCAAAAGAAGCGCTGCGGCAGCAGGCCGCAGACCCAGTAGATGCTGTTGAGCAGGACATAGGCGCCGCCGATCAAGGCCTGGGACGACCACCGGCAGTTACCCAACAGCACCACGGCCACCATGAGCAAAACCATGGCGATGCCCATGAACAGACGGTGGAACTTTGTCGACACGTAGCGGCACTCTTCCGTGCCCTGGTACAGCTCGCGCGCAACTTCCTCGGTGCATTTGACCACGAGGAAGGCGCCCTCGCGCGTGCGGATGACCACGTCGCCTGGTGGCACCTTGGCATTGGCTTGTCGCGCCATGAGAAGCGGGTACCACCACGAGGCGTATCCCATGACGGTGGCGGCGAGGGAGATGGTCACGATGGCGGTCACGGCCGCGCCGTCGTTCCAATAGGCTGTGATGATGAGGATCGTGACGGTGAGGAGGAAGGAGAAGACGTTGATGACATGCATGGGCGAGTCCAGGGCAGGCGGGACGGTGTAGCGCGCGTTGGGGCTGCTGGCGACGCGTTGGGGCGTCATCATCTTGGGCGCAGTGACCATGTCGGTGATGCGCTCGGACATGGTTGGCTGGCGGTTGATGCCGGGCGTGGGGACATGGTCGCCTTGCTCGGGGTCGACGTCGAGGGTGACGTGCTTGTTGGTGCCGTGTTGCCTCCTGAGGGCGCCTGCGTCTGTTTTCGCGCTCGCGTAGGTGCTGGTTTCGTGGCTTCCTCCGTTCATGCCGTTTTCTCTTGTGTTGTTGAATGTGATCTCGCTGTTCCTATCTTCCTGCTTCTTCGCCTTCTTCCTCTTAAGCCATCGGAGACCGAAAACAGTTCCCAAAAAGCCTTCCTTCTCCAGCCGTCTGCTGACATCGGGCTGGAGAAGATGTGTATGCTTGATCTCAAACACTCTAAAGTCGAACGCCTTGTACTCGTCGAGTGGGTGCAGAATGTTGGCAAAGAAGCCGACGGAGTCGAGGAGAGTACCGCCGTAGACGCCTGCCAGTTTGGCGTGGACTTCGGGCAGTCGTTGGGGCCGCTGCGGACGGAGCAGGGCCTGGGGCGCGGGAATCAGGCGCGGAAGCATGCAGAGAGAACTGGCGGTGATGGTTTGAGCGAATTCAGCAACGCTGCCTTCGCCAATGATGGCCAAAAGCGTGATGACATCGAAGCTCCATCCCGGATTGATGTTCTTGCCCCAGGGGAACCAGTGATAGAAACCATCATCGTCGACGTCGGGCATGATGTTCAAGCAACTGGTCTAGCAAACCAGAGGTTCTGATTTGTGGTCTATCTTGAATCGTTCGAGTATATCAGACCGACAGTCGCCAATGGCTTGACGTCCTCGGTTAGTAGACGAGTGCTATGCCGCTGGCAGGGCTCAAATGCGATTGAGATGCGAACGTCTACTCAGACAATCCTTTAGTCTGGTAGTCCGACCGAGGATAAATGTGAAGGATGATAATGAGTTTATAAAAGTCTGTTAACGCCTTGTTAGCTGTACATACATGAGAGAGTGTTCTGGAGCTCCATGAAACTACAGAAGTACAGACATACCGAGATAGTACTTTAAAGAAAACGAAAAACCAAGCTCCAACCACAAAAGTAGGTGCGAGGTCGCAAAAGTTCTCGAGTCTCCAAGCCTCCTTTTTGAATCTTCAGACACAAGTCAGCTTTCCCTTTAACGAATCAGGCTATGTCTCGAATCACGGGGCGTCAGCGCTACTTTCCAACGGCCTCTCAAAGTGAGGATCTTTGGAAAAGCGCCAACAAAGCGGAGTCTCCACCTGTGAAGGATCAGAGTGCTGCAACGCGCCCAGCTAGGCGATAGGCAAACCAGCCTCTCACCTTTCAACGGTCGGTTCTAACGACAAGGGTGACTTGACAGGAGGCTTAATGAAGAAGTAATAACTGGACGGGGCTTTTTGGTGTAAACATAAAAATAATGTAAACCTGGAAATCAACTACCTACCTGGACAAATGCGACACCTACACTTAAAAGTGGTGTATGGAAGAGGGTATAACAGCTCGTGGGTAGGTAGGTATATTCATCGCATGAAGGAGAAAATGATGCTCTGAAGGCGTCCTAATATCCTGTTCTCGATCGGCGATATGAGCCTCCTTGAAGTGTTACCCGGACTAGTGTAGAACCGCGCCTGGGCTGAATGCTGCAATGCAACCCTCGCGGTAACAACTCAACCATCACAGCCTCTCAGAACCCCAGAAACTCCCAGCGCCTAAAAGCCCCCCCCCCCTCCCCCCCATTCGAAATCGGGCAGCCAAACCCTTATGACAAATGAAGGGAAGTGACTGAGTGAAATGTTTGACCTCGAGACTTTGTTGTGGATAGCGAGCCACCAAGCACAGAAAAGACTAAGATGCAGCACGCAATGGCTGAACCACAAATGGGATGGTGGGTGGGTGCCGCCTGGAGCCTTATTGCATTTGGTCCGTAGGCAGCGTTATTCCCGACCAACCTGGCTGGTTATGCCACCAGGACTGCCTGATGGGCTGCGTATCATTTTGAGTATAGATCCAACGCGCCAGGCTGCATGAGACCCCTTCTCCCTCTTCCCTCCTACCCTCAAGATTAACTGAATGACCACCTTGCAGTTCGTCTAACTCGCACTTTGGTTTGTGAGCCTGTGTGCAGTCGAAATGCGACACGGGGAAAAGGCCGAGGGTTGCATTGTGGCGGCCGACCTCAGACACCAGACGGGCAAAGATGGTAATTTAGTTGAGCCACGCGGGGCTCTCCGTAATTGTTTGGAATGGTGGTTGATCTTCGGACGCCCTGGGAGATGAAATGTGCAGTGTTGTGCAACGGATCATGGTCTGTTTCATGTCGTGTCTCTCTCAGCCCCTAACTGGGTGCTGAGGCTGTGAGCATATGCTGTTGGTAGCCGTGCCGCTTGTCGAGCTTCGGAAAGGCGGATAACGACCCCGAGTCGAAGAGGTTGTAGATGGGGAAGTTTGTACATACGCAGCGGATAGAGCATGGAGGAAGCAACGGCGGTAGGGTACAAAGCATGAGCTATAGGGGAATAAATTGAAAGCTAATCAAGGTCCAGTGTGCTTCTTAACGAGGAGTAGAAGAACTTGACCACGGGTCAACAGGAAAGGATATCAAAGAGGCCTCTCTAGCGTGTACAAACGACCACAAAGATCTCGCTTGAATCAAAATAAGAAAAAAAAAACCACCGCTTCTGGATTGACTTGTAAAATCATTGCGCCCACAAACCTTCAAGTTCCCTTCCTTCTAAATCTGCCACCCCTCAGCGTCCATCCCGTCGTCCTTGAGGATCCCTCAAGAGAAAATAATGGAGAAAAAAAAAATGAGTAAACGCCACAAAGCGCTAAAATCCCAATCATGGATGTATCGTAGGCCATCTCTTCGTAACATCGGTCATGACTCGCCGCCAAGAATCCAAAGGCATGGAATCTAGAGCTTCTGGTGCAAGCTTTTCGGCACCAAGTCCGGATATTCCCGCACCAGCTGGTCACAGAATTGCTTCCACAGCTTCTCCCATGTTCTTCTGGTTTGGTACCTCTCCTCGTCATCCATACAGGAGTGGTCAATGCTCCACTCGATCAGTTGGCGTAGCCCATAAAGTGACATATCTGCCTTCCCGACCATAATCTGGTAGAAGTCATGAGATAAGCGAGACCTGTATGAATACTTGTTAGCAGGCTGAACACCGAGCAGGATTCCAGAGAAACGAACCTGAAAAGAGTCCCGTTGTCGGTGCTGATAGTGCAGTGCACATCGTTCGCCAACAAGCTGTAAACCGTATGCCCACTAATCCTAGGGGTAAGGCCCAAGATCTCGTTTGAGATAGGACACACCTCAATACAGACGTTTTGCTTCTTCATTCGCTGCGTGACGTATGGATGCCAAGCCAACGCAAAGCCATGGCCGATACGCTTTGAACCTAAAAGAAGAGCGTCCACCAAGTTGCCGTCGGTCTCCGTGCCGACATCCAGAGTCTCGCCGCAATGGAACAAAAACGGAATGTCGACCTTTGCGTCCCTACACTTGTCCTTGAACTCGAGAAACTGTTCAATAAAGTAACTGAGTGGATGACCTGCTCCTTCCTCGCCAACAAGATCGAATCCTACAGAGCTTCTGTTAGCCTTCGCTTCCCCGTGTCGGCGGGTGCATAATACAACATACCGGCGATATATTTCGCATACTTGTCATTCTGCTTCATCTTTAAGCACTGGTCCAGGGCAAATTTGACCTGGTTGGGGTTGAAAGACCGTGGTGTGCAGTAGATGATCTTGAGTCCCTTGAAGGTTCTGTGCTTGTGAGTCTCCTGGAACTTCTCATACACACCGATAATGAGGTCCATGATTCCTTCGTTGTCAATCCTGCCTTCGCCATTGTCGTGCCAAACCTGGTTGGTTTCCATAAAGTTGGGGCGAATCTCGGCGTATTGGATGTTGTCGTGCACGAACTCCTCCAAGCACTTTAGCGTGTACTCCTTGTAAGCTGCCTCGTAATTGAAAAGCCCTTTCATCATCTGTGTATGAGCATTAAACCTTTGCCAGGCACTTGGACAAAATTAGCTTTGCGATTGGCACGAATCAAGAATCCACGTAGAACCTACCCCTTGGCCGTTTGATGTGGATTGTAAGCCTCATCCGGCTGAAACACGATTTTGCGTGTCAGGTATTCGTCGACAAGATCTTTCCCAGACATAATCTTCAGCCGAGATTTCTCATCGCTTGCATAGGCCTCCTCGTACTTCTTGGCAAACCCGTTGCAGAACTCCTTGAAAAGCATAATGTGTTTCGGTTGGCCAGACTCATCCTCCTCCTTGGCTCCATTGAGATCCGATTCATCTCGTGTGAAGAGGTCTGGTTGCCCCAACCAAGTTGTCTTGAAGTTATTTTCGCTGAGAATGCTGAACTTCAGATGGCATCGCTCAAAGGCCTTCTTGTCAAGCAGGGGTATGTCGCTCATGATGTACATGTAATCTTGCTCTTTCGCAATGTTGAGCAAAACTTCGGGGAGCAAGTTGGCGTTAAAGTGTATGTGAAGGTGAGCGCCTTTGGGCATCTTCTGAATGGCCCGGTATAGTCTCGTTTTCTCAATGACTGGGGCATTGACTAGAAAACGATCCCCGGGAACGCGCTTGTGTTTCTGACCAGCATAACCCTCGATTCGGGCCTCCTTTTCGTAGACCTCGGTGACATCTAGGTCCTTCAGTCTTTGGATCACCGCATTTGCCTTCATCTCCGTGCTATCTGCCTCGCTTGTGCAATGGTGGTCGAACCCAAGTGCCTTTTCGCGCCTTATGACCTCATCACGCTGCTGGAAATATTCCTTCGCGTTCGGGGGCGTGGGCGTGTTGATGTCTTGTTGGAGCAGCTTGATGGGTGTGGACTTGTGCTGGTCCCTCGCTGCAATCACTCTGTCGAATGATTCAACCAAATCATACGGCCTGGGGGCAGGCGCCCGGGGCTTTTCGTCGCCTGAAGCCATCTGGCCTGAGATAGGTGGGGATGATGATTTGCTTGACGGAACAAATGGAAAGATCCTTCGTAGCTTGCTTAATGGGTGAGGAGAACTTGGGTCTTTTTTTTGAGCCATGCCACACATCTCGTGGGAGAACCGACAGGACTTTTATAACCTTTTACATGCGGGTTTGGGTTCAACGCAACGGCTCCCTCTCGTCCTCCCTTTACGCATCCGGCAGGCGGTTTAGTTGAGATGATAAAGAGCCCGTCGTTGGCAATCTTCCTTTCAAGTATAAAAGTGATTGCTCGACAGATCGCGCCAAACAGCCCGATGATAACAATGAAAGGGCGGTCCAGCTGGGTAGAGAGAAAATAACGGGCGTCGATACTGACGCTCTTAGCCTATGACGACCTTGGACAAGTCGGCATCGTTGGATGAGCTCGATCGCGCCAAACAGGGGGTAGCTCCTTTCAAAACAAAGGGATTTAAAACGTGGAGCCGCGTGGAGTGGTTTGAAGAGTACCTCGTGTTGGTTTCTGAGGCCAAATTGAGGTGAGCAGCAAGATGTGTTCGGATGAACTGAAATCTGAGCGTCACAAGTCTCGGCAGGGCTGTAAGGCACAGCAGACGACGAGGCAGCGGCAGCAGCCAAGGAAGGGCAGCAGCCCCTCACAAAGGCGCTTCCCTCGCTTCGCGCCTTCTGGTAGGAATGCCCTATTCAGGATGGATGCCACACGGGAGCCTGTGTGCCTCCGGTAAGGTAAACAGCTGTCACGGTACACTCATACATACCTACCGACCTAGCTCACAGTCATGCCCCCGGCCATCTCCCGTCCCTTTTCACCTGGAAGAAAAAAGTGGTCATGTTGCAATCCCGCTGCGCCTCCTCAAGGGAACTCCTCAGGCGGGTGTGGATGTCCAATCGCAAGGGACCTATCGTAGGAGCCAGTGGGCTGTGTGAGAGATCTTGGCACACAGGCATAATCATTTACAGTTGAGATCCATGAAATTGCATACTCCAGATACTGCATATATGCTAGTTATTGCATAGGATTCTGAGGTCTGAAATAGCTATCTTGGCTCAAGCCCCGCTTCCAGAAGCTGCATATAGGCCATTCACTGCATGGATTTCGGCGGTCATGCAGTTTTAGGGGTCTCGATTGTAGTGGTTTATGCACGATCCAACGCCAACTCCAATGGCCAACTCCAACTTCAACAACCTCCGCCCACCACACGAGCTTGCTGTTAGATAATCATTCAACACCAATCCACCTGACAATGACTTACACCGTCCGCTATTCCTTGATTGACGATGTACTTTATCCCTTGGTATTCCATGGTTCAATCAACCGACAACATCTTTTACTCTGTTGGTCAATATGAGACGCCGCCTTGATGCCGTCGCAAGCAAGACCAACAGCCCGTGACCGTTTACCACTTCAATAATTGCCCACTTGCTCGAAGCATCATCCAGCGCCGTGGTAGCCCTTTATGTAGCACACCATCAGCTGATGTTAGGAAAATCCAGCCTCACGAGCTTCAGAGGAGTGTCATATGCAATTAGAGAATCACCAGGAAACATATTGAGCTCACCTACCGAAGCCGGCCGCCGAACATTTGAGATCATCCGCCATGCACCGATAGCCAGACCTTAGAGCGGAATACCAAGCCACCAAAATGACATAAAGCCAAAGTGTATTGACGCAGCGAGCGGACTTCCAGTAAGCAGACGTACCGGCAAGCTAGGTAGTTGGTGCATCTTACTACCTAGCTGGTTCAAACATCGAATCGATGAGCGAAGTTAAGATATCAAAACGCCGATCATCCTCTGGGTCTTTTATGAATACGTCTCCACTGAGTTTCCTTGAAGCTCCTAACACCCAGTCAACAGATGATCAAATCTGCGCCTGACATTCCGGACCTGCACGAGTCATATACTAAGCGGCAAGTTGATACCGGATGCGGTGAAATACATGATCTGTCTGTTGGAACAGGTTGAAAACTTGCAAACTGAAATTTCCAGTTGGGATTAATCATACACCTTGTACACTTCCGGACGGACTGGGGTGTTTGACTAACAGTATCTTTCCCTTACCATCGTTCGGTCCAACATGTGAAAGACATACCCTCTCCAACATGTGCCAGCACAAACGGCTCGGCAATAGATGTGTGCCAACAGATCAGAAAGAAGCCTTTCTGAATGCCTCAGGCTAATAAACCCCATCATTTTTTTTTTTTTTTCTGCATTCACAAGACAATGGAAATGCGTTGCGCAACCAATCAACCAACCACTGTCCATCCGAGCGAGGCTGTGCCGGTTCGTCTCAGCCCTAAACGACCCGCTTGTCAATTTGAGGTTCAACTGTTTCCGGTCCCTTGGGACACCAACGGTTGCTCAGATCTGCCCATTTTGACAAACTAGACTATCCACCAATCCACCAACATGGTAGCCCGATGAGCCGCCTTGATCACTGCCGAGCAAAGTGGAACATTTCACTGCCTGTCATCGTATTTCGTAAAGAAGGGTGATTTTGCAAGCCCCATCCGGCAGATGAACTGGCAAAGAAGGAGACAACGATTCCAGGCTGTCATACCGTGTACAGTATACCGAACGCAAGCGGGTTTAGTTTGACAGTTGGCCGTTGATGATACTGAGAGCGATGGAGAAAAACTGGCAAGGTCACAGGGAGTGTTGATCAATGGGTATGACATGACATGGACATCACTGTCTCACCGTGGAGTGTTTCAACCTCACAAGGCTCTCTCACGACCGGCGCGGAAACACCAAAACTACCTCTGGTTTGATTTTCGATTCGGGGTCATAGCAGGCAACAACAACAACCGCGACTAGTATAATGGGATTCTATTCAATTTATAACTCATCTGACATCTAGATAACAGGAGCCAGGCATGGGCACTACGTTTATCGCATGGCTGTAGGCCAGGAAGGAGGCATGAATCACCAGCCAGAGTCGCCGGACCTGCGTTAAACGGTTTGACTTGACATGGCATGCTGTCCAGGGCGATACACGGCCGGATTCTTATTCACAATACATCTCCCGTAAGTAAACTTGATGTAAGCTCATTATAGATGGTTTCGATAACTCGGTACCCACGCATCGCAATCAAGCTCCGCGCAAGTCCATACTAGAAACTATCCTGATTCTAGTCTATACATATAGAAGATGGTAAGGGCGGCAACGATTATGGCCAGTCACCCGTCCGTCACCATCTATGTCTTACATATCGCCAAGTATGAGAATAACAACATGATGCTGTCCTCTAGCCAAGTTGAAGAAAGATGCACGCGCCCACCCCCGGACAATGCATCAAGATAGGAAAGAGAAAAATTGGTATATCGCAAATGCAAACAAAAAGCACACAGAGAAATCCTTGACTGGTCGGAAAGAGGAAGCAAAGCTTTTGTTATACCAGAGAAGAACCGAGTTTTAGCAAGGAAAGAAAAGGAGACAAGTCTGACAGGACAGATCAGTCTATCAATGACCGTTTAGTCATCGAACTTGATGCCGCCGACGGCGGAGGTGTCAATGCGCCCGCCCCGGTAGCTGCCCCTCTTCTTCTTGTTCTTCTCCTTGGTGAAGCCCTTGCCTCTGGTGACGATCAAATCCTCGTGCGCCTTCTGGCCCCACTCGTGACCGGCGAAAGCGTTGGAAGCGAGACGCGGGTCAACAACGACGTCCTTGCGCACGCGAGAGAAGGGCTGGATCTCCTTCTTGGGTAGGGGTCCATTGGCCTTGCCCCGGTTGTTGGTCTTCTCCTCGGTGGTAGGGACAGGAGTGGACTCGGTGGAAGCCTTGAGCGTGGCGGAGGAGTCGGAGCCGTTGGTGGAAGCGGCCTTCTTCTTCTCAGTCTTCTTCTCATCCTCAGAGTCGGACGAAGAATCGCTAGAAGAGCTGTCGCTGGAGGAGCTGTCAGACTTGGTAGCCTTCTTGGCTTCCTTCTTGACCTCCTTCTTCTCAGCCTCGGACTCAGAAGAGTCAGAGTCGGAGTCCGAGCTGGAATCGGAATCAGACGAAGAGTCCGAAGATGAGTCAGAATCGCTGGAGCTCGAATCCGAATCAGAAGAAGAGTCGGAGGAAGAAGAGTCTGAGCTAGACTCGGAAGAAGATTCGGAGGACGAAGAGTCGGAAGAGGACGAGTCCGAAGACTCCTCCTTCTTGGCGGCAGCGGCCTTCTTGGGGGATGCAGCCTTAGCGGCGGGCTTCTTCTTGTCGTCTTCGGATTCGGAGGAAGAAGACGAGTCGGAGGAGGAGTCAGATGAAGACTCAGAAGAGGAGGAAGAAGACTCGGCAACCTTCTGCTTCTTGGCCTTGGGGGCCTCGTCCTCGGAGCTGGAAGAGTCGCTGGAGGAAGAATCGGACGACGAGGAAGAGCTCTCAGAGCTGGACTCGGCCTTGCGCTTCAGAGGGTTGGTGGCGGAGGCGGCGGCCTTGGTCTTCTTGGCCTCATCCTCGCTGGAGCTGGAGTCGCTAGAGCTGTCGCTCGAAGAGTCGCTGCTGCTAGAGCTTGAGGACTCGGCCTTTTTGGCGGAGGCTTCTTTCTTCTTCTCATCTTCGCTGTCGCTATCGCTGTCACTGTCCGAAGACTCGGACTCGCTAGAGCTGCTGCTCTCGTCATCGCTGTCGCTATCATCGCCGCTGGTGCTACCAGCCTGCTTGGGCTTGGCCTCCCAGGTCTGGAAAATGGAGACGAGGGAAGCGTCGGAGGACTTCTTTTCCCAGCCGTTCTTGGTGATCTGCTTAGTGAATTCGGTGGCAGCGTCTCCGAAGTTGTTCTCGGTGAGGAATTTCTCAACGGCGGCGAGGAGCTGGGCGGAAGGCTGGGCGGCAGCCTTCTTCTTGTCGCCCGACTTCTTGACGACCTTCTTGGTGCCGGCCATTTTGGGTTTTTGTTCAGTAGAAGGCTCTGAGGCAGGAGCGGTCGACGAGGAGGTGGTGTTGTTGGAGAAGAGCCAGGAAGGCAGGGCGGACATGGAGGTGAGAATGCAAAAACACCAGAAGGATCCTCTGAAACTCGAACAAAGATCGGTTCTGGACAAAGGACGCGGGCGCGCTGGGCGAGGATCGACTGTGGAATTCGAAATTCAATGGGCCCCGCGACGGACGACTGGCAAAAATTTACGGGGCCTTGGCCGAATTGGGCCAGACCGCCTTCCAGTTTGGGTTTCTGCCGCACTTCTCCGCCCTTTGGCCTGCCCTTGGCATCTTGTATTCGGGTACCTCGTCCCATGTTTCTTGCTGCAGCTGTCGGCCAGTGGCAAGGCGGGGTATCCTTGCTGTATCGTCCCCAGCGACGGGATAAGGTCAAAGCTTACTACTGTCGGTGTATGCTCTTACATGCATAGTCACACTCATTGGCATAAACTGTTATTGTTCGCCGATGCTGACCCTGCTCACAACCCATACTCGTCAGGTCTTCAAAATCGACCGTCTGACTAGACGAGTACATCCCTTCTTGAACACTCGTGATCCAGTTGTTGATATTGGATCGTTTATAGAATTGGATGGCACGTTCAGAAATGAAAGATGGACGCCTTACTAATAATTCAAAAGTCATTCGACTCCAGGCTCACATCGCCACGAAGCCCCTCAACGGCTTACTTTTCGCTGGTCCACGAAGGGTGTTGGCAGTTATTCCGCCAGGCAGCCGAATAAGCTCGACTCCTATTTGCTCTCATATTCGGACTTTTCGCTTGCAGCGTTTCAATGTTCGGACAGCATAAGGAGCTCCAGATTCAGTGCCCCTTGGCCACAAAACTGCTGACGGGTGGAGGCCATTCATCGCTAAGGCAAAGCTGTTTCTTCGTATTGCTGGCAACGGACGCGTCACGGCGATGATGGCCCCGCAGGAGCTGCCTTATGAAACCATTTCAGAGGGGATATGTGAGGCTCAGCACCTGCTAGAGTCAGGGATCTATAAATGAGAAATCCTGACTTTGTTTGATGATGGCTACTTTTTCTGAATCTCTACTGTAAATCACATTTTGTACTCTTGATATCACTTGTTGCCGCCTTTGACTTCTCTTTCCCAGAACTCCATCGCCAAATTTTACCAAGATGAGCGAAACCTCTCCCTCCTCCCCCGTCCTCGCCTCAACAGACACCAACCCGCCCAAAGGAGGACCTGGTCTCAACGCCTCCCTCTTCCTCGAACCTTCTCCCGCCTCTGCCCCTTCCGAAACCGAGGGCTGCCTTGCCGCCGACGATGATTTCGATAGCGATGATGACAACGACAACAACAAGGTCACCAAAAGGTTCGGAATCAGTGCCTCCCTGGTGATGATCACCCGCCTCATCCTCTTCGTTCTCACCCTCGCCAACATCATCACCTGGGCCGTCGCCGGAAGACTTGGCAATAACGGCTTTGTGGTGGTCATCTTCGTTGAACTGATCTTCATGTTGATCACGAACGGGTGCTTTATCTTGAAGCTGGTGCGGGAGAACCGGCGCAGCAATGTCCGTGGTCTTAACTTCAAGATTCCTAGGATCTCACTCGCGGTTGGAGACTGGTTCTGTGTCCTTGGCGGTAAGGACTTCTTGGGGCAGAAGTGGATGGATGGTGATAAGAAGACGTGGAGAGTGAGACGCCTTCTTGTGAGGCTGTTTGGGGTGTTTATCGAGTTGTATTTTGGGATAACGTTGATCGTTTTTACGAGTAAGTCCCCCCATAGGTTACTGGTTTTTCGAGTCGAGGAACAGGCCATTCAACAGAAATAGACTACTGACACGGAACCGGCAATCAACTAGAGTGCGCCTTCGACGATGCTTGGTGGTACTACTTGAACAGCTGGCAAGCTCCTCTCATCATTGGATATGTTATCGGGTATGTTACTATCTGAACGCGAAGCCCATGATTTGTGTTCAGTACTGATATCTTCCATCTATATCTACAGAAGCTTCCAGCTTCTCGCCGTCATCCTCGACCAGATCAAGCCGCTTGGCCGGAGAACTACCATCGAAATCGCATACCACAGTGATGGACCTGTGCAAAAGGATTATTACATTCAACTCCCCGTTGAGACCGAGGCCGAGGCAGGGAATCCTCCGATGTCCATCGCCGCTTGATTATACGCCTCTATACATACGGTAAACAGGGACTTCTTCCACTGACTCGTCTGGGATCTTGAAACTTTGCAACAGTGGTGAGGGAGCACAAGGTTGTGAGTTGGTAACTTTACGGACGATGAACAGAAGCTATTACACGGACGACAATATGCAATGAATAAAACCGAAAACTGGCAACATGGATAAAAACACGCCAGACTCCTTAGCTTGCGGATAAATAATATACATGTTGCCCTTTTTTTGTTTTTTCATCCCGCACAGCTTTATACGAGCGTCGCTGTATCCAAGATCTAGGCTTTGATGAACATGAACCACCACCACTGATTCACTGCGCACACTTCTCCCACACCTCTACGCCAGTAAGCCACGTACTTCCAACCATCATAAGCCCAATCATGCCCGGCCAGTCTGGAAACCACCCAACAACAGCACCCGGCTGAGCAAGATCAAGCAAATCAGCCGTGATCCTACGTTTGGTCCGCATACGACGATCCATCCGAATCGCCATCCTCTGCTCCTCTTCTGCCCTTTGTTCCAACGCAGCACGCTGGCGCTCCTCCTCCTTGAGTTGATTGCCATGCCCATCATCCGCTTGTGTTCCTGTCTCGTTCTCCTTTTCCGTCTCAGAAGTTCCATCACTGGCAGCACCACCACCACCACCAGCCAGGTCGCGGTCATACACCAGCCTGACCACACCCCCAATCACCCCGCAAACAAGCGCAAACAACCAAAACCTTTGACCTTCCACATGCAAAAACCTATTGACCTCTGGGCCCCACGGGTCCAGCCCCGGTACGCCCAGCGCCGCGCAGAATCCCAGCGTCTCGAAGAGGAGGTACATCCCATTGAAACTCTTGGACATGATGTCCAACCACATGCAGTACATACCCACCTCGCTCTTGTCGATTTCAGTTTGTGCCTGGTACTGGTAATAGAGAGTCGAAGCAGAATGAAAACTGTCCAAGAAGCGAAAGATCCTGAAGAAGCGGCGGCCTTGTGCTAATCTTGAGCGGACGCCTAGAGCAGTGGTGATGACTTGGGATTCTGCTTTGGCTGACGGGGAAAAGAGTTCTTTGGAGGGTGGAGATAAGTTGGATGTGCTGCTCAAAAAGAAGAAGCCAAGGAGGATGCGGAGGGAGGAGAGGATGAGGACGAAGATGGAGCGGATGGAGGGGATGTGGGCGATGCATTGGGCGAGGGCCTGGAAGAGGCGGAAGGTACGTTCGAGACCAGCTAAGAGAAGAAGAGGGCGTTAATCCAGGTTGAACGGACTGTGGTTTGCAGTGGATGAGTGTTGGGTTGGAAAAGCGCAGTAGAGAGAGTATTAAGTGCCCTCAGCAAGGTTATGGAGAACGAAAAGGGAGTGCATCAAACTCACAGGCATCTGTCCCAAACTTGATGAGAGTCTCAAAGTTGCTTCGCTTTTTCACCTTTATCCGCTCAACCATCACCACAACCCTCTTGCCATCAGATGCAGCCACAGCCGCCCCCCGTTCGTTCATCGTGGTGTCCATGTTTTGACTCATCCCCTCACGAACCTCAAAACTCGACGTGCGTGTATGTAGGTATGTGTGCTTCAAACTCACAAACACAAATTCAACACACCAATCCTTCAAGACCCAGTCCCCTTCCCACCACCTGGTCCGCCTCCCCCTCCCTGTCCTCCTCCTCCTCCCTTGCCCTGCCCCTGCGTACCCCTCTTCTTTTTCTTCTCCTTCTCCTTTGCGTCCTTATCGGCTTGTTGCCGACCACCCAGCAACGGACCAGCCAACAATCCTCCCACGTCCTGAGTCGACCCGGTCCTCAGCGACAGCGAGTAATAATAATAATAACCCCGGAAACTGGGGATGCTCGTGGGACGGGTGATGTGCGCGCCGGGCCCGCGGGCAAGAGAGGTGGATGCGTGGCGGGCGTGGATGCCGAAGGAGGAGCCAACGATGGAGGCGGATGAGGGTGGGAGGGAGGAGGTGGATTGGGAGCGTTGGTGGGAGAAGCCGCTTGGGGGCATTTGGTGATGTGAGGGTGGGTGTGTATGTGTTTGTATTTTGCTATTTGAGAGGGAGTCCAGTAGAGGGTTGAAGCTTGTTGAATTCAAGAATATTGCGGTCTGGTGGTGAAGGTAGTGAGGTTGTGAGTGTTTGAGAGTAGATGATTTTTCCCATAAAAGCGGTAAAGATTATTTGAGCTTTTTGAATGAGATGATCTTCAGGAGCAAGCCTGTTGTAATGTGAATCAAGAGTCGATTTGTACAGCCAAAACAGGACCCATCGGCGTGACTGTTTACGACCCCTTATGAACCTGAATTAGGAAAAACCGAGGGGCAGAAGAAGGCTGTGAAGCTGTGTTTTTGGTGTCTTGAGAGGTGTTCATTGGGCAGGCATGGAGCCCTGGGAAGATTGACAGGTCATCAGGGTCCCCAGAAAAAGGCCGTTCTCGGTTGTGGACGAGTGGAAACACGCGCGCGGGAGCACCCTGAACTGCTCCCCGGACATTAAGTGGAGGTTGCTGGGATGATGGCTGGATCTGTTCTGGGCCTGAGTTGTCAACGGTTCCATAGCGGAATGAAAATCATCACCACCAAAACAACAACACATGTGATCTGACGGGATCATCGACAATATCTGACATTTCGCCTCACCACTTTGTGTCTCATCCAAATTTCATGCCCCACCTGGTCAAGGGCACACCATATTTGCAAGACGTAAAGGCCAAAATAAATACAATAACATAAGCCCAACTGAGGAAGTCTAAAGTTTCTACGGCATGGCTTTTGTGCACAGACGTATGATACAGACACGCTCTAAAAGCGGCCGGTTTTCTCTATGTTGGGCTTATAACAAAGAAGGCTCTATGCGTACTGGGAACGCACTTTCTTCGGCCTCCATCCTGTTGTTGATTATTCACTTGAAAGCCATGCACCAAGCACTGTTGTCTTTAGACCGCTTACATGCCAGGCGAGACGAGCTTGCCCTGTTGTCTGGCATTGCGTTGCCAGCCACCAGCAAGAGCCTCACCACCGTTCTCCTGGGCAAACTTCCGCATACGGGCCTCCAGCTCGGGCCGGAAGTGGCGGATGAGGCCTTGAATAGGCCAGGCAAAAGCTTCGCCGAGAGCTGAACCAACCATTGTCAGTACCAATCAACAATGATCATGGAACAAAGCAAATAGACCTACCGCAAATGGTGTGACCTTCAACCTGCTTGGTCAACTCCTGGAGCATATCAATCTCCCTCTCGCGGCCCTGACCCTTCTCGAAACGCTTCATAATCTGCTCGGTCCACTTGCTGCCTTCACGGCAAGGTGTGCATTGGCCGCAGGATTCATGGCGGTAGAAGTGGCTTAGTCGGGAAATGGCGCGGACGACATCAGTGCTCTTGTCCATGACGATAAGGGCGGCGGTACCCAGACCGGACTGGCTGTCCTTGAGCGCATCGAAATCCATCAACTGGCTATCGCAGATGTGCTTGGGCAGGATAGGCGTCGAGGATCCACCGGGAATGACGGCCAAAAGGTTATCCCAGCCACCGCGGACACCGCCGCAGTGCTTATCAATAAGCTCACGCATCGGGATGCTCATCTCCTCCTCAACAGTGCACGGGTTGTTGACGTGGCCGCTGATGCAGAAAAGCTTGGTACCCTGGTTGCGCTCACGGCCGAAGCCGGCAAACCAGCTGCCACCACGGCGGCAGATGGTGGGAGCGACAGCGATAGTCTCGACGTTGGCAACAGTCGAAGGGCAACCGAACAGACCGACGGCGGCGGGGAAAGGAGGCTTCAGACGGGGCTTTCCGGGCTTGCCCTCAAGAGACTCGATCAAACTGGTCTCCTCGCCGCACACGTAGGCACCGGCACCGCGGTGGAGGTAGACATCGAAATCGTAGCCGGAGCCGCAGGCATTCTTTCCGATAAGCCCATCAGCATAAGCCTCGTTGATGGCGTTCTGCAAGATGGCAGCCTCCTGGATGAATTCGCCACGGATGTAGATGTAGGCAGCAGTAGCATTCATGGCACGGCCGGCGACCAAGCAGCCCTCGACAAGTTTGTGGGGATCCTTGCGCATGATCTCGCGGTCCTTGCAGGTACCCGGCTCACCCTCATCGGCATTGACGACCAAATAACGGGGCTTGTCGTCCTTGTCCCAGTCCTTGAAGTTCATGAACGACTGACATGCAAGAGATAACAGTCAGTAAGCATGCCGATTGAATTTATTTTCTAGAAGCCCGTTTTGCAAACACACCCATTTGAGTCCCGAGGGGAAACCAGCTCCACCACGGCCTCTAAGACCAGAGGCCTTGACCTCGCCAATGATCCAGTCGTGACCCTTGAGGAGAATCTCCTTGGTCTTGTGCCAGTCGCCCATCTTTTTCGCATGCTTCAGGTCGGGCGGGTAACGGCCGTAGAGGTTCTGGAAGATGCGATCCTGGTCCTTGAGACCGCCGTAGTGGCGTACGGGATTGGCAGAGCCATCTTGGACGGTCGCAAAGGTTCGGCATTGCTCGACGGCGGCGCGCGAGAGGGTCCTGGCCGACGCCTTGGTGGGCGCCGCGGTACGTGAAAGCATGATGGAAGTCGTATCTGCTCCAGACTCAGAGCAGTGTGGGGTATGCCTATGGAGGCCGGGAGCGGGAGGGGCGGACTCTGGGGTGTCGTTGTCGGGGATGGGGACTCGAGAGGAGTGGGTTGAGGTTATTCCACTTTCCCACCTGTTCGGTCCCCCGTTGGGGCTGGTTTGCCTCGCTACATTATAAGTTCATGGACGTAACCGGTTCTTCCCTCATCCTGATTGGCCGTTTACTGTAGGCTTAGGTGTGGCGCTTGGGCCTGTGGCGGAAGCTTGGTGCTCCGATGTGCACTGCAGACGCCAGACGGAGGGGTGCAATGAAGTCGGAAGCTGTGACCAACTGGCTGGACCAGCTCCGTCGACCGACATCTTGCGCTTTGTTCCTGCGTCAAAGATGCCCTTCTCTTTCGTCCCAAGGTGCGCTATGCAGCGGCGCATGTTGTCCAGATCAAAAGTTGGAAAGAGTTGAAGATTACAAGAGGTCCATGAGAATTTAAAGACCTCAGACCCAACAGATCCATCATCCGCGAGTCAGGGATGCCCTTTGCAAACGTCAAGCATGCATGACTAGCAAATCCCCGCCCACCGAACCCTACGACCTCCATCTTCATCTCCATCAACTCCATAAACTTTGACGATAGCGTCCGAGCTTGAAGCTTCCAAAGCTTCCACCCCGGGCATCGGCCATCCGAGATCTAGAGTTCCGTCCGATCGAGCGACCAATACCAACCAAAGGACCGACCGCCAGATTTTGAGACAAGATCTCTTTGGCAAGACAATCACGAATAAACACCCATTGTGACAACACATCACTCACCATAAGTGATTTGGCACCAAAAACACAAACGAAACACAGCAATAATGTCATCAGCAACCCCCTCCCCCGTCCCCAGCTCCGCCCACGGGCACCACAAACGGCACTCCATCCTGCCCGCCGTCTCCCAATCCGGCCCAAAGCCCCCCGTGCAATTCTCCTCGTCCTGCACCATCGCCGACAGCGCCCTGCTCACGGGCCCGCACACCATTATCGTCAGCACCGAGAGCGTGATCCACCCGCGCGCGCGGCTCGAGTCGCTAGGCGGTCGCGTCACGGTTGGACGGCGCTGCATCGTGCATGAGCGAGCTTGCTTGGGGGCGGCTGACCTCCAGGGGAGGTACCACAAGGGGAGTCCGGATAAGGAGGGCCGCTCGATGGGCGCGGTAACGCTGGGGGACTACGTGACTGTCGAGGTGGGCGCGCAGGTTGAAAGCGGCGGGACGGTGATTGGGGAGGGCACGACGGTGGGCATTGGGACGAGGGTTGGGGCGGGGGCTGTTGTTGGGAAGGTAAGTTCAACTTTAACAACATGGGGTGATCTCGCTCCAGTGCTCATGGTGTCGTCGTGCCTTTATAAGACTTGACTGGACTGGACTGACGCATTGATACTGCCACAGCATTGCACTCTAACCGCCAACAGCACCGTTGCAGCAGGTGAGGTTATTCCAGACTACACGGTGATTTACTCAAACGGCCTACGGAGAATCGACAGGAGAGGAGTGTCGGATCTGAAGAACAAAGCACAAGCGCGCCAAATCGATGTTCTTAGGCGAATGATACCCAGCAACCCTGGAAAGTTCCAATGATACCCAGAGGACTCCCTGGTGTGCTGGTAATGACTTCACATGCGGTGCTCTGTTGTTCTGGCTGCAAGTGAAGGCGACTTATCATCACAGAAATCTTGCGATGATTGCATCCCAGAACCCACCGATATCGCATGGCATACAGAAAGAGGCATGTCAAAAGGGCTTTGGCTATCAATTCCCGCCATACCAGAGCTATGAATGCATAAGAAAGGAGAGGTACAGCTCGACTCTGCGGGAAAAAAAAAAAATGAAAGAAAAGAGGGAAATAACTGGCGTGTCGTGACAGGAATACGATCGTGCTATGGGAGAAGAGGAAAAAGATGGATATTGACGAAGTGGAAATGCATCACCGAGGGAAAAAGGTAGCTCGGATTCCGATGTTGCGGAAAATGCAAAAAATTGAAGGAACGATCGGGAATTGAGCCCGACGTGGGGGTCGAACCCACAACCTTGAGATTACGGAGGAACTCCTTAAGAGTCTCACGCTCTACCGATTGAGCTAGCCGGGCAAGCGGCTATCAATCACTCCTTGATAGGAGGAGGACCGAGTCCAAGTCCTATAATGTTCATTTCACTAGGAATCCTAAAGTTCAACGCAACCAAAACAATCAATGCCTCCTCTTTTCTGTCACGGCGGGTATTCCTTCACTGCATTCCCACCCAAGCTACCAGATATCAGGATATGTTTATTCCTTCCCCTTGCACCCACGTGATATTCCCTTTTTAAAAAACCATCTATAGAAATCCCAGTTTTGACGTAATCATTAGTGTCATGACGCCTTGGTCGTCCGAGTTATGTTATCCCCCAATCTCCAACTTGCATTACCTATCCCATTCCATCCCATCACAAATACCTAACCTTCATCCACTCACTCGTCCCCAGCCCCAAATTTAACCCATTCTCGGCCCACCACCTCCTCACCCTCGTCTGATCACCCAACGAATCCTCCAGCGCCTCCTCGATATCCATCGTCTTGTACTCCACCCTCTTGCCCTTCCTCCCATTCATCCCGGGTAGCTCCCCATGCGCATACCTTCGCCACCATTCCAGGACGGGTATATGCGCATGAAAGGTCGGCTCTATAAGAATCTGATTATCAAACTGCATCTTATCGTCCCCCCTCAGCTCGCGCCACAAGTCCAAAATCTTGACCTGGCCCCATCTACTCGCTATCTTGCACACGTGCTCCTGGTGCTCCAAGGGCACCCCGGACTGCTCGAGCCACCAGCGCATGATCTCCACGTGGCCGTACTGCGCCGCCATCAGCAGGGAGCGGCCCGGTTTTAACGAAATGTTTCGGGACGGGTGTTCGCGCTGGGAGGCGTCCCGCCACCACTGTAGCACGTCCAGATGGCCGCGAGAGGTGGCTAGCTCAAAGGCGGATTCGGTGTATTTCAAGGGAAGGCCGGAGCGGCGCCACCACTCCAGCACGGGAATGGAGCCGCGCATGGAGGCTAGGTTGAGTGCTTCCGTGTCATACTGCTTTTCCAAGAAAGAAGGGGATCGCGCCCACCATTCAAGGATGTCGGTGCGGTAGTAGTAGGCCGAGGCTTTGGTAGGGATCGTCTTGCCGTCGAAACACTTGAAGAGGTGCGGGAAGTTGGACTCGATGTAGGTGAGAACTTCGGTGAGGCCGAACTTGAATATTAGGTGGACGGCTAACGCCGAGAGGTCTTGGAAGGATTCGGGCGCTTGTGAGAGTTTTTCGCAGATGGCTTTGGTGTTGGCTGTCAGGAGCGTCCATTCAAGCTCGTGCATGAACACCTGGAGCGGGTCGTTGGGGTCTTTGGGCTGCAGTCGCCAGCCTTCGCTCTCGGGCATCGGAATGGTGGTGAAGACGCCCATCGAGGTGGCTAGCTCCCAGTCGTTGGTGTATTCGAAGATCATGCTCCATAGTTCTGGTGGTAGTGTGCTTCTGGCCTTCTTCCCTGTTGTGGCGGATGTTCCTTGCTGAACGGATACTTCGACAGTGTGACCAATCTTGAGCAGGTCGGCCTGGTTCTTGATGATGGCCAGTACTTCGTTGAACGCATCCCATTTCACAATCCGTTTCGGGTTCGGGCTGTCGTCGTAGTGCCACAGAATGGGGGCAAGAACCCGGATCCAGCTCCATTTCCGATGAAGCTTGCTGATCTGCCTCTTAGTCATTGGGTTCTCCCACATGTGAGTGGTCATGCCAGGTATAAGAAGTATCCGCTTGGAGGCATCCCAGCCCCTCAAGACCTCCAGCAACAGTGTATCCGCCATACCGCACATCATCCTTGCCAAGTGGTCTGCATCGATGGGAGCAATGACGAGAAGGTCGGCCCATTCTACCAGTTCGTCGGCTTGCTGCTGATATGTTTCCATCTCCTTGCCCGTAAGGCCATCGGGCCCATCTGCCCTCAAGTTCCTGTTCTTATATACCATAATCTCTTGCGCTAACCGGTGGGTCATGTCGTCTACTATCGCTCGTGTTGTTATTTGCGGCTCTTTCGACAGGCGGACGGCGATAGCTTGCGCGAAGGCGACATCTCGAGGGCCGTTTGCGGCAATCAGGAGACGAAGTTTTCGAGGACGTTGGATTTCGCTTAGCGATGGCGTAGACGGGATTCGCTCGATAGCAGAGACTCTGCTTGCAAGGCCAGAAAGAGAACCGTTGCCAGCCATAGCGGCGAGCTGGCGGTATTAGGCGTATTGTTGTCGCTCCTTCGTTCGGTCGGTCGGTCGGTCGGTCGGTCGGTGGTTCGAAATATTGAAGGGCCCAGTGTTTGTGTTTGAGTTGGGTTCGAGAAAGAATATCGGACCGTCGTTCCAGGCTTTGAACTAGGTGTATATTGCGCTTCTTTCACCGTGGATACTTGCCTGAGATAGATCAGAAGGCGGGTTGCCCGCTGGCAAAACACCGTATATGTTGTCGTGTTGAGCCGATATTGGGCGACAATGGACCAAAATTAATGGTAGCGAACTGCGATTGGCTTATCTCGGAAACCGTCGGATAAAAGGGTCCGGAATGACGACACTGGTCTTACGATCAGAGTATTATTGTTGTCACTGTCAGGTTATGCAAAAGGCTATGACATGAGAAATCGTGAGAAACAAAGAGGGGGAATGAACTGTTTGCTGGTGGGCGAGTGGTTCCAGTGTACAGGGCGAATCAAAGGCGCCACATGTCGAACGTTGAAGGGAAAGGTGGGTGACGGGAGATAATCGCTGAGACACGGGAGATTCCCGTCCTTTGGAGGTGCGCGATTAGTTCTAGGTACACTTCGTAAACCGAGGTGCTGTATAGTGTACTGAATGTACAAATGAGAGTCCGGATACAGTGGGGTGTCAGTCGGTTCTTTTTTTTTTTTCTCTAAATCGTCAGTCAGTCCCTCTCTTCTGTGAAACCCCTTGAGGCCATCCACGCAGCAGACTGTACGGCGCGGCAAGAGTGACGTTTTCCTTGCCCGTTGCTCAGATGCCCAATGAAGCACCAAACCGACGGCCCGCCTAGACAGGAAGCAGAATGACAACAAAGTGCCCCAATGCTTGGCCGTCACGTTCGCTGCACAAGCAGCAGACAAGCCTGACAACAAGTTCGCACACCCTGCTGCTCGGGGTGGGGTACTTCGACGGGCCGGGTGGAGAAGATCATAGCGGCGGATCGGAATGTTCTCCGGATGATGAAACCGAAACCGGGAACGTCGCATCGAATCTCAACTTTCCACAGCAACTGAGAATCTAGGCCATGGGGAAGATGGAGACCTTGATGGACCCATGGACCCTGTCTTACTTGGCAGCACAGCCCAAGACGTGAACCGTTCTTCTAGTTCCTAAATAGAACAAAACACTTGAGAAAAATGCGACATCATGCTCAGAGTGAAGAGACCGGATACTATATGTAGATCACCGCTCAGAATTAAAGGGTTAACTGTGAAAAGAAACATGCGATACCACAGCCATGAATCCGCGTCTAATCATCCAAGCCCAATCCGTCCACCTGGCCCAAAAACAGCCCCTGCTCGCCCTTCAGCAGCTCACTAACATCCAATCCAGTGAGGTACCTCTCGCTGACGCCCGTGTTGATCCTCTTGCTCAAGAGGTCCCTTAGCGCAGCCCTCAACGACGCCAACTCGCCCTTGCTCATCTGCTGTGCCTCCTTTTGCTTCTGCTTCTTGGAGCTACCCTTGCCACCCCACTTGCCCGCCTTCTCAAGCTCTTCCGAGTCATAGTCAACGCCCAGATCCTCTGCCGCCTTCTTCATCCAATCGTCCTCCTTTCCACCCATGGTCTTGGCCTGCACCGCATCCGCAATCTTCTTGGCCAGATCGACGCGCTCCCGCAACTTGGCGACGATGCGCCGGTCGATATCGATGGTGCGAAGTCCGCTCGAAACGAGCTTCTTGGTGTTGTTACCCGAGTTGCCAGCCTTGACCTCGGCTTGGGCGTGCACCTTGGCAACGAGGCGCTGCGTCGGCACGGCTTCTTTGGGCCCGCAGAGCAGGATGCTCGTGCCCGAGTTGGAGGCACGGGCGGTACGACCGGAGCGGTGCACGTAGTCCTCGGCGGCGCGCGGGACGTGGTAGTGGATGACGAGGTCGACGTCGGGGATATCGAGACCACGGGCGGCAACATCGGTAGCGACCAGGATAGCGGCAGAACCGTTCTTCTTCTTCGCGCCTTCGTTGGCCTTGAAGCGGTCGATAGAGCGCAGACGGGCTTGCTGGATCATGCCCGAGTGGAGAGGGAAGGCCGGAAGATTGAGGTTCTCGAGGAGGGGAGTTAGGCGACGGACAGAGTTGACCGAGTTGGTGAATACAAGCGCGCGCCGTGTGGGCTGGAGCATAAGAGTGGCGTAGAGGTATAGATCCTTCTCCATGTCGCCGCACATAATGAGACCCTCCTTGAGGTTCTCGGCCATTTGGTGGACGGGATTGGCGTCGACAAACTTGGGGGTCTCGCGGAAGTTCAGCTTCTGGAGAAGATACTCCATGTCTTGGGTGCTCGTCGCCTTGAACTTGGATTTTCCGGCCAACTTTTGCTGCAAGTTCTTGTTGAATGTGGCGGAGAAAATGAGAGTCTGCCTCTTGTTGACGTGCTCTTCTTCCTCCTCCTCCTCCTCCTCACTGTCCTCTTCTTCCTCTTCCTGTCCCTCTTCATCAGTACCGCCCATCTTCTGATCCTCATTGTTCTCTTCCACCGGTGGCCTGTCAAGAGCCTTGAAAATCTCCTCGGCCTCCTTGAAGTGACCGTCCTTCAAAAGTCTATCCGCCTCATCCAACACAAGGAAGGAGATGTTCCTCAGAGAAGCGAGCACAGAGTTGTCTGAGCTCATAACCTCCCACATTCTGCCCGGGGTCGCAATGACGATATCAGCGACCTGAAGCTGGCGTTTTTGCTTCTGTACGGCCATGCCACCAAGAACCGAGCAAATGTAAGGTGCTGTAGGAAGACCCTTGCAGAGCGCTTGAAGATGGTCTCTAATCTGTTGGGCAAGTTCTCTGGTGGGTGACAAAATCAGCGCTGTAGCGCCCTTCCTCTCCTCCTTGTTCTGCTTCGTCGTCTCAGCAGCGCTCAACCAGCTTTCGATGACGGGAATGCCGAATGCCAACGTCTTTCCCGAACCGGTGGATGCTTTTCCAATAACGTCGTGACCAGCCATGATCTCGGGAATAGCCTTGGACTGAATCACGGTGGGCTTGGAGAACCTGAGTTTGGCGATGGACGAGATCATTCGAGGTGACAAGTCGAGCGGTACCCATTCGGACATATCGATTTCCTCCTCTTCAGGCTCAGGAAGCTCCTCCAGTTTGGTGAAAAGATCGGTTTCTAGTTCGGGGTCCCGCGGCTCGACAGTGGTCTTCTCGTTCTTGCGGGCCTTCTTCTGGTCCTTGGGGGCCTTCTTTTCCTTGGCCGGAGTACTCGCTGCCTCGGCCTTGGATTCTGATGTCTCGACTTCCTGGTCCGCATTCTCAGCAGGTTTCGGTGTCTCTTCATCATCGAAACCACCAAACTCTTCGCCGTCATCTTCTACCTCCGCCTCTGACTTGGGGACCGCAGCCATCTAAAGACATATGTGAGTTCATTCATGTCCTGTCGCTGTCATCATCCATGACCAAACTTACGAACTTGACAACATCCCCGTCCTTTACAATGTCAACACCGGTAATTTCTTCCAAACCAAAGAAACCCTCGGCATCATCGAACATTTCGGGAATGTCGACCGTCTTCCATGCCAGCGCATCAACGGAAACAGGTCGCTTGATCTGCTTGGACGGCTGTTGCGTCTTGCGGCGCTTTGGCCCGCTGGCGGGGGCTTTTGTGTTCTTGCGTTTCTTATCGACGGCCATGGTGTGAATATGTCGTCGTTTTAGTGTGGGAAAGGGTGTTGGGTTTCAGTGCTTGTTGGATGCAATGGTGAACTTTGAAGGGTGTTAACACTGGTCAGTGAAAATGGCTGTAAAAGTGAAATGGAAATTTTGGCTCCACCTTGCAGCTAGGTTGCAGCAGCCTCTAGCTGGATCAGGCTAGCCCATGTGCTGTAGATGACACCGCCTACCTATTCCAGGTCTGGCTAACAAGCTTGCATTGTGGAGGGTGCCGATAGAACAGGACGCGGAGACAATCAACCTGATTTTGATGGAGGAAACAAAACATGAGACGACATCTTATATTTCAAAGCTTTCGTTCATCGCCAAAGTCTTTCCCTCCAAGTATGCGCGTCTGTGGTGTGCGAGTGCTAGGGCCGCCAAGGTGCTCGGTAATTTTGCCGGCAGAATCTTTTTTGGCGGTGACTATTTGCAGCAGACGGACCCAAATCGGCGCCCAGCGACAGCGACCCGTCACAGGGCAAAAGTGGGGCCCAGTCTCTTTCACAAGCTCCCGTCATTCACTCTCGTCACCCACTCGCACTTCATAGGTAACTAACTATCTGACCCAAGTAAGTGAGAGTGAAGCAGTCAAAATGGGAAAATCATCAAAAGACAAGCGTGATGCCTACTATCGCCTTGCAAAGGAGCAAGGATGGCGTGCCAGAAGTGCCTTCAAGCTTCTTCAACTAGACGAAGGTAAGAACTGTTTATTGCATAGTATGTAAAGAAGTGTATCACTGCTAACACCGAGCGTTCCCATCAGAGTTCAACTTGTTTGAAAATGTCACTCGTGTGGTTGATCTCTGCGCTGCCCCCGGTTCCTGGTCTCAGGTTCTATCGAGGGTTCTCATCAAGGGAGAGAAGTTCGGCCGTTGTGCTTGGCAAGACCGTGAGGCCAAGTTCCGCCAACAGATGCTCAACGTCTTTCCCGAGAAGCAAGACGCTCAGGATAAGGTTCAGGATGTGCAAGCGACTCAGGAGAGCACGCCGGCGCCCAGGGAACAGGTCAAGATTGTGTCGATCGATTTGCAGCCCATCAGCCCTCTGCCAGGAATCATCACTCTCCGAGCCGACATCACACATCCCGCCACCGTCCCGCTTTTGCTCAAGGCGTTGGACCCCGATTTCGATCCCAGCACCATGAACCAGCAAGCGTCACACCCAGTGGATCTGGTCATCAGCGATGGTGCGCCCGACGTCACAGGTCTGCATGATCTTGACATCTACGTTCAGTCGCAGCTCCTCTTCGCAGCCCTCAACCTCGCCCTTTGCGTCCTCAAGCCTGGCGGCAAGTTCGTCGCCAAGATCTTCCGGGGCCGCAACGTCGACCTTCTCTACGCCCAGCTAAAGGTCTTCTTTGAAAAGGTCTACGTCGCCAAGCCCCGCTCTTCGCGCGCCAGCAGTGTCGAGGCCTTCATCGTCTGCATCAACTTCCAGCCTCCCGAGGGTTTCACAGCCAACCTCGAAGAGCCTCTTGGTGTCGGCAACAAGCTTGCCGAGATGTTGGCCGAGAAGCAAGCCAAGGAGGAACCAACAACAAAAAGTGCCACCCAGACGCCAGCAGATAAGGATGGCATTTACGACGTCGAGGTGGAGGACCTTACCAACGAGCCCCTGAAGGATATTCGATGGGTAGCCCCCTTTGTCGCCTGTGGCGATTTGTCCGCTTTCGACTCGGATGCATCCTACAAGCTCCCAGATGACCACGTCTCGCTCGACCCTGTTCAGCCGCCCACGGCACCGCCGTATAAGCGTGCCATTGAGCTGAGGAGGCAAAACGGCGGGGCGTACAAGAAGACGGGAACGGGAACAGCAACAGCGAAGGCGTGAAATTTCTTTTCCCATTAATTTCTGTTCAATATAAAATTCCCAGTAACCAATCAACATCTGCCGACACCTACCTGCCTGCTGCACATACCAAACTCAGAAAACATAACTAACTCGTTTGTCTCATGATATACCACCATTGAACCAAATCCCTCTTGTGTCTCTCTTCCCCGTACTGACTTAATCCCCCATCTTCCTTGCTACGGCCCCCGGCCCCCTCCTCTGCATAATTATCAACTTTCCCCCACTCTCCTTCGTATCCTTCATCCCCAGCGTCCTCTCGTACAGCTTCGCGGCGTACGCGTCGCCCGTGAACAGCATGACCCGCCTCAGCTCAGGCCACTGCTCCAGCGCCTCATTGAGACACTCCATCATCCAGGCGCCGAGCCCTTTGCATTGGTACGCGGGCAGCACAGAGACGTCGGTTAGGTAGCCAAAGGTTACGTAGTCGGTTATTAGGCGGGCGTAACCGATCATTTGTTGCTTTTGGGGTGGTTGCTGGCTGGAGTCGTCTTTTTGAAGGTGGAAGGTGGGGCTGTGTTAGCATGAGCGAGCCTCGGTGTGTGTGTGTGTGTTTGTGTATCTGTCTGTCCTTGAACTGTAAGCCCTTACCTTGTTCACTGCATCCCTTCTCTGTGACATATAGCGCAAAGTTATATGAGTGCTCTACCATCCGCTTCAACGCCTCCTCTGGCAGGTCTCGCCCCCACCAGACGGTGTCGGAAGCCAGGGCGGCGTTGAGGGCGGCGAGGTCAACTAGGTTTGGGTCGGTTGAGTAAGTGTAGATGGTGTTGTCGACCTCGCGGGTCCAGCTGCGTATGTGGTCTTTGGGAGTCATCTTAAGATTTGTCTGGATTGCGGTTTGGCCTAGTTGGTTCAATCACGAAAATAGTCAATGTTGGTTTTGAATGTGTTTCTCGACTTGAGTGACTACTTCCATGCACAAGACGTGCCTTCTATATATATTTACCGTTCTCAGAAGGAGCCATAACTCCTTCGTGTATACTAACCTACTACTACAAGTCAAGGTAGTATCAATGCAAATGACTCATTACAACGCCAGAAAAGGCATGGGCTCTCGGCTAGTGGGACTTGGTCACCCGGGCCGAGCCTCTACATGTATCCGAACGTATCATAACCTCCAACCCCTGTTATTGTCATTGACTGCACCTAATGTCAACAATGGCATAGTCACGAGGTAACAGCTCCATATGTGTCGTTTTGTTCTTGATCCGTTCTCGGTGCTTTATTGCTAATCCCGAGTATCAAATACCTTGAAGCTGTTTCTCTACTAAAGGAAAACCACCGAGAAGAATCACAACTGCGAACTCCGCGTCCTTAATTCCATATCGCCTCTTGAAACTGAAACTAGTTGACCAAACTCAGAATGCCCGATGTCATCTGCTCATGAACAACGCGCAACAGACGAGCGAGTTGACAAAACTATTTCAAGAATCGGTGCCCTTCTTCCGATGAAGGCCGGACGACCAGGGGCCTATTCGAGGGTATGAGGGAAAAATGAATGGAAAGGATTAGGACGAGGAAGAGTTGCAGCAAGCCGTCTGGAGTCGATCATCTAAGGGACTTGTATGTTTCCCTTTTGTGCCTTCCCACCAACGCCCCAAGATTGACCACTCAAACTTCCATCTCGACTTTTGACCGCCATCAGTCTCGAGCCGTGCGATAAACCCTTCAGCACAACTATCATGCCCTCTACAGCAGTATTAGAGGGTAGATATACCAAGACATGGAGCGGTAACGGTTGTGGCCCGTTCCAAATCTGTTGCTGTAGTGCGGTCATTTCAGGGATGAGTCGTCTATTATGCTCCCAGTTTTTCTCTTTTTCTTCAATTTATTTTTTTGGGTTTTCCCTTTTGTAAGATCAAATTTACTTATGTACGGTGTGCGCTCAACTGGTAACGTGTTCATTCTCATCAGGTTAGTAACACTTAATGGGGGGATGAAAATTTCTCGCTGACAAGTGTATGTACCTAGGTGAGTCAAACAACAAGGCCTTGGGCTTTTCGTTGACTTATCGTTCGAGCCGGTAGCAGGCACACATTCACTTCACAGCCGGCTTGGATGGGATGTGAAGGGCAGAGTGCGAACTGATGGAAAAGGGCTTGTCGCCTCAAAACATATCTGGCAGAAACTTACTGGTAGATATTTTAACTTGTTTGGACCCGTCCGAACATGTGTTTGAAAGCGTGAGGCAACTCGTTACAGTGAAGTTATCGTCTCAAGCTGTCCTCCCGCCAGACGATTGTGTAGCTGGGTTTCTGTCAATTGCACCGGGCCGTGGACATGCGCATTCCCGCAGTCAACCAAGGACAAGCGGCAAGTGCGGAGAGACAGCGAGCGCGAAGGTTTCTTCCGCGGCTGAACACGCTTGTGGCACTGCATGCGCGCATTGGGAATGTACCATGATACACTCACAATATTCACAACTGAGGCAAAATGCACTTGGAGCTTGGGCGGGCGGGAGTTGTTAGTAGCTTTTGTCAATCCACTCTCATAAAAAAGGGGGCCTTGAGGAAAAGGTCCCACCCAAACCCCACAACCATCATCAAGTAAGTCTAGCTGATATTCTAAATACTCAAGAATGGAGGTGATCGCCGTCCTCTGAGCTCCGTACTATGACCGCGCGGGCTAAACTAGAAAACATGCTCGGTTTTGTGCAACGGCGTCTGTCTCCATGTCTTCCCCTCACTTCCCTTCCTTCGACTTTTTACTATATTGAACCAGTTCCTTTTTGGAAGGCACTCCAGTTTAATATGACAGTGACGAAACATCAAATCACGACTACCATAACCCAGCCTTTCCAGACCTTTTAACTTTACCGTTCTTGATTTTTTTATTGGGTTGATCCCTGTCCACAAGCCGCCAGCTCGTCAAGGCTTCCAGACTCACTTCTTACTCAAATCATGATAACAAAACTCACCCGGCGTGTCCTACCCGTCATAACCGGCCTCATCCTCACCTACATCCTCTTCCCCAGCCTTTACTACTACGGTGATTACGTCCGCCAAACAAATCCCTTCTCCGGCCAGCGCTCCATCGAACAAGCCTTCACACCTACCAACTCCGAGCTCGCCTGTCTCCGTGGTGGTGGTGGTGGTGGTGGCGGCGGCGGCGGCCATGGCTCCTTTCCCGGATCTGGGTCCGGGAGCAACAGTAACAAGGAAAACGAAACTGGCCACCCATCCCACTTCTCACGAGAAGCCTCAATCCCCAACATAGTCCACTTCATCTACGGTCTCGCAAATCCGCAGTCTCACCCCTCAGCCGGGCACTTCGACTTCCTGTCCTACCTCGCAGTACGCGCCGCTCTGGTTTCTCTGCAGCCGACCATCCTAAACTTGCACTATACGTACCTCTCTTCTCCCCCGTCTCCTGATCCGGGCGCCGATCCGCTCTCTAACCCCTGGATCCGGAGGCTGGCGCAGAAGTGGCCGGACAAGTTTAGGCTGGTCCACCACCCGCCACCACCTGAAGAGGAAGGAGCAGGTGGTAGCAAGACAAGCAAAACGCAGTATGCTCATCTGTCTGACACTTTGAGGCTGCAAATCCTGTTGGAACATGGGGGGATTTATCTGGATATAGACGTCTTTGCTTTTCGCTCCTTTTCCCCCTTGTTATTATCCCCAGGAGGAGGAGGTGGTGGTGGTCGCCATTGGGACACATTGCTAGGCTACGAAGGTGGCAGCCGCTGGGGTCTATGCAACGCTGTTATTGTCGCTCGGCCCAACGCGACGTTTATCCGGCGATGGCTGGACACCTACGAGAACGTGGATCTGGAGAAGGAGGCGTGGAATTATCGGAGTGTCTTGTTGCCCAAGGAACTTGCTGAGCAAGGAGGAAACGACGAAAGCGGTGACGATGTGGTACTAGGTAAAGAAGAGGCAAGGGGAAAAGATGGGATAGATGCAGCAAAGGGAGATGTCTGCGCCCTACCTCCTGATGCCTTCTTCTGGCCCACTTGGACATGGAGACACATCGAGTGGATGCATACCCCGTTGAAGACGAAGAAGGAAAAGGACTTTTGGGAGGGACAGATCGCCAAGAATGGAGGAGGATTGTTTGAGAATCAGATGGCGTACCATGCTTGGGGGCAGATGGCCTGGGATAGATATTTGAAGTGGTTGACGCCCGAGGTGATTAGGACGAAGGACACGAGGTTTAATTTGTTGGTGAGAAGGTTCTTGGAGGATGACTTGTAGATGGGGGAGTGCGGTCGGAAAGAGGAAATAGAGTTGTAATGGGCGACCCCTGGGTATCCTAAGGTTCCGGTTTGGAGGGGTATGGTGCGGTTAACACTTTATTCAGCGTTCGGTGTTCTCAAGTTTTCCATCTCTATGTGCCAGCTCAGAAAAGGTTTCATCTTCAGATTCTCCTTATCTCTGGAAGACGTCATGGGAACCAGCTGCGAACCGATTCTACCATACTCAGACGCCTGGCCGTATTAGGTTCTTTGAGCTTATTCGTGCAATACGCTGGAAAGTTCCGAGTCCTCCGCCCGTCACACTCGCACCGGCATCCAATACCGCCTTCACGTTCTGGGCTGTATGGTCCATCAGGAAGTAGCTTCGACTCGAACAGTTGACCATTTGGTGCATTGGCTGGACATTGGTAATACCAGTCGTGACGGTAACCAAAGTCTTCAAAGTGGTGAACTTTGTGGGAGGGAAGAAGCATGTGCAAAGCGAGAGAATGGACGGCTGCGTCACCCCACTGAGAACGACATAGAGGTGTTAATACTTTGGTCTGAAGACTGTCCTGGTGGGAATAAGAAACAACGTACCCGCTCGTGGTAAAATCCGCCTGTCTTATCGAGATACTCAAACAGCCGCTGATAGTCCTTTCCCCGGAAAAAGTCCAGGTTGGCAATCTCAAAGTTGGACCAGTAATGACACAAGCTCCACCCATCGCCAGAGCGGTCGCGGTGCCGAAACCAACCCATGAAGGGGCGGAGTGGCCAAGGTACCCACGAAGCAGCTACCGTGGCCTTCCACAGCTCGGTGGTCGGAATGTTGTTCAACTCCTTGTAGTCGGCCATCTTGCGGAAGAGGCTCGGGCACGTCCGCGGCTCCTCTGGCAGAGCGATGGTGAAACCGTACACTTTGTCGTGCTTGGCCATTTCGACAAAAGGGTCGTAGGTGATGGAACAGTAGAATTCGACGTCTGGCTCGATCCGCCAGTACCAGGCGTAGTCTTTGAGTGCTTCGAGGGTGTAGAATTTGCTGTAAAGGGGAACAGAATGGGGGGTTAGAAGAAACGTGGTGGGAAGACCGTGGCTAGACTCACCCAGAGTAAAACCGACACATGTGATGATAAGTTTCCAACCCAGCATACAAAATCCCCGCCTCCCCCTGTGCTTTGATAGATGCCTTCGCATCCGCCACATCCATCCACTCGGGAAACAGCCAGTCCTTCTTCGGCACGAGCCCGAACCTTGCTTCCCCACTCACAGTGGCGTTCATCGCGCTGATGAACTCCTTGCTGAACGGCTCATCGTTCAGGAACACGATGGGGTAGTGAAACCACTGATTGAAGTGTTTCTCAATGCTTTGCACCGTCTTGAGCGCCTTCATCAGCTCCTGGTTGCGGACCAGCATCACCATCGCTGCCTTCTCGCGCGGTTGGTCAATGGCGGGTTCTTGGCATGACGTGTAAAAGGGCTCGTCGAGCTCGTGGTCGGGTTGTCGGACGGCCCATCGTTGTGTGTGAAGGAAGACTTGGATGAGGGCAGCTGCCAGGATGAGGAGAAGCGCGAATCGCGTGTGGCGGCTGAGTGTAAGGCGCGGTAGACCTGGGGGGAATAGCCGTAAGGAGGGGCGTAGGCGGGCCATCGCCCGCGGGTGTCAAAGGGTACAGTAGGGGGATAAGAGTCAGGCTCCGGGTGCCCGCCAGATTGAAAGTTGAAAGCTTTAAGATGCGGGAGTCGTAGGCAAATAATTAAAGGTTGGGTGATCCGCTTTGCTAGTGCGATGACGGTCGAGGTTCGACGGCAGGTGGAGATCACTATCTGAGCATCCTCATAACAAATAAGGATGCCCGCAGTCTGACCATGGCAAAACCATGGAGGAGAGATATGAGGTGGATTGTTGTTGAGTGTCTGGATAGGATTCAATCGACCAATCTCCAGCTGAGTTTGGGAACGATGCGAGTCCCGCCAGTGACTGAGACGAACCAAGTACCGTGTACACCCTGCCTCAGTTGTGAGTACTTCTACTGTTGTGAACTCTTTGGATCAGGATTAGATAAAATCTATGGGAATACGTTCAACTAGGTACCTCTCTGTATACCTCTACCTACCTACTGCGCAGTAGTGTTTGTGTAGTGCGCTATAGCTACCCTGCTGCTCTGTTGGACCCTGCAGTTGCTCCTGCCCCTGAAGCGTGGGGTTCCTTCTACTGTACCCGCTGTGGGTGATTTACACCGTCCCGGTACTTCGACGACGGATGATGCCTGTCGGTGATCGTGGCTTCTGCGCTCTTTCCATTTCCCTGCCTCGAGCTTCGACTCTCCGACTTTATTGTGAGCATGGCTTGATATGAGTACATGTTTTCACTTGGCCGTTCAGGTGTCAAGTGGTCTACGCCTCACTCCGAAGCTTTATCCATCCGCCGTGGTGAGCTACCAACACCACGCAACCCAAATGTCTGAATAGCTTCAGATCCTCACCTACCCAAGCACCGATCCCAGGGACCATGCACGTGGGGTTCACCGACCGATGACCCCTGGGAAAAGACGTTTGTGGGTCCCATCCTTACCGTGCGATCTCGACAAAGCTATGCAGAGCTATGATCCGTCAGCTTGGGAACCAAAGGAAAACGGGCGTTCGGGCCGACAGGGCATTCCCTTGCAGACAGAGATCAGATGGTGCTCTCGAATTCGACATAAACAATTGATCTTGACCATCTTCCTGTTTCCTAAAACATCCTCCAGTGGTGCTCTCTCCAGTCACCCAGACTTGGACCGCCGGTCTTCGGACGCTCAGGTTGCCCTGGCTACGTCAGTGTCATGCTCAGAAGCCCATTCCATTCCACATCTGGGTTCCGTGCGGCACAGGCTTAATTAATGTGTAGGCTGACAACGTGGCAACCGCCTACGGTCAGTCAGTACAGACTGTGCAAAACCATGGCGACCATACCCAAGTATCTCCAACAAGGCCTTGGCTATCCTGTTACCGAGGGATTACAACACATTGTTTCACCACCCGACTTTCTGCAACTTTCCCGTTGCCGGTCAGGGAGTCGGTCGACTGAGCAAAAGGGCGGTAATGTCCTTTTTCATCATGTGGTGAGGTAGCTTTTTTTTTTTTCTTACCACTACCGCCAATGGACCCATCCACTCAGAGCCTAGGCCGGGCCGGGCCACTGCCTGGTCTACCGCCAGCGGCCGCTTGGTGAGACGCCTCCGGGCTTCCTGGAGAAGCTATTAGCGTTACAGGTTACTCTTATCAGCGGCCAGAAAAAACAAGCTCCTTGCTCATTTCAGCAGCGCCAGCAGCACAGCACGGCACAGCGCCCGACATCCGCCAGCTCGAGGCCCGGTTGGAGCTCCTTTCCCGGCGCTGGCTCTGGCCGCCATTGCAACGAGAAAAGCGGAAAGGAGGAGCTTGTGAGGTCCACGAATGTCGTAGCCCTGCTTGATCAGAAAAGGTGGGTGTTTATCACGAGTCCAATAGTCCGCCGATGCTCGAGGCCCCAACCTCGTTGTTTTGGTGTGTGGTGCCCGCCGCCCGACCTACCGTACCATTGTTGTTTTTCGTTTGCGGCCCGCGACGACGTACCTCAAGACACACCTCTCTTCTTTCCTCTTCCCTCCCCTCCTCTCCTCCTTCCCATCTGGCCTTTTTGTGAGAACAGCTTTAGTCCACGGTATCTTCGCGAAAAGCATTTTTGCTTCATTTTCGCTGCTGTTGTATTATTGTACTGTAAGTCGAACCCCCCAGCTTGCGACATCTGGCGCATCGCACGTTGTGTCGCTTGCGCAAGGTTTGCGCGGGGCCTGTTTCGCGAGATCTCCTCCGCAACCACATCTGCGCCCAACGCTTTGCTCTGTGTTGTAGTCGCGCTCTCTCAACCGTAATAATACGCTCATACGTCTGCCTTTTCAGTTTTCATATATACTTTAATCACGACAACATGGCTCGCGAAGGTACTCGGTCGCAAACCGGCAACTCCAAGCCGCGCGTCTTCCCCGTCGTCGACACCGCGCCGGCGGTCAAGCGGACTACTAAGCCCAAGCCCGCAGCTTCTGAGGAACCCAAGGTTGCGCCCGCGAAGGGCGCCAAGCCTACGGGCGTAACCAAGAAGGCGGTCCCGAAGAAGGAGAGCACCGTTGCGAAGAAGGCAAGCGCTCTCCCCTACTAGATTTATGGTGGTCATGTCCGGCCCTCTTGGCCGAAGTGCATGATCACTCCCCTGTGCGGCATCTCGATGTTAACTCACGCTACAGGTCAAGGCTGTGGCGGAGAAGGTCGAGAAGAAGGCTGGAAAGACGGCCGACAAGGCGGAGAAGAAGGCCGACAAGGCGGCCGTGGAGCCAAAGGTACCGTGTCATCCACCTACCACCTGATTCCCCCGCTGGCATCTTTCACTTTGGCTAACGTCTGGCACTGAAGGAGCCTAAGCCTAAGGCTGCGCCCAAGAAGAAGGCTGCCGCTGCCCCCGTCGCTGCTCCTGTTGCTGCCGCCGAGTAAACTGGATCACCATCCGAACCGTCTCCGCCCGTTCTTCACTGAGAGACAGAAGGCGGGAGGAGCTTGGCCCATGTTTGTCGTCACTCGTCATGCATTTCTTTGTTTGGATATCTCTGCCGGTTGATGTTTGGAGTTTGTGAATCGTGCAATCCGGATATTGGGTTATTCTGTCTTTTGTTTGGTCTGTCTGTCGGTGTGTCATGTGTGTATGAAAGCGCAAATAGCGAATGTGTTACCGAACTCTGGTGGACCTCCGGCCATATTCCGTTTGATTGACTATGATATGTGGGACAAGTCTTGCCCAGTGAGGCCAATCGAGACCGGGTAGAGTTTATAAGGACTTGACCAGGTTTGCCGTTTTTTTATGTTCCTGGTGACAAAGCACAGCGTGAGATGTGCGCCGTGAAACTGTAGGGTGCTGTGTGTACCTGGCCAAGTGTTTTGAAGCGGGAAGGTGATGGAGGTGGTCTAGAATCAAGGCGCTCGTGATCGATTCCACGGGATTTGGCTGAACTTCCATGCTAACATTTTATCAAAGGGACTGTTTGATATGAAAAGTGAGTAAAGAGCCGGAAAACACCGACGAAAGCGACCAAGGCCGTCGAGGTCCTGCCTGGTGATGATTTGTTCAAAGTTGGAACGGATGAGGAAATTCCACAGAAGTTTTTACAGAAGGTTGGTGGAAGGAAACAGAGCTATTCGGCCACAGCTTAGCTGCATCTCTCACAGGGCAGGCAAGCCCGCCCGCCCATCCCGTCACGTAGATGCCGGGGGCAATAGCGCCTTGGAAACCCCGGCTTCACTGCAAGGTTGAGGTGCTGGGCCTGCCAAGACGTGTACACCTATGTATCTCACACACAGAGGGGAGCCGGCCGGGGACGGAATCAATCCGTGGAAGCTCCCAAGCTCCATCCCAACTAAAGCCAGCCAGCCCCAGAGCAGGAAAGGCTCTTGCCGGGCGTCAAAACAACCGTCACAGCAGTGTCTCTGGGCCCTATTTGTGCCTATCAATTGGCTGTTTCCAGAACTAGAGGTAGAACCTACAACAGCCACCCCTGGACGGGCGGAACGAAGAGCAAGGAGGCCGGGGCATCTGCCTGACGCGGCGCGGGCAATCCATCGTCCCCGTTGCCCGTCGCGCATCCCAATCAATCCCTCCATTCCACCCATTTCCACTACAGTACCACCTTCACAAAAAAGTTGGCCGGCCGTTGTTGTCTTTGCTCGGACAACTCCCCTGGACTGGCGGCGTCACACCCGACATGAATACACCATATCGATTGAGAGACTCGATCCAAACATGCATCTTATCAAGCCTTCATGGCTAAGCCATAGTGGTGCGTTAGACCTTGTCAGATTCCGAGCACGCCTTCTGTTTCCATTGTGTCTCCAGCTTGCGGCAATCGACAACCTTGCACGCCACATTGTTTGGCTTATGATCGAATCCCCAGCTAACTGTTGTCTCGTCTTGGCTTGTAGGCGAACAAAAGGACTTTGAAGTTTACAGCTGCCACGTCTCTCCCGACGGCAAGAGACTGGCTACCGCCGGCGGAGATGGCCATGTCCGCGTCTGGTCCGTCGAGGCCATCTTCAACTCCCATGACAGAAACTACACGAAACCCCGGCAGCTCTGCCACATGAGCCACCATCTCGGAACTATCCATTCCGTTCGGTTCTCACCCAACGGCCGCTATCTCGCTTCCGGCGCCGACGACAAAATCATCTGCATCTACCATCTCGACAGCAACCCGCCATCTCACACATCCACCTTTGGTATGGTCAGACATGCTGGGACAGATGCGCAGTCAAGGGCAGAGGGCCACAGTGCTGACTAGGTTCTCAGGTACGAACGAACCGCCCCCAGTCGAGAACTGGAAGACGTATAAGCGACTAGTTGGCCACGACAACGATGTGCAGGACCTCGCCTGGTCCCCTGACAACTCGCTCCTCGTGTCTGTCGGTCTCGATTCCAAGATTGTTGTGTGGTCTGGGCATACGTTTGAGAAACTCAAGACGCTGGCGGTACATCAGAGCCACGTCAAAGGCATCACGTTCGATCCGGCCAACAAGTTCTTTGCCACGGCAAGCGATGACAGGACTATCAAGATCTTCCGCTACACCGCGCCAGCGCCCAACGCAACCCAGCACGATATGGTCAACAACTTCATCCTGGAAACCTCGATTAGCGTCCCGTTCAAGCACTCGCCGCTGACGACATACTTCCGGAGGTGCAGCTGGTCTCCTGACGGTAACCACATTGCTGCGGCCAATGCAGTTAACGGCCCCGTTAGCAGTATTGCTATCATAGAGCGTACTGGTTGGGACAGCGAGATCAACTTGATTGGACATGAAGCCCCTACTGAGGTCTGCATGTTTTCACCTCGCTTGTTCTATACCCAAAAACCAGACGAAAACTCGAACGCCAATGGCGCTGCCTCCCCCGGCTTAGTAACAGTCATTGCCTCTGCCGGACAAGATAAAACCCTGACTATCTGGAACACGAACACATCTCGGCCAGTCCTGATAGTCCAGGACATAGCGTCCAAATCGATTTCCGATCTCGCTTGGACTCCAGATGGTCAGACAGTCTTCGCTGCTAGTCTAGATGGTGGTGTGATCGCTGCCCAATTCGAGACGGGGGAGCTTGGATGGGTAGCGAAATCAGAAGAGAATGACAAGGCCTTGCAAAAGTATGGCGGGTCCAGAAAGGGAATGGGGACCGCCGAAGACGTTGACGGTCTTCACCTAGAGAACCACAGCAAGGAGAAGGAATTACGAGGAGCTGAATCAAGAATGGGTGCGCTGATGGGGGATCCTGGTCCTGCGCAAAAGGAAACCGCCACTACAACCAATGGGGTCAAACCAGCAGGAAAGGCTGCCGATACAAACGGCACAACAACCCCAGCTCCCCCAGAGAAGCCCGAGGAGGAAAGCGCCGATAAGACGGCCGAGCGAATTGCCGAGTTGAAATCGCGTGTTACCATCACAAAGGATGGCAAGAAGAGAGTTGCGCCTTTGCTTGTTTCATCATCCGGAACAGGCTTATCATCTTTACCGCAGGCACAGCTTGTTGGCGCAAGCTCGACAAAACCGGTGCAAAGCGACACCCCCCAAACGATATTGGATCTCTCAAAACCATATGACGGTCTGCCTCGGGGCGGTATTGCGGCGATGCTACTGGGAAACAAGAGAAAGGCAGTTATTGTGGAGGATGAGGAGGAGGAGGAGCCTTCTGCCAAACGCTCAGCTACTGGTCCTGTCCCTATAGTAGTAAATGGGGTTGAGGGTCTGGAGCCAGCGCCTCTTTCGGCACCCGCTCACGGCCTTGTGCCTACCCCTGAATTCCTACGACCGGCCGTCATTAGCCCCAACATTGCCTACTCTCAGGTCAGGCTGGCTGTCCCCAAGATTCGATCGCACATTCTTCGACCGCTTGAAAGGGGCGTTCTGCAAGAGGAGACCAGCCTAGAAGACGCAACAAAGGTTCCGGAGAACGTTATTCTGGAGGCGAAAAATCCCGCGCATATCCGCGAACCCGCACGTATCACTGCCACTAAACGTGGTGCCCTGCTATGGCAGGATTTCTTACCCCGTGCCATCATCCTGGTCGCTGGAAGCAAGCATTTCTGGGCTGCGGCATGTGAGGATGGAACGCTTCACACATGGAGCCCAGCGGGACGTAGGCTTATGAATGCCATCATGCTGGAATCACAGCCTGTCATTCTCGAAGCAAGAGATTCGTGGTTGCTTTGCGTTACTGCGGTTGGCTTATGCCATGTTTACAACATCAAGACGATGTCGTCACCTCACCCACCTGTTTCTCTAGCTCCCATTCTTGACATTGCAATGACCTCGCTGTCACCTCACGGCGCGACTCCAGCGCCTGGTGTGACATCTGCTCATCTGAACAGTTCTGGTGTTATTGTTGTGACTTTGAGCAACGGAGACGGCTTCTACTATTCAACGAGCTTGTATGCTTGGCAACGGCTATCGGAATCTTGGTGGGCCGTGGGAAGCCAGTACTGGAACAGCAACGACTCTTCAGTCAGCGCGCTACAGACAACAGCCGTGGGCCCAGTTTCGGGAGCTAAGAACGGGGAAGGAGAGGCCAACGTCTCAGCCGGAATCATCCCATACCTCGAACGCCATACCACGACTGAATTCCTGCTCAAAGGCCGGGCCTACACACTTCAGCGCCTCGTCAAGGCCCTCTTGGCAAGAGACGGGTTTGAGAACTTCGAAAGCAGTGTCAGCATTGCTCACCTTGAGAACCGCATTGCGGGTGCTCTTGCCTTGGGCGCACGGGAAGAGTTCAGGCTCTACCTTTTCATGTACGCCAAAAGGATTGGGGCCGAAAATCAAAAGACCAAGGTTGAGGAGCTACTGAATAGCCTGATTGGAGGTGTTTTGCAAGACGCAGATGATGGAGAGGGTTGGTTTAGCAAGCAGGACAAGCTTTGCGGGTGGGACCGTAAGGACCTTCTACAGGGTGTTGTCCTAATCTTGGGTGAGTCTACCAGTGCTACTTCCTTCCAACACGTGTTATGCATGACTGTTCTAACTTCACAAAAACAGGCAAATTCCGCGATCTCCACCGGTTGACTGTGCAATACGCTAGAATATTGGACATGACTTTGGGTGACGAGGAAAGGGAAACCACCGATGAGGGCATGGAGGTGGAGGACTAGGCGTCTAGCCTCGTGTCTGACTTGGTTGGGCCCTGCCCCTCGGTTGTGCAGCCCAAGCATATCAATGCCATCAGTTCAACCACCTCCCTGTCTGGTGGCACCGGAGTCGAAGATCAACAAAGGACCAAGACGCCCAGAAGTCCAAAGACCCCCCACAAGGGGACAGGTCCCAAAGCAAAGTCCCCTATAGTCACCCGTTCTGCCTCAAAACTTAAGGCTTCATCTAGCGGATGAAGGACCAGGTATCTTTGTCGTAAGCGCCAGCTCTATACAATGGGTATGACACAAGTTTTCAACCTGGGGATCCCACACAGGCCTGTGCTGTATGCACTGAAACACAAGGCGATTGTTGCTTTGCGGCAAGAGCAAACGAAGCGGGGGAGAACTGATGGGAACAAGGGCTATTCCATGCGAGACTTCGTAAATACTTTCGCAACTAACGAGCGACGCACTCTTGCCCCCAAAATAGGAAGAGGCAGGCATTCGAAGAAGGAATGCGAACCACCAAAATAGCTTCTCAAGCCCCCTGTGCCAACAAACCAAAAACATTATCTTCACATCTTTCGCCTGTCAGATGATCAAAAGGGTCAAATCTGTCTTGGGTTATGGTTCGGGAGGCCTTTACTACATTTCGGCGTTAACAGGAGGTTTCTCTAGGAGATAGCAACGTGATGCATTACCATCAAACAAATAGACAGCTTACGCGGGTATTAATTTCACCTGTCGAGACTTCTACGCTCTGCAGATATTATTGATCTTAATGTTAGCATCTGGCAACATCTCAGCTAGTCATCGACCGTGCAGGAAGGTAAACATGTTGATTGAATTTGCGCACATAACCTCTGAGGCTATCGGCGAAGCATACAAAAGGCGTAACTTGTAGCACGACTGGATATATAGTGATGGTGTCGGGCTGACCCACGCTGTAGTTGACCACCGGCATAGCAGTGTGGCATCACATTCTCCACAACTTCCTGAAGCGGGGGAGGAGAATGGAACAGCGCCTTCGTTTCGTGAATTGGATCCTCCTATAATATAAATAGGGATAGTGTCGTCCACAGTCCCCAATATTGTACTTGACGAAGACGTATGAATGACACGCGAAGAAGAAATGCAGCTATGATTACGCGCCTCAGACACAACAAGCATGCAATATAACTAGTACCTTCTCATACGGGATATATACTGTGAAAGCGCCTATGGTCGGAACCGAGCTCCGGCAACGATTTTTCTTGCAACAAGTGGGGTTTTAGCAAAAAGGGGGGGTTGGCATCTGCAGGGGCTTTCACTATAGAAGTTTCCTGATGGACCGGAAAGGTTGGTCAATAAACCCCGATATAAGGGTGTAAGTGCTTGCTCCTACCAAAACTTTACCCTTGTTGACTCAAAACTCAGGTCATCACCGGCATTTCAATCAGCAGTTAGGTGTCCCAGTATGGGCTTGCAGATCTGGCACATTCCCCTGGTTTTGTAGTAAGTTTCTTTAGGGTGCAAGCATCAGAGGTTCGGGATGTTGCAACTACAGGGGCTTATACTTCCAAGGCACCAACCAAGTAACATCCCCTTACCCGGGCACCCTTATGGTTTCCTCCCTCCCTCTCTCTCTTCTTTCCCATCTCTCCCTTGACTTCACAACTCACCGTCTTGCCAACCCATCCGACCTCCTCCAATAAGCCACCAACCAATATCTGCAAATATGAAATCCCCCACTCTCACTTCTATCTTCCTCCTCCTCGCCCAAACCACAACCGTCCGCTGTCAGAATAATACAAAAACAAATGCAACAACAACAACAGACCCCGTAATCATCTCCCTCCGATCCTTCACCGAACTTTACTGTGACGAGCAACACTGGTCAACGGGGTACACCCTCTCTCGCTCGCAGGCCACGGGGACTTGTATAGGATTGTACGAGAGCCGGAGTCTAAGCGTGGGATTCCTGGATGCTAGATGTCATGGTAGGCGGTCCCTTTCTCATCTGGTTTTCTTCTTGATATCATCACTGGCTGTTGTTTTTCTTTTTGGTAGGTAGGTATGGGAAGCGGATGGGTTTGGTCAAGGTATGGGGGAGGGAACTCTACTTTTGGAAGAGAAGAGCTATACTACCTAGGAAGGAATCAAAATGTGGTAGAAGGGTTTGAAAGGGAAGGAGGTATATAAAGTCAGGGTAGTGGAAAGACGAGTGCTAACATTGATGATACCTACCTAGTGACGGTCTATACAGAGCAGGGATGCAAAGATCCGGGAGTGGTGATTGGTATTGACGGGTGTTTTTCTGATGAGGAGAAAGGGCTGAAGGGGTATAAGGTGGATTGTCGTTGGTGGTAGGTAATCGAGCACTTGGCGGATCTGGTGAGCTATAGATGGAAGGATGAAGGGAGATGTCTGGTGTAGTTTCGTTTTGGAGGTTCGGTCGGTGGAGAAGCCGAAGGGTTGACTGCATTGTGAGGATGAGAGACTTGGTGTTTTGAGTATATGTACGATATGGGTGGACGGGAAATGTAGAAAAAGAGAAGCAACTTTACATTGACCTGCTGATTCTATGTGTCCAGGGGAAAGATGGTCGTCGACGATGCAAGTGTTGTCGGCAAGTGTCGTTGCTGAGAATAGCTGATGTATAACCAATTTGCGATGATATCAACTTTGAAACTAGAAGCTTTTGTTGGATTGTACTGGCCCCAGACACTATGAGGTCCTATTGCTCATGGCACCCGGCGGCTTTCCGGATCCCGGATTCGAGGGTCCCATAAAACTCGTGAGTGGGTCCTCGGGAGCGGCCCGGGTGGGTCGAGTGATTGTGCGGGTCTGCCCGGCCCCCACGTAGTGTAGATCTTGGAAGTCCGTTTGGATATTCGGCGAGAAACTTGCACAGAAGAGACACAGTAGTGCAAGGTATTCATTGAATTTATTACCCGTACTCGGCGTATGTTGTCAGTCCGGTATCCTGTATGTTAAACAGTTAGGCTTGAATATAAACCTATAGTTGTGCATTTTTCGACACCTACAAGTCCCATGCTTGATAAGTAGACCAAATAACGTGGCGAGTTCAAGGTAGAGGGATGGGAGATGTTGAAAGAGAAGCGAAAAGTTTGCAAATGACTTGATGAGCAACACGACGGGGCTAGAAAATATAGGTTAGGCGGTTCATGAAGACTTCCTCATCCTATAGTCTTTCTTCACAAAACAAATACATTTACCGGCCAAACTCTTTGGAGTATGGACTTCTTCTCAACCGATCTCTTTGTTTCAAGGCGTGCGGTCAACCCAAACTGGTTCACCCATACACGGAAACAGTGCACTCAACGAACGAAGGGTGACTACACTGCACCTCAACCAATGATGAAGCAGGGCCTCGCCACGCTGTCAATTTATGGTTAAGCTTCTTTGCGCGATGTAACACCCCAGTTTCCCTTGATAACGCGAAAGTCACTTACAGCCACCACATCAACGGCCCGGGTCTTGGCGTTTTCGCACAGCAAGCCCTTTTGGGAAGTGGTGATTGACGCAGGGTCACATTTTTGGTTGTCAGAGGGGAAAGAACTTGTCTGGTATGTACCTGGTCCCCGTTTTCTTCGGAAATTCAGAATAAGCTGTAGCAAAAATTTGTAAAGAGGAGTTCCTAGGACGACAAGAGGAATTAGTTGAGGCCCAATGGGATATATATACCTACGGTTTCGTACCTGTCTTGCCAGAAATAGGATTTCAGCGAGGCGTCGGATGAGGCTTGCGGGGCAACATCAAAACGGGGTTACATTGTTTTTCCACGGCGGTGATAAAGAGGGGGAAAAGATATTCGAAGATACAATGTGACACAGTCTGCTACGTACCGTTTCCTTTCTTAGATGGGCTGTAAAACGCCAAGCCAATAGTCGCGATACCTGTCGACAGCCACATCATGGAAACCAGTCATCGAATGGAGAAATTAGCCGAGCCGTAGCAAGAAACTGAACCTTATCCTTCACCATGAAAGCCGTTCACTAGGAAACCCAAGGGACCGCAGATGGGAGATAAACAAGTCCCTTGGTGGAATGTGGTTCAGATGGCACTTATGACCTCTCGCCTCAACTCGTCCGTGATTCAACGAAGCCAATACGAGGACAACAGCCACCTCACAAGGGCTAGACCATTGTGCAAGGGGTCTATATCATCTGGGGCTTGCGAGCTCCGAAATCCAACGTCCTTGCGAGATATGCAAGTGAATGGCTGGTCCCGATATTGGGGTATCATCACCAACAACCACCGACCTAAATGGCAGGATGCTTCCTTGTCTGGTTTGCGGCTGAAGCAATAATCTACCAAGCCCTGACTTCTCATTGGATCCTAATAACCAGAGAATATGCAAACAGGGGCCTTCATGGCTTGCCGTGTGTCTTTTCTTGGCTACAGAGTCCACAGATTCTGCCTCGTCCAATGCAAGAGAACCGACCAAAAGTCAAGCTGGCTGAAGGAGATCGGCAGAACAAGTCACTTTGGGCTTGATACCCCTCGAGCTCGGTGCCACTTTGGGTCGAGTTCGATGCAGTGTGTCTGGCGGACCCCTGACATGTTGGTTTTCTTTTAAGTCAGGCCATCCGCGTATATACTCAGGCTCGAGTCGTTTCTTCTGACCTACGACTCCTTTTCCTTTCCGAGTCTCACAAAGGATTTTGACAGCATAATTGTTCAGCCAGCACTACAGAGACTCGACTCAATATGGCATCATATGAACCAAAACAACCGACTGTTGCGACATCCGCAGAATGGAAGCAGTCTTGGTCAGCACCCAAGGCCGCCCCGGGGAGTGAGGAGCCCTGGACCACCGAAACACCGATTTGGCATGCCGTTGTGCGAGGTTTCCAGATATTTTTCGGTCTTGTGATTGCCGGATTGGCTGGTTATCTCATTCATGGTTATCTGATGGACGCTGTCGCGTTTGGTCTTGTTTGTGTAAGTCACGTCTTCGTGGACGGCCTTGATGTCATCGACTGACACATTGTGAAGTCGCTGTTCACCTGGATCATTTGCATCTGGTCACTGGTCAGCGAAAAGGTCCTGAGTGCTCGAAAGGCGTATAATATCTGGGCGACTTTGTCTTTGGATTTCTTCATGATCATCCTTTGGCTGGCCTCCATGGGTGCAAATGCGGCGAACCGAGCAACGTTCACAGTGGATGTCAATGTCGAGGGATGTTACGATGACGGAAGCAGCATCAGTGCCCATCACTGCATCGTGAGCAAGCGTGAGCTTGTGAAGCGGGGCGCCGTCGCTAGCGAAGCCGGTCTCGCAATGATGTCTGGTATCGCCGGTCTGAGTGCCATCCAAATGTGAGTCTCAGCAATGGATTTCCTGATGATTGATTGTCGCTGACTGGCGGTTGAACCAGGCTCCTCTTCGTCGCAACCTTTGCCTATAACGCGCATAAGTTCCGTCTGTACTACCAGGCCAACAAAGGACCCAAGACTACTCACAACGGGGCCTTGGAGATGAACGCACAACAGACGCCGATGCTTAGCGTCCAACAAGGAGGACCTGCACCACCATCATACCCACAGTACACCAATCAGCAAGCATACCAGCCGCAGGTCCCCGTACAACAGCCGGTAGAGCAGTATCAACCAACGCCTACAACGTCTCCGGCACCGGGCTCAATCCCGACCCCATCCCCACAGCCATACACATATGGACATGCCGAACAGCAATATCCGGTACAGCAGGCTCCCGCTCAGTATGCCCCGGCTCACCACCCTCCTCAGCAGTATGCCGAAGCCCCAGGTCACACCCCAGCCCAGTACCAACAAACTACCCAGTCCTACAGCCCCAACACGCATGAGATGCCCACTCACTCGCAAGGATATTCACAACCTACCTCATTCCCACAGTGAGACGTAGTGATTGTGCGATGGTCGACTCGTGCTGAGGAATGGCGAGCGAAGTTGGCCCATACAAGTCATGAGGCGCGTTGTCTTGGTTGATGTTTATTTTGGATATCCGGCAATGAATGTGTAAGGGGTCCAGGTTTTGATGCGTGCGGAATGTCTTGTGCCGTTGGCCGGTGCATATCTATGATACCTAGCTGGGGATAGGTAACACCGAGAAGAATCCATCTTCGGTCCTGAAACCCTTTTGGAGAAGTTGGGCATGCTGTGTAGCACCAGATGGAGGGCCTGTTTCCACCATGATCCAGGAGCTAATGATACCACTTTTGAATTTTGAATGTTGACAGCTGCAGGGTGTGTTGACTAGCAGAAGCTGAGATCGATATGATGCGTGTAACAATACACAACCTCAAGTGCCGTCCTTCAGGTGTGAAACTCTGATCTGGACCATTGATGCCTGCTCCGTGTATTCGCCTCGGACACTTTGCTTTTTTTTTTCATACCTCTAGTTGAGCAAAAGGCAGGTACGGCCGCATGAAGTAGCAAGACTGGACGGTGTGTCGTGATTCGCCCCTGCTGCTCAATAGTTTGGAAGGTACTACTGCCAACTTGAGGCTCTCAGGGTGGGGCCACAGATGTCGTACTCTGTGAGGGAGCTGCCCAAAGGGTAGTCACGACTGTCATATGAGCGGGAGGCCACACTTCAGTGGACAATCATCATGGTGGCCGGCTGAATTTGTCGTCGTTGTGGTTCACTCAGTTCCTTCGTTCCTGGCGACGCTCTTCACAAGTTCGTTGTTCTTTTTCAAATGATTCCAAGCAGTCACGACTGGTAGAGACATGTTTGTTCAGCCAGTCGCGACCAAGTGACACTCTGACATATGCAACTCACGCGGCTGGGACCGAACAGTGGTTGCATGCCCAGTGATCACAACACCGAGTCCAACGGGTCTCGGGTTGTTCAAGGAAGGTACCGATCACAGTCCTGGCCCAGATCCTTCCACGATCCGCCGAGTCAACAAACAATCTTGAGTGTCGATGTGTCCAGGCTCGGTCAACAGGACGTCAGAACAGCATGACTTTTTCCATAGCTCTGTCTCTCAATCGAAACCACAAGCGCAGTTTTCTTTGAAGGTGTCACTCATTCTTGCATGTGCCATTTCATCGACGCCTCTTTGTCCTGAGTGCCTCCCAGTAACACCACCATAGTGCCTTACTGTAGTCCGCGAACAGTGTGGTCAAAGATATGAGCCCATGCAGGAAGGACTCGTCGAATTGATCCAGGAAAGAATGGTGGAGGTCTGACGGGTGATACCTGGCAGACCGGCTTCCCAGGTACCCGAATGACGGACATCCGTGGTTGCCCAGTCCGACCACAAGATGGGTGAACAAAAGCAACAACATCCGTATCCCAGGAGACACGAAAACAATTGAAGAAGCCAGACCAAGTCACGTCGATTCGGCTCTCCAAGTTTTCCACTTAAATCCGGCCTTCCGTCCCCTCGGTTCCGCCTCCAGATCTTCTACAAGATCAGCTTCGGGAGCTTTTTTACTTTTTGCTTATGATATTCTCATCCCCAACATAGCTTTTGCCAGACACTGTCCGCCGCATTCTCTCCCATTCATGACTGCTGCCACCATCACGGTCTCTCCTTAGCCGCTTCCATTTTCGCCTTCTGTTTTCTGGATACCCCCCACCATCATCCAGTGAAAACAACTCTCAGCAAGTGCTCCATCACGACAAGATGAAGCAATATCAGATCCTGACTCTCCTTGCCTGCGTGGCTTCGGCCGCTGCCCAGGGTGTCACGGCCAAGATCGCCCCCGAAGCCAAGGCCCCCACGGGATGTGGCCTGAATTTCAACGACAGGTTCGAGCTGGACATCTTGGAACTCGGCAACCCAACCAAAAGAAGCGAGGTATGGCCTGAGTGTCTAGACTCGGGTGACCAAGATGGATGCTGACAATACCACCGTACAACAGCAGCTCCGCCAGTGCCATGGCGAAGGCACTCTCGTTTCCCAGCTTGTGGATGGTGTGTTGACCGACGCCCATGGTCGAACCGGATACATTGCCTCGAATTTCCAGTTCCAGTTTGACGGTCCCCCTCAGGCTGGTGCAATCTACACGGCTGGCTTCTCGGTGTGCAACAACGGCTCTTTGGCGTTGGGCGGGTCCACCGTCTTCTATCAATGCCGCTCCGGTGACTTCCAAAACCTTTACGACCGCTGGTGGGCTGAGCAGTGCAGTCCTGCAGAGATCTTGGTAATCCCTTGTGGTGACAGCCATCAGGACGCTGCGATCAACGGCGTCGTTGTCGGGACCACAATCCTACCCACGACAGTGGTTATCCCACAGAGTGATGGTGAGGGGAAGGCCGTGGTTACTACGGCAGCTGTTCCGCTATGCTCTGTTGGCCAGATCGGAGATGGTATGCCGTTGTCTCTCCCTTCCTACCTTTTGTAAGTGTTGTGTTGAAACTGACGTTACCAATGAAGGTCAGATTCAGGGACATCCGACCCTCTGTTCCGAATTTGAGTTCCCCACGCCACTGACGGACCTGGTACCTGTTTCTGAGTATGCCGATGGTCAGATCCAAGTGACACCTCCTGCCCCTAAGACACCTGGAAACCCCCAGTCGCAGCTTACGCCCCCTAATTCAGTTCCCAACATCTTTTTGACGACTACTCCTGCTTCCGGATCGCCGCCAGCCCAGAATACCGAGGTTCCTCCCGGGGTCATTGTCGTGCCGCCCAAGCCCAGCGTCGTGATCACCAACGATGCCGGCCGCCGCTGGCTATCCAGTATCAACGGATACATAGGCATTGCCCTGGGCGTTTTCGGTGGCATGCGGTTCATCTGAGCACATGTCGTGGCGGAGTGAGATAATGTGTTAGGGAGGAGGGGATGAATACATGATTAGAAGTCGGTGATGTACATAAATTAGGGAGTCACGCCAGAGCGAGCACATTTAACAGGTTTTGGGGCTAACTTTGTCCTTTCTTTCTCCACCTCTTGATGCCGAGTGAAGTTGGTGACTACGAAGTTGGTGATGCACATGGGTTTCTCGATTGCGTGGTGTTGATTGACATTCCCGAGTGGTCGTAACTGAACGCATCTCGATCAGGACATTCCACTTTCGGTATGCTCTTGTTTTGCATTCAAAAGTTTTTAATATACCTTCAAAGTTGATTTCTGGGCAGTTCCTGAATGGAGAAATTGTTAATGGGCTGTGGCCGACATGCTGAATTGTTATTGATGCTGTTTATGTTCGGTTTCTTGTATGGGGACCACTTCTGTAGATACCGAGGTACCGTACGCTAGGCCTTGAAGCCCTCTGAACCAATTGCGGGACAAACATAAAGGGAAGTAGTGTAGCGTTCAAGTGCAACCGGCAGGCAGCCTAGCGTTGCAGGACCCACCCGGTTTTCAGTGGACTAAACGTCACGGCTGCTCGAGGTCGCCCTGCAACCCTCGCTGTCGCGTAAACGTCCACTTCCCATTTTACTTTTTTGCGACCACAAAATCGCCGGCATTTCCAAAGCCGACGGCGCTATTGCTGCTTCCAACGAGGGGCTTAATAATCAACAAAAGACACCATCCAATCTACGACAAGCTCACGATTAGAAGCTATCTGTGGCAGCTGCCCCCTTCCTCGCACGCCCATCTGTCACTCCAAGCACCCATCCAACATTGCGTTCGAGTCTCCAGACCCGACTATCAAGCAAGCCGCAGTATACTTGCGCCATCTTGCAACCATGGCAGAATACTGGAAATCTACGCCCAAATACTGGTGCAAACACTGCTCCGTCTTCGTCCGCGACACCCCTCTGGAGCGCAGAAACCATGAGTCGACCGCCAAGCACCAGGGCGCCATCAAGCGCTCCCTGCGCGATCTACACCGGTCCGCAGACCAACAAGAACGAGAAAAAGAGCGAGCGAGAAGGGAAGTTGAGCGGTTGAATGGGGTCGTTACTGGCTCTGGCTCAACAACACCAAGGGCCAGTGGGAGCGGGAGTGGTGGCGCTGGACCAAAAGGAGGACATAAACCTGGTGGTGGAGCAGGAGGAGCAGGACCGACGGGTGCTAATGCTGCTGCTGTTGGATTAAGCGAAGCGGACAGACAAAGGCAATTGGAGCAGTTGGCTGAGTTGGGCGTGAATATCCCGACGGAGCTGAGGGGGAGTATGGCGTTGGCGGGGGACTGGGAGGTTACTAATGTTAGGGTTGTCAATGAGGATGCAGATGGTGCAGCGGCGGGTCAGAATGCCGGTGCAGGTGGCGCAGGTGTGATTCCTGTGGGAGCAGAGGGGAGAGCGGTAGGTGTGAAGAGGGAGAGGGAACGGACGGAAGAGGAAAAGGAACAGGAGGAGGCTATCAAAGGATTGTTTAAGAGACCGAAGAAGTGGGGGGTGGGAAGCAAGGTGGCGAAGATGGAGGAGGATAAGGAGTTGGAAGAGTTGTTGAGTGGGGGGATTCCACTCAAGAAGGAGGAGAAGGGAACCGTCAAGACGGAGGAGGAGCAGGATGTCAAGAGGGAAGACGGGGATGAACAGGACGGGGAGGTGAGTGTTAAGCAAGAGGAGGACGGTGTAGAAGGGGGTGTGAAGAAGGAAGAGAATGCCGATGCAGAGGAGGACAACGCCATTTCCAAGATCCCGGCTATCAAGAGCGAGCCCAACGAGGCTCTGTCGGGGATTGCTGATGAAGTTGCCCCTCCGCTTGCTACGGGCGAGTCTGATGTTGCGGCTGCGGCTGCGGACGCGGTTCCGGCTGTGGTGTTCAAGAAGCGGAAACCGAAGAATGTGCGTCAGAAGTAGGAGGGGTTATTCTTCAGGAATATCTGAAACCTCTCATGTTGTATTTTGTCAATGATACCCTCTTACAACCCTTGGAGATCAGTGTGGCCTGTGACCGAGCTCTGATCCGCATTGAAGGTTAGTTTCGTTGCTACGATTATCGGCGTGGTGACCAACATCACCGACACAGATACTGATGATGTAGAAACGTATTCATGCTGAACATTCCTGTTCAGCGAACCATCTTCAAACATCCATGGTACCATCGCCCTGTCCACTCAGACAAGAACAATAAGCCTGAAAGAAGGACAAGCTCTCGTCCTCACCGTCTCGCGGCACCAATTCCGAAGTCCGAACATCATCATATCTGAGCAACCCCGTTCTTTGTTATCAAGATCCAATGCCTCAACGAAAAGCACAATGGATACCAACGGACAAGTTACCCGCGGTATCCAGCCGCAGCGCAGGGCAGACAAGGCTCACAAAGGCATTTGAAACCGGGGCAGCACACAACTCACCCGGACAATGGGCTTGTTCTTCCGCTCTGTTATAAAAATCTGTGAACAGCTCGAAACACTCTCTGGGATTTAAACACGATTGTCAAAATACATAAAAACCACGAGATTCCAGTGCGTAGGTCTTCAAGTAAAAGCCCACCAAGTCAAACGCATAGTTCCAAGTCTTACTCACCTCGATCAAGAGACGCACACAGCTGAACTTACAACCCAACTATCACTACTACCATCACCGCTTCCGCAACAATGCCATCCTCCTCGGCTGCCTCCAGCCCTTCTACCACCACTAGCCCAACCCTCCCCTCCATCACCCACTCCCTCCTCCAAACATCCCTCTCTCTCAAGCGCGACTTTCGCTTCCTCAAACTGACCGTCCGAGTGTCCGATTCCAAACGTTCCTCACTTGAAATCGCCTTTGATGCATCCGAAACCCACAAACTCCTCCGCACCTCCCTTGCCCGACTCAACTCTGCAACCCGATGCTTCATCCGCGATGCCAATGTTTTGTTGGATGAGGAGGTGAATCGGTCTTTTGATGCTTATTTACGCCGCTCGGATTTCTACTCTGGAATTCACAGAGAACAAGAAGAAGGACAAGAAGGAGAGGAAGAAGGATGGCATGTTCTAGACATGACTGCCGAAGAAAAAGAGACGAGAAGAGAGTTGAGGAGGGTACTTGGGGTGGTGGAGGACTTGAGAGGGGTATTTCTCAAGAAGGCCGGGAAGTACGTGCTAAAAGGGGGAAAAGGAAAGGTAAAACAGGATGATGATGGTGAGGTGGATGATCTGGGAGATTTGGTAGGGGTGTTGGGTAAGTTGAATGAGGATGGAGATGGGGAGGACGATGAGGGTAAAGATGGAAAGGTGAGTCAAGATGAGGATATCAAGGTAGGATTGGAAAGACTGGCTGGTCGACTGGGAATGGGGAAGAACGAGGACAGACGCGCTCATCGGCTTTGACATAAGTTGTGGATGGGAAGTTATTTTGCGTGTGTGTGACTTGGAGGAACGGTTCGAAATGTGGTGTCGTATAGAATCAGTCTACTAGCGACTGGATAATTGAAGGCATTTGTTAGCCATGTTGTTTGAGACCTCATCGATCTATCCCTTATGATACCTAGCAATACAACTCGAAGCAAAAACACTGATTCAGGCTTCAAGTTTGGCACCTGACGATAACAGTGTCGTCGTCTGCAATAATACTTTTACAGTCGTCGTCACAACGGGGATTAGGTCTCGACATTGGTCCCCCTTCCCACCTCCCCATCACCACCCAATGGACACTCATCATCGGAGCAGCGTCGACCGACGACCATACCTTTCCATTTCACCAACTGAGAAGTTATTGAGGCCGAAAGGTACATTCGACAGGGTATCTATTGGGTACCTATGACGCTTTGCGCTGTCATTGCAGGGTCGTTCAACGATGGTCCGTCCCAATGCTCCGGTGATTCGCGTCCGAGTGGATGACGTTTAGAGTGGAACCCATCCCCTCGACTCCTCGACAGTGATATAAGTGATAACCCCAATGAAAGAAAGCTGCAATAGAAAGAAGAGATTGAACAAAGCACACTCTCTCAAACAAACATTCCCCAGAGTAAGTCTAGAACCAGACTTCTGACGAAACAATCTCGAGCCACGACCACCGAATCATACAAACAACCGCCGCTGACCGACAAGTCCAGACCACCTATCAAGGACAAACGCACAGACACATCACACCCCCTCCCAAGTCTTCCATCCATCTATCACCATCATCATGTCTTACGCCGGACACTCCAAAGTTGGCTTCCCCAACATCTATGAGGATGGCGATCAGCGTAACGTTCCTACTGACGAGGTCGATAACCTCGTTCAGCACAGCGGAAAGAACATAAAGGCCTACCGCCCTCGTATGTCTCTCTGTCCCTCTCTCTCAGCACTTACCAAACAAACAGACGTGTGCTGTACCTTGTGTAATGCCATACTGACTTCCATGACACCATGACAGGGGAACAAGCCGCCGCGCTCAACGAACATCTCGTGGAAGAGACTCAAAAGTTGAGGGAAGAGGCTATGAAGAAGGATCCCACACGTGCTGTTAGTTTGACCACCCATACTCCACTCCGTGACTCGGTTTTTTTTTTTTTTTTTTTTTTTTTTTTTTCCTATCATTTTTCTTCTCTTCCTCTTCCTCGCGTTTGTCCACATGAAATCTTCAGTCCAATTTTCGAGTCTCAGAAAGAAAGGGATGACTGACTGACATCATGTCCTGCTCCCACAGGCAGAACTCCATGGTAACAAGCCCTGCAAGGGCGCTCTCATTGACAAGGAGTTGGCGGAGGAGGATGCGGCGGAGTTGAGGAAGAAGGAGCAGAAGCTCAAGCAAGGAATTGCTGGAGCGACCCATTTCAAAAACAAACACCATCACCGTAAGAATGAGGAGGAGGAGCAGTGATGGAACAATAAAAGCCATGACGGCGAACGCTAGATTTTACCGTTTGGATAATGTACGATATTATGATGAAATAGGGGTAACGGGTATAAACGGCACATGGAATGATAGGACGGAAGCTGAAATGAATGGATCAATCAACCTACAGGTATTTTTATTATGCAGTTGCCGTTTGGTCAGCTTCCATCCTCTTGCCATTGGTTTGTACAGATGCTGAGCGTGTCAGAGAGAAGTTGTTCTTGTTCCAGTTGCCCCTGGAGCCGTTTGTCCTCCACTCTTCTGGACAGAGAATTTGGAAAAAGGTTGTCCCATACTGTAGCATGTAAAAGAACGCCGGACAAAGACTGGGAATGGGTTACCTAGCTAGCTAGAATTGCAATCTCGATAGAAAAATCATCACAATTGGTGGCCGTGGTAAACGAGAGCCCTGGATCCAAACACACCCGCTGCTTCCAGTTCGCTTTGTTCCTGCTACCTTTGGTTGCGCCTTCCTCATGTAGTGAAATGACGTTTCCATGGGACGGCATGACTGGACCGGCGACATATGCTTCTAGAGCAGGAGCACACTTTTTCAGATCTGACATACTAAAAGTGCAGTAGCACACGCGTCAGGTTGCTTGCGTCCGCCGCGTACTTGTCATTCTACTTGTCATCTCTGGAACACAACATGGAAGATTCGACCAAAGTATGGAAGGGACACAACGGCTGGCAAGATCCCGCGATCTTAAGCGGCCGCGTATGGATGGATTGCCATGGTAGTGGAAAGAACAGATCCTACTGAGGGAACAGCCTTGGCTTCGACGCAGCTGTGAGACTTGCCCCCACGGAGATGCCTCGATATTCGGGATAATGTACCTGTCCGGTCAATCAGGCATAATGAAACACCTACACATGAGAAAGCACTGGTTTTCACTTGGAAACTCGGCGGAAAATTGCCAAAGCGCAAGAAACGGATATCAGGCCTTGCTGATATAGTCGCTCGAAGCAACTGTCTAGTATACATTGGAGCCAGAACCACCACACCATGCAGGGTTTGGACATCTACACTACCCAGCCTCATGTTTCCAAGGCTCTTGTGTCAAGGAAGCGCATTCCAACTGCCAGTCCGCGTCATAACCTGTGAGAAAGAGGTAATAAGTGCCAAGAACGTGAGTTTACAACCGTCAGGAACATGAAGAGATAGTAAGAATGACTTGTATTGGTATTGCTCCGTAGATGTCCGATCTGGCATACGCTATCAATCCGGTGATGGTAAACAAAGATGCCGTTTCCCACCAATAAAAGCAAAAATCCAGAGAATAACGCCAAACATGGTGTGATATGCAGTGATGCTCGGAGGAAATATGCTTAGCTCAAGCAGTCATCATCCCAAGGAACCACTTCTCGTGGGCACGGGGGTCGAGACTGTTGAGCCACTTGACAGAGCCTTGGGCAGTTGCTCGCGCAACCCTGTCATAGTTCTGCTGGCAGGTCATCAGCCGAAGAACGGCCTCCTCCCAAAGGTCGATGTTCTGCTCCGGGACAATATAGTCACCATTTTCGTGCTTGGCGCCAGTGACAACGTTAACAGGGAGACAGTAAGGCAAGTCAATCTTGGCTTCCTTGAGACCGCCGGCATTGGAAGCGATGACGGGGATGCCGCGAAGCTGGGCCTCAGTCACGACAACTCCCCACGCCTCGAGCCAGACAGAAGGTGCAAGCAAGACCTTGATGCGGTCCCAAATTTCATCCGTGTTGCTGGTGGTGGGCATGACCCTTGATTCGTAGTGGAAAGTAAGCGTTGGGTTGTGCTCGAGGACAAGGGAATATGGACTTACTTCATGTTGGGGAGTTCCTTAAGTTGATCAAGGTGCTTGCTTCGGGAGCCCCAGCTGCTCCAAGTGACAAACTGAATCTGCGGCAGTCTTTTGGCGAGCTCAACAAGGATGGAAAGGCCTTTGTGAGGGCAGGGATTAACCATGCCGACCTCGAACTTGTCGATGTTGTACCGCTGAACGGGCATGCCCCCAGTGCGAGCATCGAGGTAGGTGAGGGGGCTGTGAACAAGGAACGTCGTCTTGAGTCTGCCGTGCTGCCAAGCGTAGTCTCCGATGGCCTTCGAGACCACCCAAATTCCTTCAAGCTCTCTAAGCAGTTGGTCCTCGACCTTAGGGGACGAGCAATGACCCAAAATGCCGTTGCAGTACGGGCCGAAAGGCAGCTGCTCGGCAGTGTGGATGACATTGATTCTCTTGAACGTGGGCCTCAGGGCGTGGTCAGCCGTGACTTTCATCGTGACGGGATCGTTGAAGACGACATGAGTAGGACGGTACGCAGTGATATGTTTGGAGAAGATGTCGATCAAGGTCCGCATGCGCTGAGTAATGGAGCGGTCCTAGAAAACGAATGTTAGCCCTCGATCTTGATGTTTGGAGGATTGGAAAAAGGTACCTCAAGGTAATCTTGGGTGTCCCGCCAGAATTCCCTAGTGGGGTAAGCTTCATTGAAAGGGACGCGAGAAATGACGATATTGTGAATGCCATGCTCGTCCATGAATGTCTTGACATCAAGTTCGTGTTGGTTTCCCTTGGAGTCGATGACTGGCAGACCCGAATGGTGGGTCACGTTAGGTTCGACACCTTTGGCTCTGGCCAGCTCGGCGTACTTTTCGACCTCGTCTTCAAATCCGTAGCAGATCTGAGCGGCATCATGGCCAAACAGGCGCAACTGGCGAAGGAGATTGACGTTGGCCTTGTAGCCTCCTGAGGAGGGAGTGAGACCTTGCGCAGTCTGAACCAAAAAGACGCGCATCTTGGTCGTCGTCAGAACACCGTTGGACACCCCGCAGGGTCCGTAAGGAGCGTCGGTCGAGATGGTCATGGTGACCGTCGAGAGAGAAAAAGGACCGTCGAGAGGGAAAAAAGGAACGAACAACTTGAAAAGTCAAGTCAGCTCAAAAAAGAAGAGAAGTCGAGTCTCGCAACCTAGTCAAAATGACGAAGAAAGCTGTGAGGTCTCTATGGTGCTGGTGAGGAAAGGAAGATGTGAAAGAGGAGGATGGAGGAGGAGAGGAGGAGGGGGAGAAGGGTTTTGTTCAGGGTGTGGGCTTTAAGAGGGAAACTGGAAGGTACGATATAAGAAACTTTACCTGTCGTCCCAAGTGCGAAACTGCGAAGTGCCTTCCTTCACCCCACAACTTCAATACCAGGAACGGGATCAGTCAAAATCCCCCTATCATCTCTAACAATGAGCCTCATTTGAAATCTGTCACGCGCCAGTGCTTCAAGCGTTTCATTCGAAAGTGTAGCGGTGGGAGCTCGGGCTAGCTGGCCGCTTTCCTGATGGGATGACGAAATGCGCACTTTGTATCTTGACTGCATACAGACCCAAGGTGGATTTCGGCCAGAAGGACGGAAAAGCCTGTGCAGGGGGATACAAACAGCCCGTTCAACCCTACAACGGGCACAATCGACAGCAAGCGGGATGAGGGATCTGACGAGGCAGCTTGAGGACTAGTCTACCTAGTCTAGACGGGAGGTGGTAGGTAGGCCATCTTGGCCGATGAGTACGTCAGATACAGTCGTGCGAAAGCAAGAAAGCTCCATGAAAGCTGAGGGACAGTGAGGCTTAATGTACCCAGACGTAGCAGGTTCACGGTACTTTCAGTTTCTGTCGCTCGAAAGCGGTTTGTTGCTTGCAGCGCAAAGTCCAAGCACTTGCAGGAACAACTTCTCTGAAGATGGGTGTCCCAAACAAGCTGCAACCACAAGCGTGGGTTGCCAGCGCGTGGGATCATGTTAGCTCGGGTCGTGCTGGCCGTGTGCAGGCTTCTAATTGCCGTGGCCCGATATGAGAGTTCCACCATACAGGTCCCCAACGGAAGGCGCCCATGTGTAGACGGAGTTGCGTGTGTAACATTGAGAACAAGATGGTAGGGTATCGGATGTGAGTAGCCCGCTTCAGGTCTATGGAAGTTATCCGCCAAGTTCATGGTGAGAGCAACCTCAAGGCCAATAAGGGCACCCCGGGCATGAGCGGTACTTACCCGCCATAACAATGTTGATGGCAGGCCTGTCGTCATGAGCATGAAGTGCAGCTTAACTCTGAATCAGAGCTCAGAGCACCGCATACACCAGAAGGACGGGGAAGCATCCGTTGTGCGAGTTTGAGTCAGGTGTAACACGAACATTGCAGTCAGTACGTCGTGACTGTTAGTTCGTACGTTGCCTTTCACAGTACGGTATTGTAAACGGTATCTCTGCCTTGGGCAAACCGAGCGGAAACCACCCAATGAAGAGGCTAAATGGTGAAGGTTGCGACACAGCGCCTTCCCTCCCTCTCTGTTGCCACGCCCGCAGCAAAGCGTCGGCAGCCGACGAGGCAATTGAGACTTTCTGGAACAGGCAACAGCTCAGGCTACCAAGCTACCGCTGTGCGCTCGGTTGTGCAACATGTACAACTTAATCTTTAAATGAACAAGAAAAAGGAGGTCATCAGAGAAAAGTCAGTCCTGCCCTGCAATGGCCAGCCTAGTAAAATGGCCCAGCTCCGCCTTGGTTGCCCTCATCTGGCGCAGTGCCATGTTGAGCGCAGTCACTGCTGGCCGACACTCGCGGTGCTAGCCCAACTCCCGTCTTTCCCGTCTCCAATGTGGTTGTGATTGGAAGTCCATCACCAATCTTCTCCCAGCTGACGGTCCTCCATATGTAAACCGTCCACTCGCCCGGTTCGTCGAACATTACGTCCACAGCATCCATTCGAAGCCTGAAGCTTACAGTCTCTGTGTCAGCCGTGTAACGGAATGTCGAAACGACGTGGGTGTCTTAATACCGATAGCCTGTGTTGCTGCCGACGCGTCGCCTACTTCCTCGTCCAACAAAAGCAACCGCAGCTGCCGCGGCGACTTGCCCCGCCTAAAATTCCAAAAAATCAACATAAACCGAGGTTCGCGCGATATGGCGCCACGACACCTCGACATCTTGATGCGATCATTGCGGATGCCGTCCACAGCGACTACCCCTTCGCTCGAAGCGGAATCTCCATACGATGATAGAGGGTACCACTGAGCCACTGTAGTGGTAGACTTCGCTCCCCACGACATGACGTCCATTTTTCCTTGTGAAATAGGCCCTCGTCACCTCTTAAGGTGGCATTATTTCCCGACCTTGGCGCACATTGTGTTGTGGTGACGATACCGTCGCAGATAGCACCGAGATATTCAGAGAGTGAATGAATCGAATAGCCAACCTGATGCATTTGGGCAATTGAATGGAAGAACACACTGGAGTTGAAGGGCTCTTGGTCCAAAGCGCCGCCTTCAAGGGAAGTGTGTCGAGAATTGGGAAGATATATCTTCAGGGACCATGCATAGAGTCATCTGCAAAGCTGGCTGCGCGTCATGAGCTTCCACATGTCGACAGACTGGATTCCAAGGCAGTAAACGACTCCTCAAGGATTCGTGAAGGGCCCCAACGTAGAGAGAGAAGTGTGTGATCATGGCTTCAGATGACATAAGGGTATTCCCACCCTTGAATAGCGCATGGGATTTGATTATTGAAGGATTGAGCGCGACTTTGAAGCACACATCGGAGTTGAGGTTGAGTGCACTCTTCAGTCTGTCATTTCCTCAGGCAAATCAGGGCCCGGAAAGCGTTGACCGGCGGGGAGTTTGGGGGAGATGCGGGGTCCTCAGAGCAGCGGTGATCCACAATTCAGGGGTGCTGTGTGCCAAGACAAACAAACTTCCGCATTTGTCGCACATCACCCCCAAACGAGATCTTGCAGGGCCGATGTTCTTCTTTGATAATATTGACGGGGTTTACTACTCGCAACGAGATTTTGGGATCTAAGAGTACCACATGTAGGACAGCATACCTAAGGAGACAGGAGTCAGCCTGTGTGGAATTGAGGCTCCCCCGAGCACACCATCTGTCAACTTCCGTCCCGCTGCGCACTGCACCTTCCCACGCGGCCACGCCTCGGCAATCTCGAATCCTACAAAAAGCGGGGCACAAGAAATTCGAACCGTTGTCATGATACTCCAGATCGTCACATTTTGAGGAAGCACATCAAGTGTTACTCAGGGAAGAGGGCTAAGTAGTAAATACATTTAGGTCTTCAAACCATTCAGGTGATTCTCGAGGGGCTCATTGAGAGACCAGCGGTTCTGTAAGCGAGTGTCTAACCAAACTTTCTCACCATCCCCATTTCTTGTAGACTCCATCAGGTTTCCACTTTTCCAGCATCGCATGTATGGCCGATGCCCGTATACCTACAGTACAATACCTAGAGGTATTTCGTCATCTCCGACTTTCTCCGCTCCTCCTTCCTTCTCCCAAGTATCAGCTCGAAGCTGCATCAGCCCCTCCTTCCACTGCTTGTCCAGGAGGAAAACCCGACTTTTCACAACAGCAAGGGGCGGAAGGTGCAGATGGGAGTTATCACAAGTAACTGTAACGTCCTGTAAAGCCAAGGCATCTGCCCCTCAAGATCACTAGATATCACCACCACACAGTTACAAGAGTCTTTCTACAGTCAAGGTAAAGGTACCTAAGTATGGCAGTACTCAATCACAGTTCTGAAGCGTTATATTTGTTTGCGATCTTCTGGTTCAGATTGAGCATCCAGGCCGGCCTTCGAAATCACAACTTACAAGCTCATGGATGAGTATCCAACTACTACTGAATCATCAGAACGGTGGAAGTAAAGCAACTAATCTCTGTTCCTGTATGTGTATCTCCCATTTTGCTTTCCCCGTCTTTCGGATTCCCAACTGCCCGCCCCGGACGAACATGCACCGAAAAGCTCAATCCTGTACTTGCGCCCATCTAGTCCATGCCAGAATGAGGGCAGTACGCTCAGTTCCGCCGCAGTGATAACAGAGAGCTGACGATTCGTTCTCCTGGCGCAGATAATATTTGGCAAACAGTAGACCCCCAAATAATGTCGATTTCCCCACCACCAAAAGGAGTGAGAAGAAGTTCGCATCCAGCGCCAGCTATCGGTCATAGCAAGAAAAGAAGGAGAAAAGAAAGAAATGATGAAGTAGACGAGAAACCACAATCCATATGCAGATTGACGCCAAAAACCATGCCCGGTGCACACCAACGCCTGTCTGTCATCGCTATGCCATCGCTCTGAAAGCCGTGGGAGCCAAAATCAATCCTCTGCTGCCAGACTCCACGAAAAACTTGATACCATTGTTGCGTTTGTTCTGAGTGGAAGGCCATCCAGACCCAAATCAGAATATTATAGCTCTGCGGATCGGTCAAAAAATTTCATCGGCGATCTCCAATCCCTTTCAGAGCGGCGACGATGGCACCTCGGCCGTGATGTCGTTCAAAATTCGACGCTCCATGTCTTCAATGGTGATTTCCGGACCGCTGTCAAGGAATCGTGCGGTAGCGGTACGAACAGCCTGCATCTCCCTCAGCGCAGCCTGATTGGCTTCCGTGAGACTGTCCGCCTTCGCCTGCAAATGTTGGACCTGGGCCGTGAGGAAGTCATTGGTCCTTTTCATCGACAACATTTCATTCTTGGCCTCGATAAGCTCATTCTGGAGGCGGGCACTCCAGGCTTCAACATCCTCGTCCATCTGTGCGTCCAACTGCATCAACATCGGTGACGACGGCGGCGCCGGCGGAATGCTGTTGTTCTGGATGGCGTTGAGCTTTTTCTGGAGCTTCTTGGCCTGTCTGAGCTTTTCGGCTTCTTTGGCTGCCTCAGCTTGCTTGGCTTGCCTCTCACTTTGCTCTCTAATCTTCTGTCGGCGCTTGGTATTGGCTCGCTTCTGGGTCCTGCTGCGTTTCTCGGCTGCTGGGGCTGCCACGGCCTGGTTGATTGCCTCGGCCTGGCTGGCTTGCTTCTCAGCCTGCTGTCTGGCTTTTTGCCGGCGCAAGGCATCGGCGCGCTTCTGGGTTTTACTACGTTTCTTCTGAAGGGGTTCTGGAGACGGAGAAGCGCTACGAGCTCTCGGCGAAGTGGTGAGCAACTCAGCCAACTCTTTGTAGACGGGCCTTTGATCGAAAGTGAAGGCATCACCACTGGTGTCGACGCCGAAGCCAAAGTCGACCTGGCCGGAGGTGGTGGATTTGGTGGAAGTGTGAGAGGATGGGGAGCCGACACTCATGGCAGCCTCGGAGGTATGGCTGCTACTGGCATGACGGCTTTTCTCGATCTTCTCGGCAACGTCGTTGATAAGCTGCTTGATATTGTTCATCTTAAACGGATCCACATCGTTAAACTGGTTCTGGTCGGCTTTCCGAGTGCGGGAACTCGACCTTGCACGTTTTTTCGAGCTCTCGTTGGAAGAAGCGTCCTCATTGCCCAAGGAGAATCGCTTGCGGCAAACAACCGACACGGGGGCTGACATGGTGAATATTTGACGAGATATTGATACGTGGGAGTTTGGTGGAATCTCGATGCAGAAAAAGGTTTCTGTGTAGCAATGTCACCCTCGAACAGCCTTGTACAGAGCCGGTTTTGCTAGAAGAAGGTTGAGGCTATGGTCAGAGCCGCGGCCGAGGCCTGGTAACGGGTGAGCAATGTTGTGATCAGGGTTGTGGTTGAGGTTCTTGTCAGGGTTTCGGCTCGGCGACGTTGTGAATCGAGCTAGGACCGAGGGTGGTTGAGTGGTGGTGAGGGCGGAGGTTGCCAACCGGGCAGCGCCCTGCTGGTGGTCGTCACTTCGGGACTCACTCAATATGAAGCAGTGCCGTTGCTATTTAAGCTAGGGTCGATAGAGTCGCTGTTTTGTGCTATTCTTGATGGATATGGAGTGGAATATGTGGTCCTGAGCCTGTCAACATAGGAGTTCTTGTGCTGACAAAAAGTTGGGGGACGGTTTTGTTGGTGGTTAGGAGGAAAAAGCAAGGAGGTGCCTTACTTGTGAGGAGGGATTTTATACCGCACGTGAAGATACCAGCTTCTGCAGGCTTCTTTGAGGCTTGCAGGAGGAAAAACTCAATGCCTCGGATGGAAAGGCTGTGCCCAAGTGAATGGGTAGAGTAAGGATGAAAAGGCCAGAGATACGACAAGGTTGGAGACACACCGCTCTCCACGAGCACGAGTTCACTTACCAGCATTCAGGGTTTGTTGGCTACTTGTAGCTGGTTACTCCAGGTCGGCACTTGGAATAGGAAGAGCCATGCAATATTACAACACCATCGAAGGGTGAATATCAGAGGGGCCGCACCGCTGGTTATCCCCTCGCTTTTCCAGCCTACCTGCAAACAGTACATCCCTTTATGCAGTCGAATCAATATCGCCCCACCTGATGTTAGAAAAAGTTACTGTGACGTTCGGCGTCTTCTTGACAATCCTCTCCGGCTTCCCTTCACCGTCCTGGCATGACCCGTTTTTTCCGGCGTTCAGCCACGCCATTGAGTGTCTTTCGGAGTTCCAGATACTCAAGACCATGACCATACCACGACCCAGTGCCTCGCCCATTGTCTTCAAGCCACTCAACCGCGCATGGTGGTCGAAATCCCGAGCACTGCAGTACCCCTCCGTCAACGCGCCTTCAAACTTGCCACCGCTGGGCGAAATGTTGGCATGGATGGGAGCTTTAATATTCGAGCTGTAGGTGACTGGAATCGTTTTTACATCCTAAATGTAGACCCTCCTAATCTCGGTGAGGGCGCCAGTCGTCGAGTTGTCATCTGTAAAGAAGCGGGTGACGACTGTAAACGGCCGGGAGGTGTCAACCTTGTGTTCCTGGCCCTTGCCGTAGAACTCTGGGGCACCAACCAAGCCTGAACGGATTGATTCCGCAACCTTTTCTGGCACACATACCGCTTCCACTCTTCTCTGACTCGTCGCTCTGATCACCGTTGCAAAGGAAAGGGCCTGTTTGATTGCAAGGATGCGAAGTCATGGTCGTGGCGCGCGAGTTGGCTTCCCAGATGTCCATTTCATTGCAGCAAGCGCCGGAGGAATCCAGGTTTACCTGGGCTGCAGAAATGGAGAGTTATAAGGGACGAAAACGGATTGTTTGGATAAAATATGGGATGCTTCTCGCTTACCACGCCATTAACAAAGTCGCTCTTGGGACATGGCGCATCGCAGTACCCAGTCGCATACTTCGCCCCAGCCGGGTTGAGTTTACTCCTCCCCCCGGCAAAATCCATCTCGGACAGGTACAGCGCGCCGTTCATACCGCAACCAATGTTTGACACGTCCACCTGAAAGCTGATTTCCTGATTTAACAAATTGATCGGCTCGTAGTTCTCGCCATCCTCTGCAAGTAGGTACACGCGCGGACTGATACTCCTGTGCTTCCTCCCATCAAAAAGATAGTTGCGTAGCGTCACGGCCGTGTCGCTCGCCAGCACGCCTAAGCTGCCGTACTCTACGCCCTCAAGAATGCAGTTCTTGGCGCAGCTGGCCTCGTCGGGACAGAGCACCTTGTTGGCGGCGGAGCATTCGACGATTTCGCCTTCGGTGTTGTGGAAGGGTCGGTGCCGGGCGTCGGAGACGAGATACGTCTGCTGCGTTTTGCAGCCGCCTGATTCGGTGCATTCTTGGGTGCGGAAACGGGGATGGACTTCAGGTATGCCGGTGTCGATTTGTTGGGCGGTTGCTACTTGTGGAAAGAGTGAGAGAAAAAAGGTGGATAGCAGTAAACTGCTAAGTTTTCGACGGATCATGACTGCTAGTTTGGATGCAAAGTGCATACGCGAGAAATTGACGATGGTGGATGTTCGAGTAACCGCTGAGTGGACTGCGTCGCGTCCTTGAGTGTTGAAGAAGGATTGTTCCTGTGGCGGGAACAAAGGAGCTTGTTTCGGTATGTTGGCACTTGTACTTCTTTGCTTTGGTTGGGACTTGGGGGCAAGAAAGCCTTTGTCTCTCCCCAATGTTTGTATCCTCATGGATCCGGCCCTGATTTCGAGTGTGCTCGTGAACACGTCTCTGCTCTCCACTTTGCTCCTTTTCTTGTTGTCGAAGCTACCTACATGGGCACTAAATCCGTCAATCTCTTGTGTAACAGCTAACTCCAGATATGGGCAACACTGCTGGGGGGGTTTCCCTAGCTAGCAAACTGATCTTTATCACTTCTCCACCCGGACGTGATCTTGGTCCCCTACCCGACCAACGTTTCTCTTCGATATCCGTCAGCTTTTGAATAAGTTCTCCTTCTGTCTCCCCATCCAATTTATCCAAGAACGTCATTGGTACAAATCATCCTGTTCCAGTCGTGAAATATGTCGTAGAAAAACCGTTCCCTCTCTCAGTACGTATCCAGATCAGGTGCTTGACGTCTATCCTTTCCAGCCCTAGCTAGAGAAGTGGATAGGCCGAGGTCGAAATCCCAAAACGTGTATAATATTCGTGTCTTGGTGTGATTTGATTCTTCCCATGTTTGGTCACAATAATCACTCAAAATATTCTCGTCAGCTTCCCTTCTGGGAACTTCGAACTCAGTGCTATGAGAATAGTCCATAACTTCTGAACGGATCTGAGACGAACGTACGGCGTTAGAGATGGTCATGAGTAGATTTCGTTGTTCGTTGTTGAATGAACGGCATTGTCATCTCGTTGGCGCTGAAGGGAACCGACGGGCCGTTGGGCGAGTCGTTGCGGCATAACCTGCCGATCTGACGAGAAAACGCCCGGTCAAACAACGGAGTAACAATTTGCCACGACCGAAGAGCTGTCGGACCCGCCTCATTCGTGCTCATGCAGTTCAGCCATGGATAATTGACGCACCTCGAGTGCATAGGAGGCAGACCTATATCGATGTTCTGTATGTTGCACAGACCAATTTCGCTGGAATTTCGTAATTAATGTGGTTTTCGAGATCTCCACCATGCCACGATCTTTCGCTGTCCAAGGGGTACGTTTGAATTTTAGTAAAAGCATCTGATGGTGTGATACCCTTGGATTGTTTTCCAGATGTCGCTCGTCCCAATGGAGTCACGGTTTGCTTGTAGACTGTTCGACAAACGGTTAATATTTCCAGTTACTTGAGTGATGCATCGGTTTTGGTGCAAGTTGGGCTACGAAGAGCTTGAACGAGCAAAGCACGAACAGAATTCTTGTACATAAAGGCTCTCGATAGCCAGTGTGACACTCAAAGCGTCATCAACGCAGAATCAGCACTCGACCTGATCGCAATTACCATTGACATTCAGCTAAACAGTCCACCCCACTTACATCCTCACACTTTCGAACACGACTTTCACCATGTCCGAAATCACCAAGCAATACGAGAGTGACATCCGCGAGTACGCCCGCGACTCCGACCCCGAGGTCGCCAAGGCTGGCAGGATGGGCGAGTCGTTACTGTGGAAGACATCAGGCAAAAGTTCTCGAGACAGCCTCATATCGTCGATCTACCGTGCAGTGAAGCGCTTGGCGGATGCTGTTGAGTATGGCGGGACTGTTGATATTCCGAAGGCAAAGGAGGACCTTGAGGCAGAGATTTCGAGGGCTTCTTAGATGTAAGCTAGAAGGGTTTGAAGAGGTTCAGGATGAGGAGTTGGGGTTCGTGTGGGAAAGCCCAGTTGCATGTTGCGAGGATCGGAAAACCGCGAAAATGTGCATCAACGGAAGGAGGGAATCAAAAAGTGCTGGAGTTGGCAAGAGGGGAAGCCATGAAGTTTATGCAGACACACAGAAAGAATAAAAGTAACAGGAAGTATTCAGGAGTGATACATTAAGAACTTTGATGATTCTTTCCCATAATTGTGTTGTGTGCGGGCTCCACGTTGGCATGGTCAGCATGGACACAACCGGGACACTCGTGAACAGATGGTACACCAAAATAAAGAATAATATGGCTGAGAGAGTAGGATTCAAGAATTATGCTCTTTTATCTTCTTTGTGGTATTATTATTTTCCTTCACCGTGGTGGCCGTCTGGAATGGTGCGGTCTTTGCCTGTGTTGTTGTCGATAGATGAAAGTGCCGAACTGACCCATTGGATTCTCCCAAAATGTCAAATCACGTTACGTTTTCGGAGATAGCAATGGAAACCTTGCTTATTGCTAAGATGCTGCGATTTCTGTGGGTATGAATTGGTTGGTTTCATACCTTATTCAACTGCTTCATTCGAGGGATGGGTTCAATGGACCATGATCATAGGTACTGCTAGAAGGAATCACTTAGAAAATATGCTCTATGATACAGAAAGCGAACATAAATTCGGTAGCTTTCTTCTCATTTCAGTCTACGCCTGGCCTACAATCAACACTTCACACACAAACCAACCACCAATACATATCGTATTCCTGCACTTGCATCACTGGCACAGACTACTTGAAGGCTCATAGCCCACAGCTCAAAATGCCGGCCGACCCAGCCACCAAACTGCTTACCTGAGCGAGATTGAGAGACCTCGAACGTACAAGAGACGCTGCAGAAGCGAAAGCCCTCGAAGCATACCAAGAGAAAGAAGTTGATGAGGTGCTCAATACTTACAACAAGATATTTGCAGAGCTAGACAAAATAACTACAGCACTAAAAAGCGCTCTCGCGAGAGCCGATGACGACTTGCAGGATCTTGTCTCAGCATGTGAGCGTTCTGGAGAAGTCCGCCAGCAATCTTCTACAAAAGGATGAACAAAGAATAACTGAAAGTGAATCTGACCAGAAGCTGTAGTTGTCACGTATGTATGCAGCTGGGAATAGCATAAGAAACTAAAATAATGACTGCGCCGATTTCCACGCCCTACTCGGAATTTGTTCCGCGCATAGATAGAAATTGCCTCCTGGAGATGCAAAACCCAAAACAACCTAACCTCCCATGCCAAACATCCATCCTCAACCTCCATCATTCCAAATACCTTTGAGCACCCTCTCACGGATATCGTTTTCGAACAACCCCTTCCTTCTATTTGACATCGTTACTATCCGCCTCCTCACCATTTACCTCCTTGTCCTCCTGTGCTTTTCTCCGAATCCTCGCTACCTTGACAGCCTCCTTCTTGAGCAACTTGTCCGCTTCCTTACCCACTTCATCCGCCCACCTCGCGGCTCTAATCTTGATCAAGTTCGCCGAGCGCCGGGTCGAATAATTGATGGGGGCATTCCCCACCACGCCGTTCCTCAGAGTCCCCAAAAGGCTCGCGATAAGCATCATTCCCTCGGCGTTAATAGTCTCGTCGATGTCTTCCGTCAAGTACATCACGAACTTTCTCCTTCCTGGTTCGTTCTGGATCTCAAAGTCGCATAGGGGCTCCTTGACAGGCCGGGAATCTGCCTCTGGAGCGTCTTCTGTGGTAGGTGGATCGATGATGACGAGATCGTCCTTCTCGGGGATGCAAGGCGCGCAGAGAGTTGATGTGGACTTGAGGTTGTTGTAGCTCGTCTTGTTTTGCGTATCGTTTTTGAGTGAAAATTTGTTGAATAGAGGACCGCAGAGAGGGAGAGCCCATGTTGGTGCTGGCATGGGCTGATGATGCTCAACCTCTTTTGAATAGGAAGCGTCCGTTTGGGTCGTCTCGATGGATTTGGTCTCGACTACGTCGGTCGCTTCTTCTTTGGCTGAGGGTTTTGCCCTGAAGAGCTTCCGAAGGTGGGAAAAGAGAGAGAACATCTCGAGGATAATCGACTATCGCAATGTAGCGTAGATATGATCGCAGCAAGAATCGATGTTTTTATGGCAATTTTGGGTATTTCTTTCTACCGTTCTGTGGACATGTGTATCTTGAAGTCCAAGATCCTCAGCGGCGTGTTGCGTGTTGAGAAGTGTGGAAGAGACGGTGGACGGGGAACCCCTACACTATGTATACCATCAATTGTCTCCTTGTTTCCTTCGCTAGCCGACAAGTCGAGGCTCGTTCACGATTCCCAACTGATAAGGTTGGCAGACCTGCGCTTTGTTCGTTCCATTGTTTGTCGGCGGGGTATGTCAAAGGAGGATGCTGCTGCTTGTTGGATCCTGCATATCGCTGTTTGTTTAGTTGGATCCTGCATGTTGCATTGGACTTAACAACGTACCTCGACCGGCAGGTTATACTGTGGCAGCAACATTGCGAAATCGACACTTGAATCTTTCCATGCTTATCGTGAAGCGGTTTTTACACCCAAAGGGTCGATCCAACAGCAGTGTTGGTGCTTGTTTCCCTTTTTGCATCGCCCTTGTCTGAGTCCCAACCGAGCCCATCATGCCTCCCGTTTCCAGTAACTTACATATTTCAACAATAAGTCATGTAAGGATGTGATGTTTTGAGTGCTGTTCGATTGTTTACATTATGCCGAATTCGTACGGTGTGGCCTGCAGGTGCCAGGTCCCCGGCCCTCAAAGACTTGCCGCTTGACATCCACACTTTCCGCATCTGGCAAGCCTTGGATCACAACGCTTTCTGCCTCACATTCGTACTACTACCATAGCCGTGATCATATGATAGGTATTTTTCTTCTTCAGAACAACAAGACCCGCATTGGGCTCAGTCTTCTATGGAACCCAGGTCTTCTTTCTCTGCGCTTCAAGCCCGTCACCGAAGCGAACATATCTCATTCCTTCCTGTAAAATTTCCTTTCTAGCAAACACGTGGGAGTCAAACGTCTGATTTGTGTCCGTGACACGACAAGCATCAACCATCTTTATGCCTTCTTCTCACCTACTTCTTCACCTATTTCCCTAGCTTCATCCTTATAATACCCTTTGCCCAATTCCGAATTATGCTTCTTTAAATTTGCCCCATATGCCAACACGAGCTTGTGCAGGTCTACCATCTGTTTTGCCAACTCGTCTTCCTTCTGTTTTTTTGCCAACTCTTCTTCGATGGCCATCGGTGTCGGGGCAACCGGCTCATTTGCTGCTCTGGCCTCCCGCGTGAGTTTTGTTTTCTTTCCGTGGAAAAACAGTCTGAGGAGTCCAGGGAGGCTTTTATCGATGGACGATACCGCTTCATTAGCAGCTTCAAGACGATTATCCAGCGTTTGTGCTCCTAACGAATAACGGGATTCCACACAACTCTCTGGGTTCGGTTCGGCATCCAAGCCCGATGATGGCTGACAGACAGTCTGGGCCGGCTCGATTTGCGCCTCAAATGGCTTCCGGGCTTCCATGGCAGTTATTATGGTGTCTTCCTGGACAGCTTTAGCTTTCCAAGCTAACTTGAAGGGCGCGCTGGCAACTTCTTGAGGTTTTAGTGGCATTGTTGCTTGGTTACGTCGCTAAAAGCAGTGAGATGGATCTTCGTATTCTCGATATACAAGTACAAGGAGTTTGTGCTCTCTCGCTCAAGATGTGAAAGAGCTCGGAGGTGGTGTCCTGGGTAATGACTGATTCTCGTTGATTATACGGAGAAAGATGCATTTCACATGCTGTGCTCCGTGAATACGAGGTCGAAGGAAGGTGATCTATATACACCTGAAATTCGTAAGGGGATAAGAAGGGCTTCAGCAACCTGGAAGTGTGTAACCGCCCTTATCTGTGATGATACGCCCGATTAGGATGAATCATCAGAATAGGTAGGGTATCATCCTTGTGCACGATCAAGATTCCCATGGTGCTCTTTGTGTCAGTATCCCTTGTTGATTTCGAGACGTGTGTTGGTGCCGCCTGCTGCCCGTGAAGCGGCTACGACACTTCGCTCCGAGTCAAAGAACAAACGAGCCGCAGTTGTAGCAGTAATCTGTTGGGTCAGACAGGACTTATGTCTTTCATATGATGCACTTAGATGCCGGGTCAGTGGCTGACGTTTTAGTCATGCTTCGATCAGCTCCCTGGGGCTTTTACTTGGACCAGATCCATCGTCATCGTAGAATTTGGCTGACGAGCAATCGCTCATTAAGGAAGCGTCATTGTTGCTACATATACCTTTGTAAATATACTCATCAGTTTACCTCCCATCCTCGTAGTCTAGTAACCACCGAACTCTCCTCACAAGAAAACTCGACGAGATGTGCAAAGATGAAAGCAACACAGAGATCAACCATGTCACCAGAAAACATCCGACGTCGGCCACCAAGATTTCACAAAGGCAGACGTGCGACTTCCAAGATCAAGGCAGTGATGGTGGTGTTGGCGGTAGTAATCGTAAAAGTGATAGCGCCAAAACTGTTGGTTCCGTTGGCAACGGTGGGCATTGTAAGGGTTCGACCTTCTGACAAGAAATGACGGACGAGTGGCCACCGCTGGAGGAAAAGAATTAATATCGTTTCAGGTTGTACTATCTCATCATCTCAAACCAAAAAACGATGGTATTACCCCCCTAAGCTCGTATCATGTCTTTTCAGTTCCCTTAGTCTTCCAGTTCCCTCAGTCTATCTACCTAGTCCGCTTCGATCCACCGCCTATCCCAGGTACCCTTCTATCGGAAAGAGATGTAGACCCGTTCCCTTCACTGCCTTGAGCAACGCTTGCATCTTCCGTAGTACAATTTCTTGAAGCAATGGTAGAGAGATACCATTAAATGTCCGCCTAAATCCTAGTCAGCTGTTTGTACATTGGATGAAGCTATACACGAAGATGAACATAAATGTGAAACGCGCACTTCACTGTGGTCTTAAAGGTCTCCGAGTTCCAAGTTTGAGCCAAAATAACTTTTGACTTTCGTCTTCCTCCCTTTTCCTCTTCAGCCTTTCTTCGCGTCGCTTGTCGTCTAACTCGTCCTTGAGCTCCTGCAGCACCTCGGAGCTGGGTATTGAATTTTCCATGTCTGCACCTCGACCTGAAAGGGTAGCATGTGGTTTGCATAGCCCTTCCTGTATCAAGATTTTCAAGACATTCTTGCGAAACTCGCGAGTTTCTTGGCTCATACCGTTGGCATCGTGGCAACGGCTGACCAGCGTCTCCAAGAGTTCTTCGCGAGGATCGCCTTGGATTTCGTTCTCTTCGAAGAAAAAATCCATCAGAATATCGAAAAGCCAACTGTGAAAACGACGGGTCTCCGGATCAACGAGGAGGGACACTAATGTTTCCTCGCTTACAGGAAACAGGTCCTTCTGCGAGACATCCTGGCTGTCAATCGGGTTCTCCATGGTTACTAGCGGGCTGTGCGGTTGTGTACATGTACGGCGTGGTATGGCGAGTGAGAAGCGTTGTCTTTTGCTGTGCGAAGGCATACTAAACACCTCTGAGCGCAATAAATCTCCACTGAGAGGCTCTAAGGGCTTAGCTGGCTATGATGAGTTACCGCGTAATGGAAATCCCGAACGTGTATCGATCTCCTCGGGAAGATGAGCCGAGGGGTCAGAGACAGATATAAGATTTCACGAGCCAGTGCCGACTGCTTCTGCACATTCAACCCACAATGAGCCATTCGAGCGCTTTTACCGCCATCCGTTAAAGGCCGTTGTACCACCAGCGCCGTCCGATTTCCGTGCCGCTGAACAGGGCTCGCAGAGGGTCTTTGTCAAGCCAACAAAGGACTGGCCGTTGGATCTTGGATAGGGAACCTTCCCGTCCTCTCCCGTTTGTCAGCGGCGGAACCGAAGACCTGGTATGCACAACTCGAAAATTCGTAGGTTCAGCGTTCATACAACCAAGTCTAGTGGCAGCAGGTTCAGATCAAAAACTACTTAGCAAACCATCAGTGACAGATTGAACAACACCGAAGCGGATAATCGTTCACCAGGACCATGGCGTCAAATCATCTCACCCTTCATCTTCTTCCTATACTCCATTCCTGTGAACGTTGGACAAATGTACCTGAGCAACAGCGCCAACGCTCGTGACGCCGTCCGCCATCTGTGTGTGAGTCCATCACCGCCCTCAACACCCCTTTATTCCCAATACACCCGTAAACGCGCTGCCGAGGTACGATGCACGCCAAACACCGTTTACACATCCAAGCCACACTCAACCAGTCCGACCTAATCATGCTCGACATCCATTCCAACCCAATCAACGCACCAGAGAGGTATATTCTCAAGCCAACCATTCTTTTGCAAGTTCAAACAAGTCAAAAAGAGACCCCAACGCAACCGACAACAGCCTAAGCAGTATCTCACCTTACCTATCTACACCACGCTCACTACATACCTGTACCTACCTTATCCGAGCCCTACAAAAAGGGCACACAACCGGACACGACCTTTCCATTAAAAAAAAAAGGAAAAAAAAAGGAAAAAACGAAAAAAAAAAACCCCCCAGCAAAACGGGCATGGAAGAAACAACCCCCCCCCCCCCCCCCCCCCCCCCCCCAAAAGCCCCGCCCCGCTTGACGCCCTCGCGTCTATGGTGGTAATCAAGGACTCAGTTTTGAAGAATAACCCGGAGGTGGCAGGGAACCCCACAGCCACTTGAAGGTGACAATTAAAAGACTGAAGGGTTCCAAAGATCAGGCCCCCGAGGAGTCCAGGTAGTGGGTACTATAGCAGTTACTATGTTCGTGAAACATCCGGGCAGAGGATTCGAGTCTGGGTTTGGGTTTGGGCCTAGTTACCACAGCTCGCGTAGTTTGTTGTGCCGTTCGTATGGTCCGTCTAGGTAAGGCAAGAGAGGAAACAGATGGTTGAGCAAGAGATGGTAGACGAGCGACGAGCAGCTTGAATTGGTGTCAGCAACGTGGTGAAATAATCGAGGGAGAGGTTGATGAAAGAGAGACAGACATACCCTGTCTGGATGAGCGAGCAATCACGATATAGAGGAACGAGTGAACAAGTTTATTATCAAAGTAAAGTCGTGCAAAGAAAAGGAAGTGTATCACAAAGTCAGAATTCCAAATTTGACAACGCTTTTCCTCTCCCATTCCGCTATGTAGATAAGTGCTTCTTCCAACCAGCCTTCCAATTATCCCAGCAGCGAATCCTGCTTGAACAATTTCGCTATTCCGTATCATATCTTCGCTTTTTGCCATTATGTATAGCCCGTCATTTTTCCCCTATTTCCACACTACCACACCCCACCATCGTGAACTCGACAGACAAAGATCAGGCAAACCCGAAACCCTGGGCATTCTCCAACGCCATAGCCAGCCTCTCCCTCAACATCTCCTTATCTTTGTACTCCGGTAGCAGAAGGATGCCGTAACACGTATAAGCAGTAGGTAGTCTCGGAGCCTTTTTCTTCTTCTCTTTTGGTGCTTCCTCTTGCTGTTCCCCACTGCCGCTGCGGGTACTGGGACGTCTTGCCCGATGACTAAGAGAGCTTCTTTCGCTCCTCCGTCTTCTGTGTCCATTAGCTGAGGAAGTAGAGGGTCTTTGCGCCGGCGTCGCCGGCTGCGGCGGCGGCGTGTTTTCCTGCTGTTGCTGCCTTGCATCATCCTCGGCGGCGTTGTTATTGTTGGTGGCAGAACCTTCAGGAGCCTCCTGGGCCTGAGCTTGGGCCCGAGCCCGAGCATGGTTCTCGCCACTATCTTCAATAACGACCTCGCCACGACGAACCCCGTCGTCCTCCTCTTCCTCTTGCTCATGCTGCCCCCAGAAATCCTCCTCTTCGGAAGTATACTCATCAGTGCTATATTCACCTTGCACTTCCCACCCCTCGTCCGTAGTATATGGCTCTTCATCTTCTTCATCTTCATCATCCACATCAGTGTAATCCTCCTTACCGTTCCTCTGAAGGGTAAAAACCAGATTCTTGACGCCTCCGACCGGCAATCTGTCGCTGGCCGTGACGAACTCCAGCAGCCGCCTCTTCATCTTATCGTCGTACTTCTTCACAATGCTCCAGAAATCGCGGACCGTTCGGTGGGATGCGTCCCAGTCTACGTAGCGCGTGTACCGCTGGAGTTCGGCGATGTCGATCTCCTGTACACCTTCGACTAGGGATTGCAGGAGCGAAGGGGTGAGCAGTGACAGGGACTTGGGGTGGAGACAAGTGCGGAAGCCGCGCGCAAAGGCCTCGAATTGGGGGCGGACGGATACATCGGTCAGGTAACGGATGTAATCAGACACGAACTGCTCGCGGTTGGCAGCTGTGACGAGTGGTGCTTCTTCTTCAAGTGGGAGGGCAGAGGCGGAAGACGAGGCGTCACTGAGTCTTCGAAACGCAGGGGAGAATTGAGGCCAGGGTTCTTCCCGAGAGAAGGCGTCCGTTTCGGCGGCCGACTTGCCGCTGCGAGAGGAAATGGGCGGAGGCGGAGGAGTCATGAGCTTCGTCACTTGTTCGCCGAAGCTCTCAACCGAGAACTCGTAAGTGCGTGCAAACACATCTTCGACCGAACCACCCATCTCCTTTTCATCCCAGTCGAGGAGCATGGTTAGCCCGCTGACTAGATCTGGCCAGCCGTCTGCGATATGGTCGAGGTCGGTAACGGGTTCGCCAAGGAGTTTGGCGTAAAGCGCCTTGGGGAAGGTGACTGGAAGGGTGAGGCCATTGTAGACGGCTAGAGACATGAGCAGTCCGATAAGCTCAAACTTCCATTCCTCTACTACGGACCCAGGCTGGAACCATGTCATCTTGGTTCTCTCGTCTACCGTGAACGCACCATAGTCAGGGTTCAAGGCCTCTGCCATCGCCAGGCGGAAGAACTCCTGCTGGACACCACCAGAGTCGAAACCTTCTTCGCCAGCACGCTCACCGAGATGGATCTTGAGCGGCCGCATGATTTCCCGCTCCTCGCGCCGCCACAGCTGGTCGAAAGCATCCCTAATAACCCTATTGCGTCTGATTTCTAGGACAAGGTACTTGGAACTGGCAACCTTGAGCTTGTCCATGATAACCCGTTTATGGTGCTCATTCATCGGGCTCGATCTACCCATATAGACCTCGAACCTCTCCTGGATTGAGGCCGACTGCTCGTAATAGCGGTTCATGCGTGAAAGGTTGATGGCTCGGAAGAAGCCCACTAGCGTATTGCTGTCGAACAGGTAAGGGAAATCTAGCAAGTGCAGCTTCTTGCGGGTAGACGCGTGCGCGAGCCAGCCAACTGGCGCTTCCACTACGTCTAATCGATCGGCAAAGTACTTGGAGTGAAACTGGACGTCGCGGAGTAGGAGGTCCTCCCGTTTCTTGTCTATCGTTGAAGGGAAACGTCAGTATTGTGGACAAGCTATCAAGAATTGGTCAGGAAATAACATACGCATAGTATCGATGAGGGCCAGGGCACCACCAAAGGGCCCATCTCCAGGCACCTCGGGGTTACCATCCCACTCTTTGATCATCACAGCTCTTGCCCAGTCCAGCAAAAGAATAGGAACGCGCGTTTCATGAACGGTGCGGTCCAAAAAGGGAAAGTTGAGGATGTACAAGGCATCCTCGTTCAAATAATCCAGTTGCGAGAATAGGGGTGTAAGCACGTCATGTTCTTTGGTATCATCGTCTGCAGAGTTGGACCTCTTCAGCTCATCAAAATAACGACGTGTGGGGATGGCTGCAAGAACCCGTTTCGCAAGACGAAGGGCCAGTTCGTCAGAGAAAGCATCCTCGTACTGGAGACACAGATCAGTGGGTTGAGAGGCTGGCGAGCCACTGCCAGCAAATATCAGACCGTGCGCCCTTATTCTCGACATGTCATATAGCTGTCTATCGTCATTCACCAAAGGGGCCGCAGCGACCAAGGCGTGTAGACAAATGGACAAAAGCCGACCAGCCTCCTCGTTTGACAGTGCCTTCTCGGACTTGGGAAAAAGCTTTGTGGTTCGCGAACGAAGAGACTGGAGCGTCTTTGGCGGAGCGAACAGACTGGCAGCAGCCATCCACAGACTATGGAAGACTAGGGTGGGGCAAATTCGTGTCATGCGTAGCATGCAATACCACAGCGTTTTCGAATCGTAGAGTTGCCCGTTTGTGGTGAAAGATCGGATAGCTTGATGTGGATCACTCAACACATGGAAGAGAGATTGCTCCACAAACAGCTTCCATTCCAGTTTCATGTTGGGTGAACGAGCGCGTTTGGGTTCAATCTTCCTTTCCAGCTCCTTACGTTGATCCGCGTATCCCTTGTGGAACTTGGTCACTGCTCGTGGTTCCAGGATGTGGCTTTCGGCGGTGCCATCCTCCTGTATCACATCGCACACAAAGTCGACGACCCGGGGATCGAGCCTTGACAAAGTCTGAGGCAGTATGTGATCATCCTCGGAATCGGATTCGATCT